GATTGTGGGCGTTAAAGGGGCGTGGCACCATTTTGAAACAAACTGCGCTGCGTAGGAACTCCTAAAATCTACATGCCAAATGCCAATCTTCTAGCTTTATAGTTTCCGAGATCTCAGCGTCATACGGACAGACAGACGGACAGACGGACAGACGGACAGACGGACAGACAGACGGACAGACGGACATGGCTAGATCGACTCGGCTAGTGATCCTGATCAAGAATATATATACTTTATAGGGTCGGAAACGCTTCCTTCTAGCTGTTACATACTTTTGCACGAATACAATATACCCTTTTACTCTACGAGTAACGGGTATAAAAAGGGCTCCTAACGAGATTTCGTCTCTCTATTAAAATAAGTTTCGGAGCTAATCAAAGCCTAACTCCAAAAGTATTCTTGTTAAATGTTAAGCTTCTGCCATTTACATCCCCATTGCTCTTTATATCGCATACACTTTTCTCTCTGTGTATGACACATTGTTGAAATACTTTCCGAGTCTTCTCGGCTCAAAGGTGAAAGCCATAAAAGAGCCGTGTGTGTAACCCCCACCCCCACTGCCCCGTCGGGTTGAGTGTGAGTACATCAAGCCATGATGTTGCTGGTCAAGTTAAAATCATAAAAATTGTCCACTCTTTTTTAAGCGGAATTGGTTAATGGCTCATGTTGGGTCGCCCGTTCATTCACTTACCGCTGGGATTGTTTTGCACCATGGTCGCCGCTCTCGAGAGCACATCCAGCGCCGATTCCATGATGGTTTCTACGTGGGATTGGACGTGGACTTCGACTCGGATTCGGGCTTGGATCTGGACTTGGTTTCGCTGCTCCTGCACCGACTCGATCTGCACCGCATGAGTTTCACACTGAAAATGCAAAGAAATTGACCATGAACACAGGCGAACACACACTAGCGATCGTACATATATATATGTATGTTCATATACATATATCCACACAGATATCCGAGTGAAAAACTGGATATATCGGCCGAGCCTGGCATTGGCATATATGTAAATGGAACAAAACCAAACCAAAGCGAACAAAGACTGACTGGCTGACTTGAAACAAGTAAGACGAAGGCGAAATCCTGCTGCCAAACAGTTGTTGCCATCTGATCGGGAATTTGGTGGATGGGGATGAGGGGGATAAGCAGGAGGACGGGGAGGAGTTTGCGGGGGCACGATGCACTTGGGACTGGTTTTCGGAACAGACCAGACCTCGCTGCTGGATTTTTCGGCTATGACCAAACCGAGTACAGCAGCCAAAGCAGCGAAATCACCGACAAATGCCATACGTATTGTTGCTAGCCAAGCAGCGTCAAACAGCCAACACCATTCCAATATACAAGTAATATGCCCAAATAGCAGCCAACAACAACGGCGAGTTTACCTTTCGCCTGGGGACACGCCTCCGAATCCTCGCTGCAGTCCTGCGTCTCAGCTGTTTGCGACTCCTCGCGTTTAATCCTTACGAGTTCAAAGCGTTTCCTTACGATTTTCGCTGGGAAAAGCGAGATTTCGACGGTTTTTGGTATAATTGCAATCACAATAGTTCAGTTTGCGTTTAGTTCAGTGTGACCGCGACGCGACCAACGGAAAATGCTCCACTGCTATAAAATATACCCTAAATATACCACACGAAATAAACACAAATCAGTCAGTGGCGACTCCAACCCGATAATTGACTCTACCGCGGACTTAATCCAATATGCTGTTTCCACTATTTTTGCATTCACATGAATCCCATTGCTATCTACATTAAAACATTCTTCTAAACAAACGACTTTCTGACTACTTTTTATTTACCCATTTGTAATGTTAATGTTGGAAGGCAAAAATATTGTAAGCTTTAAAACTTTTAAGTTGTTAGTCCCTTTTCGATTATTCTTCCAACTAAAAACCTTTATATCCTTTAGCATAAGGATATAGATACCTTAACCATAAACTATTTTTTGTCTTACATATTTATAATAAGAAAATTTAACTAAGTTCAATATAGGCTGCATGTTATTGACGGTAAGCTTAAAAGTATTTTATAAGCTGGAAAAACATATGAAATTTTTCATTTAAGACCTACATTTATCTTACAACTTTAAAATTTAAGGGGGAATTCCAAAGTACTCACTTTCCTCAGTTTTCTACATGGGTAGAGTCCGTGCTTAAATATAGTATTAAAATATGTTTTCAAGACCACCTTACTCTGGTCTCACTGGCCACCCAGCCTGCGGTTTGTTGTTGCAAAAAAGTGTGTAGGTCGCCGCCAGCGATCGAATAATTTAAAATTCCAATCAAATTGGATAATTGGGGAGTTGCAAAAACCTTAAGCTTTTCTTCGGGCACCTGGTGAACACTTCCCGCTGAGAATACAGGCCACAAACTGGGTTTACAAGAGCCACTAGAAATTCGCACAGACTGGAAAATCAATCACCCGCTACATCTGTGTGTGTGTGTGTCTTTGTGAGGCGGCTGCACTTAATTAAAATTTAAGTCAAGACTAGACAACCCATTCAAATTCGGAGTCTTCGCGGGGCGTTGGCTTTCACTCGACGACGAGGGCACCTCGATAAGGCGACCCAGTGAAAGCTGGCTAAGATCTCTTTGTTCAAGGTCGTTGGCAGCAGGAGGAGCGGTGCATCATCATAATGGCCATCAGCTTTGAGAAGAATCGGTCGCAAATAGTGGCCGCCTGGAAGGATGTGTTGAACGACAAGAGCGACACGAATTGGTCACTTTTTGGATACGAGGGTCAGACCAACGAACTCAAGGTAGTGGGCACCGGCGATGGCGGCGTTGAGGAGTTGAATGAGGACCTAAACAGCGGCAAGATTATGTATGCCTTCCTCCGCATCGAAGACCCCAAAACTGGCCTCAACAAGTACTTACTCATCAACTGGCAGGTGAGTCAGTCAGATTGGTTTATCTTATCGCAGTACGCACAATCTAACTATTGCCCCCCTTTTTTTTAGGGCGAGGGAGCACCTGTGCTTCGCAAGGGCACCTGTGCCAACCATATCCGCGACGTGTCTAATCTGCTGTCCGGCGCCCACCTTACCATCAATGCACGCAACGAGGATGACATTGATCTGGAGCGGCTGCTTAAAAAACTGAGCACCGTCAGCTCTGCCTACAGCTTTAAGGAGCCGCGCGGCGCCATGGAGGAACAGAAGGCGCCGGTGGGAACCAACTACACACGGGTCATCCCCACGAAGGAGCTCAACGCCAGTGTTATGCAGGACTTCTGGAAAAAGGAGGAGGCCGAGGAGAAACTGCGCCAGGAAGCAGAAAAGGAGTCCAAGCGGTTGGAGGTACAGAAGTTGGAGCAAGAGCAACGCAGTCGGGAGGAAAAGGAGCATAAGGAACGGGAGAAGCTGGTCATAAGCACCACTAAGCTCCAGCCGGCGCATGTTCCAATTAAAACGTAATCACAAACTTCAGAAAGTCACTTAAAATGGATAGTAAATACTTTGTTATTTCAAACAGTTCCCCACAACCACTTAGTCCTGAGAAAACAGCACCGGGATTTGCCAACAATCTAACCGATGCGGAGCGCATGCGTCAGGCGAGGAATCAGGAGGCCCGCGAATTGATTGGCTCGCGTGTGGGAGCTGCCAAGGCCATGTTCACCAAGCACACCAGCGAGGGCCAACTTCAGTCCAAGTGAGTGTTTACCTTTCTCCTAATCGAATTAAAATAAAACTACCACTTTTGCTCCACAGACTCAACACGCAACCGCCGGCAAAACCGGCTCGCAATTCTATTGCCCAGCGCATTAATGTCTTTAACCAGAATCAGCCTCAAGATGCATCTGTGCCTTCACCACCACGCGCTGTGTCCCCTGCCAAACCGCTGCCCGTTGAGGCTTCTGTAGCAGTAGCCCCTGCTCCTATTCCTGCTCCTGCTGCTGCAGTTTTAGTAGCTGCTCCAGTGGCTGCCGAAGTTGTCTCCACAATAGCCGAAGTGGAAGAGACTCAGCCAATAGACGACCTACCACTGGCCCACGAAAGCGAGCAGTTCTCGACCATCAAGAGGTCGCCTCACAGTAAAACCAACTCACTGCAGTCGCAGTCTCCTGACGAGACCACTTCCTCCAATGAGACAGACACCGCTGTGTACCAGGATCAGGAGGAAGAAGTCCGCACCAAGGTGTCGGTCACCGTGCAGCAATCACAGTCGGCCAAGACGGGGGGCCTCAGCACTTTGGAAAGGAATGCCTGTAATTAACGCATAATATGACACTAATCCGACAATTTTTTAACGCTTTTATTTTTCAGTGACGGATTTGGTAAACGAGGATGATTTTATTTGCCAGGAGACCCTTGGCGACCTGGGACTGCGAGCCCGAGCCCTGTATGATTACCAAGCAGCCGACGAGTCGGAGATCACCTTTGATCCGGGCGATGTCATTACGCATATCGATCAAATCGATGAGGGATGGTGGCAGGGCCTGGGCCCTGATGGAACCTATGGACTGTTTCCGGCAAACTATGTCGAGATCATCAACTAGGGATCGCCCCAAGTGCCAAGCAGCTGGGACACCCTTTTGCTAGATATCTTCACCAACGCAGCTAGCCTCTATACTTTGGATCCGGACTATTGCTACTTAAACACTTTAACCCTACTCTTGAACAATAATGCGATACACCTAAAGGAGACTCAACGATGACTAAATGCGACTATAAGATTTTTATCGTACATCACGCGTCTGTTTTTTATCTACATACATATTATATAACGTATATTCCATGCCACATATGCGACCCATTCATACGTTGTTCCCATCTGTAAACATATATTATATCATTGTTTGGCCTCGATAGCCGAGGCCGTGTTGCGTCCTTTTAAAATGTTTCGTAAGATACATACAGAGTAACCACTTAGTCAGTATTTAAGGCCCGCTCCACTCCCTATCCAGGGTTCTTTTGTATATGTATTATTGATTGAGATTTGTAACCTTTTCGATAATAAACTTTGATATTTGTGCAACAGAAAGAAAAATATGTGTTTTATGGTCAACAATATCTACATTTATTTTCGCATTAATTAGTAGCATAAATAGTTATCATAGTTCTTCTAGACCTTTGTTTAACAATTCACCTGCAGCAAAGCCGTGTGTTTGGATGCGGTGGCTGTGGCAAGCAAGCGCGATTGCTGTAGATTTGTATGAGATCATACGGCGGCTTGCTGCCCATTGCTGCTGCCCCTCGGTACAATTTACGTATAAAAACTGGACTCAGGTTCAAAAATATCCTCATGGTGATCTCTATTCGCTTAAACATAATCAGCTCTTTTAAGTTAGGGACAACTATCGTTGCCAAATCGTTTTCGTTCTGTTAACTTCCGAATTCTATGCAGGCACTTTTTTTCAAAATTAATTTCCTTACTAGCCTATAATCTATGCTGTGTGTGTGTGGTTTGATGAGTGGGTGATGAGATTTGCGTGTTTTTTAAGTGGGTGTGCTTCTACGAAATACTAGAAAAGATTCGTCGCCAGCTCCTCTTATTCACATTCACATCCACATCCAATTCACTTTCACTTTGAATTCAGTAAAACAAAGTCTCTCGCTGTCCTTTGATGAGTCGCGGGATATCGGCACTCGCCTCTTTTTCCGCCTGTTGTCACTTAAATTTGGTTAATTTGCGTAGCTGCTTCGAAACGGTCGCCTTGTAAAGGCGCTGTGTTCATCATTCCGACGTCGTGGTGGTTGTCTCGGTCTGCGCGGTGATCTGAGCTGATTCTCCCGGGGCAGCGGGCTCCTCTGCGATGGCTTCGGGAGCAGCTCCTCCTTCCACTACAGCACTTGGTGGCGGCGGCAGAGGGATGGGCTCCTGGATTTTCGTAGCATCCTGTGGCTGTGGAGTCACTGGCTCCGCAGAGGCTTCTGGGGCAGGAAGTGCACCCGTATCCACGGCTTCGACTGGGGTGGCAGTGGTAGCTGCTGCTCCTGACGCCGCCCTAGCGTTCTCCTCGGCCTTGGCCTCCAGCACATTTATGGAAGCCTGAATGCATCTGCAAGAGGAAATCATTGGATTAGGCATATATAATGGAAAATTTGAACAGGCTGGACATACTTGATAGCTTCCTTTCGGGCCAGGCGAATGCTGTCCTTGCCGTTTGTATCGATGGTGTCCAGCTTGAGCAGGTTGCGGGTCAGCATCTCATCCAGGTAGGCGTACTCCTTCTCCTGGCGCGTTCCCTTGAATTGCTCCACCTTGCCCATCAGCTCGAGCACGTCGCGTTGAATGTCCTGGATTTTGTTGATCGAGTTAAGGGTGTGAGGTGTCTGTGGCGGTAATCCAGCGGCTCCCTCAACTGGCGCCCCTTGGTCAGGATGTGCTTGCTGGGTATTCAGTGGCGTGGGCCTCTGCTGTTGTGGTGCAAAATGAGCCTGTGCCTGCGCCTGAGCCTGAGCGGCCTGGGCTTGGGCTTGGGCACTGGGCGGAGCGTTCTGGTTGGGTATCTCCTTGTGGGCATTGATGATCGGCTCGGTGCGACCCTCCACGAAGATGGGTATGGTGCGGACATAGGTGCCACCCGGTGTCTGTGGGGCTGGCGGCGGGGTCGGCTGCTTCTGTTGGGGATGCGTCTGCTGCTGGGGCGCATAGTAGCTCTTGAACTGCTGGCCTTGCACGGGCGGACTGGTCTGGGTGCCGAACTGTTGGTGATGTGCTCCTGGTTGCTGCGGCTGCTGCTGTTGCTGCTGGTAGAGTAGATTCTGCTGCTGCTGCTCTGGCGGAGGGGCGGAGTGGGAGCGCAATCCCTGATCCTGCTCGGCGGCACTCTTGACGCCCATGTCCACGGTGTTGCGTAGTCCGTGCTGGTTCAAATTGGCCGATGGGGCGCAGTCCACCTCCGATCGGCCGGCCGGATCCTCCGTCTGGATGGCAGCATCACAAAGACGCTTCGAAGGCGACTGCGGCACCTGTGGCTGAGGGGATCCCACGTAGACTGGCTGCTGCTGGGGCGGCACAGCGTACTGGTAGTGCTGCTGAGGATGCTGCTGGGTAAACTGCGCCTGCGGTTGCTGTGGGGTATACTGCTGCTGCGGCTGCTGCTGCTGCTGGGGAACTTGTCCCGGACCAGAAGCAACTCCCGGGCCACGTCTTACTCCAAAACCATCAGGGATATATTGGCGGAACTCCGAGGGAAGCCGATTGAAGAAGTCATCATCGTGATCCATGTGATTGTTGGCTCCACTGGCCATTCGTCCTCGCCGGCCCATCGTCGAGAACCGGGGGAATCCAAAGTCTGCGTCGTCAAAATAGGATGAAAAGTCATCGTCAGCATTGGATTGGGCACTGGGACCGTGCAAACTGCTCCGCTTACGTGACTCGCCGAAGCCGGCGAAGGGATCATGCATCCTGCTCAGGTGCGAGCGCGGGAACATGTTGTCCATGTCCATGTTCGGTTCGAATCCAAAGGTCGGCTGCAATCGGAAGAGGAAAAACCAATTAGAATTAATGGTATATGCACAATAAAAAATATCAAGTCGATATCATATCAACAATTTTATTCTATAGAGATAAATTAAAAAGGCATAATAGAGCATCCGATTACGTGACCAAAAAACATACTTGGAAGCCCAGCACTGCACTATGAATTTGAATATTTTAAATAAATATCATATAATAAGAAAATAATAAGAACTTTTTTTCCGTGCAGGAGTAGTGCAAATTGTTCGGCTCGGTGGGCGAATTGTTTATAAATAACAGGGTGAGTCAGAACCCCATAGACTGGGTGTGAGTGTGGGCAAACAAGTGATGTCAATTGGCAGTGAATGAACAGCTGTTGGGGAGCGGAACAGTCCGATCTCCGAACCTTACCTTTTGCCTGCTCAATTTGTTTACTTTTTCAATGAGCACTGGTCGGCAATTATTTTCGCTACAAGTGTAATTCTACGAGAATTCCGAGTCTGTCCGTCTGTCTTTTCGTTTTTCAGCGATTGTTTGCTTTTCCGCTCGGTGACGTGATGCACTGCGTCCGATTGTTTGAATGCGAATGAGGCGAGTCGTCGGCGAAGAAGGCCTTTTAAAGCGAATGTCGCCCACTCTCGAACCCGCTGGCTCATTCTGGCCACTTCTCGCAGTTTCTACGACTCTCGAGAAGTCTCTGCCTTTGAGTCTCTCCTAAAAGGACGCTCTCTTTGGTCTCAATTGACTGAGTGGACTTGTGGAAGTACTGTGAATTAAGCCTATCGAGAACTTTAAATATGATAACTTAGTACAGAGCACACTCATAATAGTGAACTAACCAAATCCTCTGCATTGAATTCGATATACAAATAGGGATAACAAATGATGTTCACTTTAAAAATAACTAACGATTGTGTTAATTGTTTTACAATAGCCTTCAATTAGTAATATCAATTTATTTGTTTGGTTACATATATGCACACTAAAAAAAAAAGGTATTCTCGTACATTTTCATGATCCAAGTTTTGGTGAGACTGTTACAGTGTGTTTAAGAACTATATTTCTTGAAATAACATTTTTTGAGGCTGAGTTATATTTAATTTACATAAAAAGGTTTGAATAATATTTAATAATATTTTATAATATTTTTATTTTATTTTTAAGGTAAATAAACGAGTAATAGTTTTTTTAATTAAATTAGAAAACTTTTAAATATTTCATTCCACCCTTAAAACCATTGTCCATTTAAAGAATTTCGCTAAAATGTATTACACTTAATATCTTAAGTCAAACTTAACCTGTATCTACTGTACACTAACTCTGTGATGACGTTTTTATATAGTCAACGTCACCAACGCATAGAAATGTGGCCCCCGCGTTGGTTAAGAGGTTGAGCAACCAAAAGACACCCACGCTTCCCATTAGACAACTGGCTTGCTTCCACCGATATGCGCACATATGGAGTGTCATTATGTATTACTGTGCGGTGCTCACCTACAGCGGAAAACACGTATACGCACAGACTTCGGTCGAGAGTCAAGAGCGGCAATAGAGCGATATTTCTACTGGGAATCGGCGCCAAAATAGAAAAAACGAGAGCACTGGCAGAGCTACGCGTCCATTAGCTTGTGTGTTTTCTTCTAGAAATTTTCAAATATTTTCTGCTGTTCGTTCGTGATAGATTTGAATTGCTGGTCATTAGATTAGGCCACAACAAAACAGCTGTACTTTACTTGTCTCTGGTAAAATTCCGCACGCGTTGCGGCATTAATCATACGTAGCGTTGGCCAGCTGAAGAGAGCTTGACACGACATCAGCCCCAGAAACTTAGCCATCCTCCCAGGCAGATTTTAGTAGTTTATGCCCAGTAGGTCAACAGAGTGTGCACACACACTTGACACACTGCACCCACCCCTTTCGCACAAAACCCCCTTTTTTGAGATAGAGGCATTTATGCAACCACACTGACTTTGTTCCATTGTTTTGTACTCATACTGCGATTTAGAGAGTTTACAAAATGCCCAAAGCCAATGCGAAATTTAATTTGAGAAAAGTAAAACAAAAATGGGAAATATGCTGTGTCATAGCACAGTGAATAAATAAAACTTAATCACGTTTTCAAGGAATAAAAATTTTTGTACATTAATGTTAATGTTCTGAAAATGTAAGCTTTTAAAGCCTCATCCAACTAAAATCTAGCCTAATAAAACACTTGGTATGGTCGGTTTCTTATTGTGAAATATTAAGTTGATTGTTCTCGAAGTGCTAATCCAACTAGTGCTTTACTAGATGATAGGAATTAATTGACATGGAGGAAGTTAGCCTAAGATTTGTCGTTTACTTAAATAGTAGATTGTAGGCGCTTAACCCTCAAAAACAACTAGCAGAAGGGTTGCTCTTTGCAGTTATTTCATTAGTTTATTTTCAATGTGTTTGTTTATTATTTATTTGACGTTCCGGCAATATTCATTGATCAATACAAACTTTAGTAATAATATGTTTTGAATATTCAGTCCAAAATAAATCAATACAATTATTGCACACAAAATACAAGGGTATAGAAACTACTGTTGGACCAGTTAATTAAAAACAAGAAAGGCAAGCTAACTTCGGGCGGAGCCGAAGTTGATATACCCTTGCAGAATACTCTGTAAATTATATTCTCCAAAATTATTCATATGATGCATTCTTAATACTCATAAAAAATCCCAACATCCTAACTTTAAAAACACCAAAGTTATGGCATTTTCAATCCTTCAGTTATATGGAATCTATAAGATATAGTCGGCCGATCTTTATGAAATTTGGTAGGTCGGATTGATTGGCGAAAAATTAAACCCATAGATAATCCCAACTTTCTAACTTTACAAACACCAAAGTTATGGCATTTCCGATCGTTCAGTTATATGACAGCTATATGATATAGTAGCCTGATATGGCTCGTTCCGACTTATATACTACCTGCAATGGAAAGACAACTTTTTAAAAGTTTCAAGCAGATAGCTTCAAAACTGAGGGACTAGTTTGCGTAGAAACGGACGGACGGACAGACGGACATGGCTAGATCGACTCTCCTGGTGATGCTGATCAAGAATATATATACTTTATAGGGTCGGAAATGTCTCCTTCACTGCGTTGCAAACTTTTGACTGAAATTATAATACCCTCTGCAAGGGTATAAAAATAAATGTTAAACAACACTTTATAATGCTTAACCTTTTTTATTAAATTTAGAGGTTATAGGTCTTTTTTTTTAATTCCATCTCCGAATAGACATTTTCTTTTTAAGAAATTTAATTTCTGTCATGTTCCAATTGACACCCTGTTTCGATTTCCATTCAACTGCTTCCCGTATGAGAATCTCCCCTGTACTTGAATTGCCACACAGCTAGCGAACAACAAAAACCATGACACTCATACAAATATGTCCCAGCTATGCGATCGAGGTTGGATCGAGGGGACCTGGAGGGGGCGACCTTGCCAGGCGCCAACCTTGGGATCTCTCGTCGCTCGTCTGCCACCCCCTCCCGCTGCACCTACTGCGCCGTACAACCGCTGGCGGCCACTCACCTGAAAGTGTTGCTGCTGCGGCTGCTGATTCGGGGGAACCTGCTGGTGCTGCTGGAAGTGCTGCTGCTGCTGCCTGGGCGATCCGTAAGCGTTCTGGTGGGGGCTGCTGTGGAACTGTGGATTCTGTGCCGCCTGCTGCGGTGATCCATAGCCACCTCCGACGACGTACTCCCGGTTAACGGGTATATTGACTCCGGGTCCTGCGGGCGAACCATTGCCACCGCCGGCGGGATTGCTTTGCGCCTGATTGGCTGCCATCACAGTGGGCTTCATTGCTGATTCCCTGGGCAAAAAACCGTATCCGTAACCGTACCGCTGGCCACTATAACCGCTATAACCGCTATCGAATCGAATCCGCCGTCGTCGTCTCGCTGCGTAGCGACAATTTTTAATTTATTTCCTTTTGTTGATACTTGGCTGTGACTTTTCGTCGGCGACTACTTGTCGTGCCAGTTGTTGAGATTAATTTTTGGACGCGGTGGGGGTAGGGGGTTTCCGTGGGGTTTTTGGGGGCTTGGGGGGGTGGCGCGGGCTCACCTTGAGCGACGACGACGCGTGCGAATAATACCGCTTTCTCGTATGTTCCTGGCAATTTAGCTCCTGCTGCGGTCCGGAGTGTGATGTCACTTTTGGCCACACTTTCTAGCTGCCACTTTTTTACTTCCACTTTGCTTTTTAGCTTTTTAGTATTTCCGCTTGCTCGCTCGCGCTCTCTTTTGGCCCTGCGCGTGTGTCAGTGTGTGTGTGAGTGAGTGTGGGTTTTCGGATTTCTATATTCAATTTAAAATATATATAGATTTTTTATTTTTGCACATTGCCACTCGGATTTGTTGTTGTGTTTTTGGGCCACGCATATGCACACGGGCGTCCTCACGCTGCCAAAGTTTCTCGTCGACTGAGCGGCATCGCCAGTTTCTGCTGGCCATTAGCTCTCTCTATTCGCCCCACTGTGGCGCTCTCAGACAGCGCTCTCTATTCACTCTCCCCGCCGCACTCTCTCCCCCACTCTCTTGCTGTAGGCTTTGCTTGGCTTCTACCTGCATTTCAGCCGTTCTCCTCTCTCTCTCCGTCAATTTGAAGCCTTAATTGGTAAATATTTAATACTGTCTTACGGATACGGATACAGCTCTCCCGGTCACTCTCTTACCAACGCTCTCTCTTTGTGCACTGATCACGGCCCAAGATACACACACATCAGACTTATAAATAGACGTCCGCTAGAAAGTTGGCCGAAAGAGAGAGAGCGGCTCTCTCTGAGACGAATTCCTCGGCAGTCGCATGGCTTCTAGAATCTGAATCTGTAAGCCACACTGCAAAAAAAAAAATGAGATAATGAGGAATGTAAAGGCATTACATATTACTTTTAGGCAGTTTGAAATGTGAAAAGATCAAAATCTTAGTTAATAAGCTAAACTATTAAATTAAATAAGAGCTAATATGATTCATTTTTATAGAAACTTTGCGCAACGCCTAAAACGAAAATAAAATGTGTTCTTTCTCGAATAATTTTAATGACACCTATTACATAAAGTGTCGAGAGTAAGGAATAGAATTTAACATATGTATATATTATATGATAATCAATTTAATAACACCAGCCTTTAAGCTTTAAATGTTTCATATGTTATATCGTAATTTGTTAATCTAAACTTATTTATGAACAAATGTTAAAACTAATTTAAAAATTTAATAGTCATAGGATAACAGGCTTTTGTTAATGTATAACACATTGTTTATATTAAAATATCCAAATGCGTACGGATTTGAACCCAGACTTTTGTCTCTCTCATTATTTGACCATTTTGATGTAATATCGACTCGATATTATCGCTCTTCTTTTTTCCTGTGCACTGGGACCGCCTACATACAACCACTGCGTCACTAACGTCCAATAGCAACAACAACCAAAAAAAGAATCAAAAACAAAGGCAACGGCAAAATCAGCAGCGTAAACAGTTGTCATCGCCCACTGACGAGTCTTGTTGAGCGGCAATCAATCGATCAATGACTAACGATCTGTTGCCACAGCTCCCCCGCACTGAATACCTTTTCGTGTTTTTCGCAATATATAAAAGTACAATGTGCAGTAGCGACAGAAAGTCTTCTGCAGTCAACTGTTATCGCTTAATGATCAGCTGATTGCCGCCAGTTGTTTGGGCCAACTGTTTACTCCACATTATAATGGACTATTAGTCACTCACGCCACAAGCATTTTCATCAGAATGCCAAAATTACCCATACGCACTGTTGCGGCCAAACAAATAAGAGCAAGATCGAATTCGTTTTTCTAATTTGTGAAATTTTATAGATAGCTCTGGTTATTTTATCATCTTTTAAAGGGCTTTCGGTCTGAACAATTTTATTTCATTGATTAACACATATTAATGGAGAATTGAATTCTTGTACATTGTAAAAACTTAACTTTTAAAGTAAAGTATGATTTTCACCATTATAAGTGCCTTAAATTTTAAAATCGAATTATTTTGATATTACTATTTTTACCTCAGCTGTGACTATAGATCCGAGTTCATATGCATGCTCTTGTGTATAATCGGACTGCCGGCGGCGACACGCCCACCCATCTTTATCCGATAGATGTATTTTCCAAATATTTTCTCGGTGTTTGGTCGAACAACTGCGTCGCTAGAGCATATAAAGCCGAAATAATTCATAATTAAATATTGCACATCTCTTAATACATACAAGGTATACATATTTCATTATATACAAACGCTTTTTATTGTTATAAATGCCTAAAAGATACAAAAGCGAAAAGCAATGCGGGGAAATTAAACTCATGTTGCAGTTCTGCGTTTTTCTCAGAAATTGCATTTCAAAAACATTCAGCACATTAACCACCACTGCTAAAGAAATTTTATTACAATTTAAAGATAATTTAATCAAATCACCCCTTTGTTGCAATTTACTTTGCGATGTAGGATAATGTAGGGTATCCCACACAGTCTTCACTAGTATTTCAATCCGATCCATTTATGGCTCTACAAATGAAATGTAAGCCGTCAAAACAAATCGCATTGAATGAGTCAGTCAAAAGCAAGTGTTTATTCTGGCTAAATATGCTGACATCCCCGATTCCCATATCAAAGTGAAACAAATATGAGTTTCACGTTTGGAATTTGAATTTAATACTTCCCAAGAAATGTCTAATCTAAAAGTAAAGCGTCCTCTTAAGCGTTTTATATGATTTTTTTTAGGAAATTAATTATTCTTGGTAACATAGATATGTGGGATAAATTTTAATATCTGATCTACTTTAGAATTTAATGTTATTATAGGTTTTTAATGCCTCTAAAAATTCTGATATTTTGAAGTTGTCTTTTTCTATTTATTTTCTAAGTTGTTAATGACTTTTCATCCCATTGTGCTACTACCATATAGTACTCCATTACCGTTAATATCGAACCTTGGCTCAATTAACCGTTTGAAGAGGGTAGCTTTGAATTTGCGGGCAGTTTGACGATTATTGCTGGCTAGGCCGTTAATTGCCCGCAGCCGACAGGTGAGGACTCACAAAAAATATAAAAAAAATCAACCCACCGAAAAACCTGGCCCCCTCAATTATATAACTGAATCAAAGGTTTTTACGCACTCCTTGGCAAGGAGCACCTTCACTCTCTCACTCTCTCTTGCCGAGCTCCAAATTGAGTGAGTTTTTATTTTGGCGCGCTATGTAATGGCGCAGACTCGGCTTGTTCCCATTCATGCCCGCGGGTATCGGGTGCCTCAGTGCCTCGGCTCAGCCACTACCACTCCGTTTGAGCCAAGTTCCAGTGGCTGACTGGTCTGCTCAGCTGCTCAGTCTGTGACCAGCGCTCGAGCCGATTCGTTTGGCGCAATCCTTCTTCTGCAAAGCGAAACTCACGCGGCGGCTGCAGCTCGTTTTTTTTTTGTTTTCACTATCCACACATTTCACGGCTGCGTTTCTTGCGGTCTGGCTTTCATTGTTTCGGCCCTCAAACGCTTTTTCACGTTTACCTTTACTCGGCTCCCTTCTACAAAACGCTACTTGGCGAAACGACACGGAAAAATGGTCAGGACACCGTTGACCAAGCATTAACTGTCACACAGTTTAGTTTTGTGTTCACACTGAGAGAAAAGCAGTAAAAAGTTAGAGAAGCGAATCAAAATTTCGGCATTTGCAACCGCCGTCAAGAGGGGCTCTGAGGCACCGTGATATAACAGGAGTTGCCGCTCGACTTTCTCCGCCTTTCTCTCTCTCTCTTTGCGAGGCGAAGTCGAAGTCGAGGTCCCCATGTGGCAGTTCCATTGACCAGGAGGCAAGCAACCGGAGCGCTGAAGTTAACGTAAGTCCTGCGATTCCCTTAACGGCCACATTAATGCCACATTCCGTTGGGTGACTGACCCGCGTCCGATTCTCCTTAAACGCAAATGTCCCGAAAATTATACTCCAATTCTCTTATACGAAACAATTTACGGCTCTTACGAATAATTATTTTTCTGTTTTTGGGCACGCAACTGGGGAATTAGCGGCAGTCCTCCGCCTTTGTCCCTCCCGTGTCAAGCGCGCATAAGTGTTTTCCATGTAAATCTCGTCCCACGGGTCGTATGGGTAATGGTAATGTGTGGCCCGGGCGGGTCGTGATCTGGTCTGGACTGTCAGCCGGCCGTCAATGCCGAATTGGTGTGAAAATGCCCCGAAACGTGACTGTGAAAACCTCTGGCCAACCCAGACTTGCAGGCCTCCGTGTCTGCTCATAGATGTCTCGAATTGAAAAGGGTATGCAGTCATATTTGGTTAGTTTTTAGTCAGATCTTGTACTTTGAAACACAAAGTCTTACATTTTTTAATGCTTGCAAAATAATCTTTTTTATTTAAAAGGGAAATCAAAAATTTATATTTCCGTCTTAGCCACTATTTTTTCTTTACGGGAATTACACATAATGACTTGTTTTGTTTGCTCGTAAATCAAGCTGCAAAGTTTATGCTTAGCACTACTATAGATTTTTTTTCTGAAATAGAGCGGATTATCTAGGCTTAAGTAAAGACCATACGGATTAAGAAAAGCTTTTAAGAATGTTAGGTGGTACACAGTTGTCTTTTCATGATATACCGTCCAGGATTCTTAAGACATGCCTGACCCGTATTTTATGTTGTATCAAAAGTCATCAAAACTTAAAAAAATTACGTCAGTGAATATCATAAAAAAACGGTATGTAAACAAAATCGCGTATACGCCTAGTTAACTACTAATTAGTTGGGAAAAGTCACTTAAGATGTACAGTACATAAAATTGTTTGGGGCCCACATTCCATAAACTTCTTATTATCCTCCTATTTATTCCCCTTTTTTTAATCCCCCAACCACAAGCCCTCAATTTGAATGCTTCATTTCGCTTAATTTCCCTTGTTGCACACTAAAAAGCATGGCCAAACTTTTTACGCCACTCTCATTGCATATGTAAAACGAAATTAATATTTTCAGTCATGCAATTCGACCGCTCCGCTTCGCCCACCTGCCTAATTATTTATTTAAATTGCGTTCTGTCAGCAGCGGAAACTTTCGGAGTCGAGTGTATGGTTCATTAGGTTCGGATTGTCACATTTCGAGGCTTTCATTCCGCAGGACTCTCTCCTGAATGCAGTTAATTAGCTGTGACCCCTACAGAAATTGCAAATGTAGATGTAGCGGGAGGGAGTGGCAGGGAAACGGATGCAATCCAAAATCAAGGTTGATGTCCCCAGATTGGCTCAGATTATGTGTGCCAACATGGGGTAGGTGATGCCAGGCGATCAGTTTTCAGTTTTATTACCACGGCGATGGCAACACTTTGTCTCTGTCAAATCGTGGGGTGCAAAAGGGGAATTATTTGGGGGACCATATAGCCGGTGCCCAGTGAAAATAGTTTCTGCTGGCACTAGAATTTGTTCAGGACCCGGTACAATGTTTGCTTCGAGCAATGAAATCCTCGAAGCTCATGAAATCAACAACCATCGGCAATCCCATCCCCACTGAGCTGTTGTATGTTAATAAAGCATTTTATGGCAGCACGTGCCCTCTGGAGAGAAAGTTTTGCTTAGTCGGCTCCTAGCTCCTGACTACTGACCCTTCTCCTCGGAGGATTGCTGCCGGTCCATTGACATATCCGTAGACAAAGCGGCGCTATTTGGCTGCCGGCTTGGCTGCCCCTATCCTGTGAAGAGGGGCAAACTTGACTGCCCCTAACCCTCTACCCTTTTCCGAGTCCCTTCCCCATGTGTGTGAGGGTGTAGCCTTCGAATTTATTTAAAACTGCCTGCCTGGCAGCAACGAAAGCAAAACATAATCGCCTATTTCGATATATTTATAGTACAGTAGCTATTGGGCTTGGGGAACTATGTAATAAAATCTAAAGTTTACAAGACCACCCATGCTATTTACAAAACTAAAATGTTTATACAAAAAATACAATTTGAAATTGCTGTTAAATCTAATTTTTGTTGAGATTTTAGTTTGTGTGATTTAGGCGAGTTTAAAAACTTAAAACTAAAAACAAATTTTTGCTGCTAGTACTGAGTTCTGCAACTAACTCTTTTAGCAGAAGTTCACTTTAGATGGGTTCAACTGTTCCCTTTATAGGCATCAGCGTGTTTGTCTCCTTTCATGCCTGAAACATTTATTACAAACAAAGCACGACGGAAAAAAACTCATATTTTTCACAGTCAGTGAGCAATTGGGACCCATGGTGTCCCAGTCCCAGTCCCTGTCCCTTCCACGGGGTTCCCCCAACCGCCATATCACTCCGCCATTGACTCACCAAGTAAGCCCAGCGATGGAGTCATAAAGCGTCACCCGGCCCTGTCGGTCCCAATCCCAATCCCATCCTGTCCTGTTAGGTGCGGCTACTGGTGCCGCTGGCATGTATTTTATTGCTCATGTAGAATGTCTAAACGATATAATTGACTGCCAACCGTAGGGGGCGGTGCACGAGATGGGCGATGGGACAAGGCCGACTCCGGCTAATTTATATGCATACGATATACATACAAAACTATCACCCCACCCCCTCCTCTTTTAAATGACATTGGGTACAAAAAAACAACCGAATTATAAGTCGATTGAAGGCAAACGATAATGAAAACACATTCGTGGAAAAACTCGCGCCATTTCGGGGAAAACCCAAAGTGAAAAAGTTGGCAGCAACTCCTGGTCAGGAGGAGCAGAAGTGGGGAACGATTTAATTTGATTAAAGCTTTCCATAAATTTCGCTTTACTGTCTGCGCCTCGGGACATGCAACACTTTTTTCCTGTCAGACCTGGGAAAAAATCGCCTTGGCAAACGGCCCGGAAATGCACGGTCGTAGGGGCGGAAGAACAGGCCACCACAATGCGATTTCATTAGAAGTTTGTTGATGAATTCAATGCAAAACTGTTTTTCAATCATGGCCCCTAAAATATTTGGCCACCGGCTAAACCAACACATTCGTACACGGACACACAGACACGAGGACACAAGGACGTCACAGGCGCACAAGCGAGGCTGTTCCAGCTTCCACTTTCCCCTTACACAAATAATATCAATTTGAACTGCTTCTCCCCTTTTTAAATTCCCATTTATTATATATATTATTTTACTCTGTCGTTTCGAATGCTAACAGTTTTGCATATAACAAAATCCCGTTAAAATTTTTGTATATATCAATATATCAAGATAGTTTTTGATCCTGTGGGGAGTGCATATTTCTTTATTCCTATAACCAATTGAATAAAAAGGATCTTTGAGAAATATATGCAAGCTTTAATCAAGACGATTTTTTTAACAAAGGTTTTTAAATTGATTCATATCAAATTTGTTTAAATGGTTATCTATAGCGGTCTCATTTTACAAGATAGGGACTTCATTTATCCTTCTGAAAGTTTCGTTGAATTAAATTTTTACATTCTTGCCTAAATATTAGCACAGCAAAGTGGAAATAGAGTCGCAGTCGGGAAAAATCATACAATATTCAAGGTTCAAAATTGGAATAAAACAAAATAAGAGCCCCAATAGGTTTCTTAAATATCAGTATCCCAAGTCAGTTATCTGGTTATAACTTTTGATCTCGCTTACACATAAATTAATCCCGAATCCATCATAAGGTAATACATAATTGTTTTGAGTGCACCAGTGCTCCTTTAATCCCGATCCCAGTTCATCTCCCCTGAGCTCCATCTCCATCTGTGCGGAATCGTAGGGCGGAACACGGATGTTGGGGCGAACGAAGTGTCACATCAATTGAATTGAATGGCTGGGGCCGACTCTTCCTACTCGACCTCGCAGTGGGCGAAGACTATTTATAGGCACTGTGATGCTGATTGGATGCACTTGAAGTCCATGTCGCCGCTGTCCAAATGCTGCTAAGCAGCAATTTTGGCTGATCAATTGCCTCCGATACCTTCGAGAGGATGAAGAGGCTAGATTGACTGCTCTAATTTCGTAATTTCCCCGGTACGGAAGTGGGTGACCACCCTGGTCTAGCTGACTGGTAAATGACAGCACACGTGCCTTATCTGCTCCTGCTCCTGCTGCTTCTCGTGCAGGTCCTCCTCCGAGAGTATGTCAGTCAATTTAATGCCCGTGGCTGCGACGACAACGTGCCGGGAATGAAATTACAACAAAGCGACACTTTGCCGAGACAACTTATGCAAATGTGGCGGATTCAAAGTGCACCCAAAGGATGGGGTTGGTGTTTCAGCTCCAAGTGTGTTATACAACACACAAGGTGGTCTGCCCACGTCTTGACTTTGTGATGAGGCAAAGGCCTTTGCTTTGCCATTATCCTGAAAAGGAAGGATGGGCAGGAAAGGCGGGCAACCAACTGTTGCAAGGACCCGTCTGCTAACCTTGACCACTTTTGGGGGCCAGGCCAGGTATGCCAGGTGCTGGTGGTTAGCCCCTGGCATTTCGGCCTCAATACGAATCCGAAATCCTAGTCCCAATACCAAAACAATCCTATCTGTCTGTCTGTCTGTCCCACTAATGAGATGCAGGCGAGCCAACGTCAAGGCCTGTTTACTTCCGCGACGAAGGCGGCGACAAAGACATCCATTATGTCCCGGCCATGGCAGTGGTGGCAACAGCTTGCCACATTCGCCACTTGCACTTTCATCCACAACAACAAACAGCATTTAGCTGCCCCACCCACCACCACCACTCACATTGCCATTTCCTCTTGGCCTTCGCCGGGAATTTTGCGCCCTGAACTTGTCAAATAAAGGATTCTCTTCCTCTGCTTCTTATCCTTTCAGCACTGTGCTTTTGGGCCAATTCATTTCACAATTGAGGAAGTGAGCCGCAACTTTTAAATGAAGAAACATGGGGAATGGCATGAACAAGGTAAGAGAATGAGGACGAGATTTATGGCTGACAAAAAAACACCGGAAACCGATGACAACAGTTCCAAGGTCTGCACAAAACTTAAACAGCCATAATTGCAGTATTTTCAGAACTGTAATAGCGAGGCCTAGCTAATAACAATACATTTCACTTAAACTGACTAATGCTAGAATTAGGATCAAAGCATTAATTTAATTGAAATTTTAAATCAATCACTAAATACGATTCGATCACAATAATGAAATTCACCAAAAATGCTCTAATTTTTTTGCACAGTATCCTTCTGTGTGTTATATTATTTTTGAGATATCAATTTTGTTCTACCAACGAATTATACTTTTAGCTCTGGTTATAAGTTCAAGGGTATATAAATATTCGGCTTAGCAAAGCCTGATTTCTTATGCGATTACCATTTTTGACTGCACTGGCAGTATGGCAGTATAGATCGGTGGTTAAATATCGATAAACAAACTAGTTCCGCAAGCACGGGTAATTGGTATTATGGTACCAACTTCGCAGTGAGAATCTATGATTGTTGTCACGGAAACATGTCAATGGCAACAAGAACTAAACAACATGCAAGGAAACCAATACATTACATGTACATTTTCACATCTCCATGAACAGCACTCAGATTCGTAAGCACACCACACACAACCGGAATTTATTGGTATCTGATCGGCACACAATGAACTGGCACATGGGAAAGGTAAACTCTGAGCGGGCATGGTTTAATCCTTCAACAATTTCCCATCTTCCTAATTATTCAGGTCTTGCCGGGACTTTATGTGGGCAACTACCGCGACTCCAAGGATCATGCACAGCTGGAGAGGTTCAAGATCTCGCACATCATCGCAATACATGACAGTCCGCGGCGCCTGCTGCCCGTAAGTTGATTCTTGGAAGAGACTCTGGGATACTCTCTGATGTTCCCTTTAACCCTCCACAGGACAAGCACTACCTGTGCGTGATGGCCTCGGACACGCCGGACCAGAATCTCTCCCAGTACTTCTCCGTCTGCAACGACTTCATCCACGCCGCCCGTCTGCGCGAAGGCAACGTGCTCATCCACTGCCTGGCGGGGATGTCCCGTTCGGTGACCGTGGCCGTGGCCTACATCATGACGGCCACCCACCTGAACTGGAAGGAGGCCCTCAAGGTGGTTCGTGCCGGTCGCGCCGTGGCCAATCCCAATACGGGTTTCCAGAACCAACTGCAGGAGTTCGAGCAGTTTAAGCTGCCCGAGGAGCGTCGCCGGCTAAGGGAACGCTTCCCATCCTCGGCTCTGGAGCAACTGGATCGCACAAAGGTGGCCACGGCGCTGGACAACTACCAGGAGCTCCTCCAGAATCGCGACATCTGCGAGGGTAACTGCTCCCGCGGCGAGAAATGTCCTACAGGTGCGAGCCAGGACTTAGATGGGGATGGGCAGGTTAAAGAGGAGGAGGAGGAGGGTGAAGGTCTTCGTGGGGTCAGGAAAAGCTTGGCCTACACACTGAACTTTGCGGTGGACAAGTGGAAGAGCAACACCTTTGATAAGCCCAGAGAGGAACTCCAGGATGAAGTCCCATTGGACTTCATTTGCGGCGAGGATCTGATGCCCAATGTGCGTTACTACGATGCGGATGACAACAAAGGTCGGTTCGTTAAGAACTGTGATTCGGACGATGATGAGGCCCGGTACAGTGCTTCCAGGGCTTCCACGAAGCAAGAAGATCACATCAAGCCCACAAAAAAACTCAGAAATCGCCGTCAGCCAAAGTCCGGCTCAAAGTCCCAAAGCACTCTTAACAAATCTTAATTACCACCAATAAAATCATCATTCGGTGCCAGTGTCTCATACTTTCTCTTTGATTTGTCTTTCGGCTCGGTATTAAAATATTAACATTTTTTAAAGATTCATATTTCATTCATATTTTGGTATTTATATGGGTAGAGTTAAAAAATATCCATTAAAAAGTTAGGGCATGTTATAATGTTCATGTACGCATTTTTCTTTCTGTGTAGGCGTCTGCAACATGGACCCCACCAAGGGCTTGTTCCGACGTCGTCCCTCCAACGCCTCCACCCACTCGCGCCTGCGTGCCCAGTCCTCCAATGCCAACGCCTCGTCCAGTTCTCTCAGTGTGACCAGTGCCGCCGCCCAGTCCTGCCCCACGTCGCCCAAGAGCTCTCCGCTGCCCATTGCCCGTCGCTCGGTGGGCAACGAGCGCATCCCCGAGGACGAGATCGTCCTGGAGCAGCCGCCCACCACGTCTCGGGAGGCAGCCGAATATGCCGCAGCCTTCGAGGACGCACGCCGGGAGACAGAGCAGCGCCAGCAGCAGCTGGGCAAGAGTCAGCGCTCCCCCGGCCGGGCAACTCCTCCAGAGAAACACCCCGGGTAAGCAGCGCCGGCAGTCGGAGGGAGTCCGCCGCCAGGGAGGGGAACGGCTCCGCCCAGCTGCAGCGGAGTGCCAGCACGGTCAGCGGCTTCGGAGTGCGTCCGCGGAGTAGTCCGGCTGGACTGCACGCCTACACGGGTGAGTAAGATCCTTAAGCTGGTTGTAAGCAACACTACAAACATTATAAGGGAGATTACCTGGTCTCGTTAATTGCAATTTCTGTAATACTTGTTCTTTAATATTTGTGGAACAAAATGGCCTTAGCAAATATTATTAAAAGTCCAAGTATCTCAAGAAATGCACAACTAAAATAAAAACTTCTAAGTCTGTTTTTTTATTAATCTAATTTAATAAAAAAAACTTAAGTACCTTCCAATCTTTTAGAAAATCGTCTCCCGATCTATATTTATTTGTAGCTTTTCTAGAACATTTAACCATTAACTATAAATTGTGCTTATACAAAAAAAAATAGATATTGAACCAAACACTAGTTTACAATTATAATATATATATTATATAATATATTAAGATTATAATTAATGTATTTAGATTGTTAATATCACATGATCTACTAAACTAAAATATTGTTTACCGTTACTGTTTGCGCTTATAACAAAATTATGCAATATTTTTCGATTAAATGATGATGACTTATTCACCGAATAAAAAAGTTTAGTAGTTTACTTGAAAGTAAATTCAAGTTTTTTTTAGATATGTCTAACGTACAGAAATAGGATATTTATTTATTTTCCTTTGACAGGCTCGGTTCCTTCCTCCGTCCACGGGTCTCGAGTGGATTTGCGGGATGCCGACAAGGGATCGGCTATCTACTTAGGCTGCTCGGCGCCCAGGGCCTCCACCCTGTCTATATCCTCGTCGAGGGGCTCGTCGGGTGGCTCTGCCCCGCCCTCGCCCTGCCACACGCCCCCCGCCAGTCCACGTCATGGCGTGAAAAGGTTAGTCCCTGCATCACTTAATCTATTTGGTAACTCATAAACCCTCGTCCGCAGGTCCACCAGCCTGGTGAAGAAGCCGAGATGAAGGCCTGAGCCAGTCCTCACACGGCGAGGAGTTTGTTTTTAAAAGGCGAGTTGCATTGGCAACCAACCACTGCATCTTAATCTGTAATCCTTAAGCAACTGGCACACACTTTGGCAAAATGCGCGCGTGACCTGCAGACTTGTTTGGAAGAGGACTACGGATCTCTGGAATTGGGATTCATAGGATCCTCGAGTAGCTTACTGTTGTTAGACGCTAGAGCTGAGACATCCTTCGTTTCCGGCTTTGGCTACCAAAAGTTGTTGATCAATTTTTAGAAACGGCATTCGAGGCACTCGCCTTCGAGTGCAGCCTGAATCAAAAAAAAATCAAATGTTGAGAGATTATTTTTCAGAGACGCATTTAAGAAATACCGACATATACATATACACACATATTTACTGTATATTATATAGCGTATTTATTTATACGAGCAGATTTGTTGTCGGTCCACTTGGAAGGACTGATCCCCACTGATCCCCAAGGCAAATGGCCATTTGTTAGTTTTGTACCGAAAGTTGGCCGGCGAGCGATTGCGGAGACAGTCGAACAATAATAATTGAGAATTGTACAATTGCGTATTTTTGATTATATCCATTGTTGTTGCAAATATTTTGATAGCGAAAAAAAAAAAAAAAAAAAAAAAAAATGGGGACAACCCAAGAGAATCGTTATATACATTCATACCTAGTTGATATAGTATTGACATATGAGATTTGAGATTGTTATTTAGAATTGTTGCATTGTGTAGCATTGAATATATAAACAAAGTTTATTAGCTCACCCCACCCTCTTTCTTCCACACACACAAGCTAAAGAAAAAACTAAAAAAACCTCGGACCCCCAAACGAGATGAAAAGCAATATTGAGCGGACTTTTTCACATTAAACCACAAACAAAATTTAATCTAATCTCAACAAATCGCATTAAAGTGTGCTTTAAAGCTTGTGGCTTATCATAATGAAACCAAAAACACAATTAAAATTATAATCGAATAAGAATGTAAAATTATTTACAACCTTTCCTAGAATATCGAAAACAATCTAATGGACATTTGAGACGTTTTTGCAAGCTGGCTTTGACAAAATAAAAATGGTTCAGAGATACACAAAAATACATACATATGGCGATGAACGGCAAATCAAATACTGTATTTATAATGCCTAGAGAAAAATGCACAAATCGGTTTTAAACTAAAGTTATAAAGAAATCGTTAAGTTTGTCAAATGCATACAATTATTATACAATAATAAAAGCAACTGTCTCCAAGACATAACAATTAAAATGAAATCTAATTGCAACAAATAACATAATAAAAATGCCCTTGGATACTCCTAGACAATACCATGCGATAAGCATTTGATTTATTACTCTTTATTCATATCGTTTAGTTTAGATTATTGACTATTTTAATTTGATTTAGATTAGCGCATGAATGTGTTTAAACAACGACTAGATTTATAATCACTCTCACAATATGCTGATGCTACAGTTACCACAATTACATTACAGACCTCATGGATAGTGGATCTGCGTCCGACACTAAAAGCGATACAAATACTTGGCTAAACATACTGAACACAAATTCCACTAAGATCCCTGTAGTCGGGTTGAAATAAGTACTGGGCCTGCGCCTTTAAACCTCCACATGGTTCATTAGCAGCGGCGTATTGGCAGTGGGATATGAGGAGGGTCGCCTTTTGCCATGTTGGCCACCCAGAACTTCAATACTTTGGCAGGAGAGGGTCAGCGAAAGGGTCGTCTCCTCGTAACGCGATTGAGTGGAGCCCCCTGATGAACGACGTAATCCCGTGTAGGAGTCCACCTCGAGCAGAGCTTCATCACTGAAAGAAAGGTGGATTAGGTACTACATCTAGCTATTCAGTATCAGAATTCCAACCTGTGATACCGATGATGCTCCAGGAGACTACCAGCGGCAAATCGCAGTTTCTTGGGCGATTCTAGACTGGAGGAGCGGGTGAGCGAGTTGCGTGGCAGATTTTTTTGCTTGAGCGAGGAGCGTATCCCATACTCATTGGCCTGCTCCTGGGCCTGCTTGATGGTGCCCTGGATGAACTTGTTGAGCGCCCTCGATCCCCTTCTCTGGGATCTCTCATAGGTGCGTCGGGTGCGTGCCTCCTCATCTTCTCCCAGCAGCCAGTAGGTGCGCTGGTCGCCCTTGCCCTTCATGGAGATGACTCCTCGCTCCTGGAAGTGATAGCCACCCAGTCGCTCCAGCAGCTGTCGGCACTGCCAGCTGCAGTGGATCTTCAGGGGCACGCCACTAGACTCCATGCGGGAAGCCGTATTAACGGTGTCCCCGAAGAGACAATACCGGGGCATCTTTAGTCCCACGACTCCGGCACAAACGGGTCCCGAATGGATTCCTATTCGCAGGAGCAGGCGGTTGGTGGGGCGATGGCGAATCTTGAACTCGGAAACGGCGCTGAGGAGATGCAGCGACATGGTGGCTATTTCCGCCGCATGAAGATCGCCATTGCGCAATGGAAGTCCCGATACCACCATATACGCATCTCCAATTGTCTCCACTTTGTAAACATCGTAGTGTCCGATAATTGAGTCAAAGCAGGTGTACAATTCATTAAGGAAATCCACCACCTGCAACGGAGTGCACTCGGCGGACATGGCCGTGAATCCCACGATGTCACTGAAGTAGATGCTGACCTGTTCATAGTGCTCGGGATCTACTTTATGACCCTTTTTCAACTGATCCGCCACACAACGTGGCAACATCTCGTGCAGCAGGGCATCCGTCTTTTTCTTCTCCTCCTGCAACTGATCCGTGCGATCGTCTACAAGGGCCTCCAGGTTGTTGGCATACTTCTCCATCATGGCCATCATGTTGTCGAAAATGTTAGGCCGCATTCCCTTGCGCAGTGGTCTCAGTTTGGTCCGAATGGTTTTGAAGTCCGGTCGATCCTCAGGTCGCTCCGCCCAGCATTCCCTTAAGCACTCGCTGACACAGTCGAAGGCGGTTTCCAGGGGTTGCAGAGAGGGTCTGTACGGGTTCAGTTGGTCCTGGGGCTGGAGAACCTTCTGCAGGCACTGCATGGGTGTCAGACCTGTCTCCCCAAAGGGTCCTCGACGCACATGCATTTCGTAGAGCAGGATGCCGAAGGAGTAGGCATCTCCACGCTGGGTGCCCATGACCAGAGAGGATGGACCCTGCCTCAGCAACTCCGGAGCTCGGTAAAGCAGTTCTGGAATAGATTGCGTATCGCAGGAGTCTTAAACGTCAATTTTGGAAGAAGCACTTACTCAGGCACTTGGCCGACATGTGCTGCATATCCGTGGTGCTGTCTTCGATGCCCTGTTTGAAGGCGAACAGGCCAAAGTCCGTCAGCTTGACCACCCATCGCGAGTCCACCAGGCAGTTGGAAGTGCACAGAGCGCCGTGGAAGCGAATGGGCGAGTCGTGCAAATAGATGACGCCCTAAACGGCGGCGGCGACGGGGGTGGAAATGGAAATGGAGGTCAGTGGGTGGGCCAACCATTAGTATAATGTTACAGCACTCACGCGTATAATGTCCGCCACCATGGAGGCAATGAACATGTTGTCCAGCTTGACGTCCTCGTTTTCCAGAATGTCCTGCAATGGGAAGGAAGTGGGAATGGGCGTGGAAGGGTCGCTTTGGGTCTTTCAGGCTGACCGACTGACCTTAAGGCTGCCCCGGGTGCAGTACTCGCTTATGATGCAGATGTTGGGCGGATCCGTGCAGGCGCCGATAAAGGCGCATATGTTGTCGTGTCGGGCATCTCGCAGCTTGGGAAGATTCAGGGATGTTAAAGGGATGTTACCAAAGCCTATCGCCTACTCACCAGCTTGAGTTCCTTCTTCATCTCCCGCGTAATGTCGACACTCTTCTTGCGCACCTTCTTGATGGCATAAAGCTGACCCTTGTAAAGTCCAATCGGCGTGAAAATGGTCGTGTAGCGAAAGTCTGCATCGGGATTGGAGCTCAGGCTCACCTGGCTGGTGCGGATCAGCGGATGGGTGGACTGCGGAGGAAGACGACGCGGCAAGTAATTTAGCAAGTGCTGTTGTCAGACATGCAATGGCGGAAGAAAATGCTTAAACGGAAGGACTTTTGACAGTTTCCGTAATATAATAAACTCATGCTGTTGACATGGGCTCTATTATCCTGCATCGCACATGATGTTTGCTTTTCTACACAATTTAAAAAATAGTAGACTTGACTATGGACCTCTAAATTTGTAATGTATTATTGGTCAATCGATCCTTTCTATATTTCGTTTTGCCGTGAATGACTGTTACTATTTATTGACTTTGTAAAAAACTAAAGGTAACAAAAATTACAAATATAAAGATTTTGTTTTAAACAAAACAATTTTGTTACCTAAATCATGTGTATATGACAATTTCTTTCAACCTATTACTATAAACTGCTGAAATTTATCTTAAAACTTATGACCGTTATCGTAATGGCCAATTGGGCTTGATGTTTACTTTAAGTGCAGAAAAAGGATGCTATTTGCTATCTGGCCCATTGGGAAACTGTTCTTTTAAGGCCATAAGACTGACTGTGTGCTTGGAGCCACCATTAGGCCAGATGTCACTGCCATCGTTGTAAGATGACAGGGACCGGGACTTACGCGCGTCTGCTTCTGACTTTGCTGCTCCCGCTCGTTCTCGTGAATTTGCACCTCGCGAAAGTCAATCTTCCAGAGGAGGCTATCCAGTTCCTGTTCATACCGCCAGTTCCGATAGAGGACCAGGGAAACCAAGCTCAGCAGGAGCAGAACACCTCCAGCAATGGCAGCGGAAATTTCGCCAGTGTAATCTGTGGTTTTAGAGCTTGGGTTGTTAGTCCATACGGTTGGTCGGTCAAATTCCATACTTACTGACGCACTTCTCGCCACCAAAGCCGCAACGAGGAGCAGCTGCTGGTCGCGAACCACCCACCCAGTCAATGGGGCTGAATAGTTTGAGATCCTGCGGGAAAGCAAAGCAGAAACGGGATTAAAAGAAAATACCGGGGGCAAACGGAGCAAGGTGTGTGATTAGTTGGACCGGGCAAAAGCGCTTACCTGGTGCTGGACGGGCCAAGCGATTTTGGAGGATTGGCAGAGAGCTAGTTACAAGAGCAGTATGTGAAAAGCGGGGATTTACTTACGGGCAGTGCCTTGCTGATGCTACTGAAGCTGCTGTTCCGGTGAATGAAGGTTCCCACGGGTCGCAGTCCCAATACGGTCTGATTGCGACCATTCCGCACAGTTCCCCTGGCTAATACTGTATAATTTCCAGCGGCATCGCCATTCTCATCGATATAGACGTGATAGCTGAAAAAAAGACAAGTGCTAGAGCAATAACCGGATTAGCTGTCAAATGGGCCAACACACTCACCCCATGGCGCTGCGATATCGCGAGCCCTTGATGGCCGCCACAATGGCGCTGCCGTTCCTGGGCCTCCCACCCGAATCCTGGACTTCCATCAGGGCTTTGGCATACAGATGCACGGCATCATAGAGATAGGCAGCCTCGGCGCTTATCTAGTGCGAGATGGGAAGAGGTTCGAGGTCAGTCAATGGTTATGGTTTCGGTTTCGGTTTCATGCAAGTGTTTTTTGTCCAAACCTGCTTGGCCCCACCGAAACGACCCACTGGATTGGGGAAATTGAATGGCGGTCGCTCCATATATTTGTTGACCTGAAAGCAAACCGAAATGAGGGTCAGAATGTGTGGTCAATGTGGCGAAAGGACCGACAATTATGAGACGGGCTGATGGCGGATGCAGCGCATCAATCACATCACTGTCAGGACTGTCAGGACCGTCAGCGAACAAACCTCATTGGCGAACGTGGCAAAGGAGACGGAGGCAGTGGGCACAATGGCCAGATAGGACTGAAAGGCCTGCACGGCCAGCGGTTCCACATCCTCCAGAAGCAGTCCACGTAGATACTTTTCCGGTTTCGCCGGATCATACTGCTCGATATCGATGCCTACTACGAAATAGTCGCCTTTGGATAATAGCCCCCTTTTTTGGAGGCTAACCAGCAGACCAACGTGCTCATAGTAGTGACCCAGGATGAGGTAGACTATTGGAAGCATAAAATATAATTAGCATATTAGAATGGAGTTTTTGATTCCACACTCACTCCTCGTGTTGGCATAGGTCTGCTCCACCAGCGCCTCGAAGGGATTGTCCATGAATCCGTGATGGTAGATGGTGTTCCAGGTGCGAATGTCCCGAATGCTCACTCCGGCCTCACTCAGCGTGCTCAGGATGGTCTCCGCCACGGGCTGGTACTGCCCACTCAAATCGTCCAAGTACAAAAAGCTAACTTGCGTCCAGTTGAATGCCAGAAGAAGGGCCACCACGGACTTGGAGATCTGTGTATCCGGCGGTCGCGTCCTGGCAAAGGTGGGGAAATCAGCCTTGTTCGAGGGATCCCGATGGGTGCAGTACTGATGGGGGTTTAGTTATATAACGGAGGTATAAACACAAAGTGGATGAGTAACTTACATAGGATATCATGGGCAGGTTGAAGGCGGCCGCCATGCGACCTTCGTGAACGCAAGTTTCCTGGGGGCCAATGTAGGCGGCCACCTGCTGCGTCCACAGTGCCGCCGTTTGCCGAATGCTGACCACCTCCTCGCCATACGTTTCGGCCACGACGAACTCCAGCGAGTGGCCGCGATCCCGGAGTCGTCCCGCATTCACCTCCTCCACCGCCAGCGAAATGGCGCCGGAGATGGTGAGACCGGGTCGGTTGTAGTCCAGATTTCCCGGGCTCCGTTGCGAGGCCGTGAGGTAGCCCAGCGTGAAGACCTCTCCATGAGTCGGCCGGAAATGGCTAAAAGCGAGCAGGATGTGGAGCAGGAGGAGGAGCAGTGGGTGATGCAGCAGTCCTGAGTGGTTGATTCCAGCTGGAGCAGGACAGGGATGCGCAAACATTACGCGGGGAGAGGAAGGGAGTCGTCTAAGATTGCGCTGCTCCTTTTGGTGGCGCTTAATTCAAACGGAATTGGTTCGCGAAACTGATGAGGAGGGTGCCCCTTTGTGTGACAGTGTCCTTGGCAGCAGATGTTGATCCTTCGAGGAGATGCAACATTTTTGTTGAGTTTGCATTGCCCCCTCTACAGTATCCTCTGCCTTGTTGTGTTGTGTTCTGTTCGTGCCCTCTCCAGTCTGGTTAATTACGTTCTCTTACGTCCTGGGTTACGTCCTCGTATCCTGACGGTGTTGTTCTGCAAGTAAGAGGTCTTTAATCACAAAGTCGTTTTGCCGGAGCCTTGTAACAACACTGGGACGAGATACGGTCATGCAGGACTGCCTCTGATTTATGCGGGGCCACACACATATATCCTGCCTTCCCCCAAAAGCCAAAACACCCATATGGGTGGCAAATAACACATAAACTAATGCAGGATACTTTAACGGAGGCTTCATAAAAGATGGCTGCCGTAATGACGCAAAAGATTTCATTTATGTACACTTACACACATGCGCCATAATGCGACTTACTTAAGACAATTAATTCAGTCAATCTCACACGTGTCTTCATTTTTTCCAAGATTATTTGGGAGTTCTGGGAATTTTAGATGAACATCATCATCGAAATTCCCCGCAAATTTGGTGTGAACTCAAAATGGAAATCTAAATTTAAGGGAATCTAATTTTGGATTTTAGAATTACATTTATTATTACATTACATACTTTAATATTATTGTCAGCAAATATACCGCCGTCATCAAGTTCGTATTAAATTTTTTGTCATTCTCTTTCCTAACCTTAATAAAGATCTTCAGAGTTCAGTCAAAATATCACGAATAAATAATACGTTTACATGCAATACAAAAGAAATGTTTAAATTGCTAAACCTTTTAGCTGTTATAAAAAGGTTGTTTAAAACCTTAAAATTTCGCAGACTAATCTGCCCAAATTGACTAGACAATGTTGGTAATAACAAGGATATAAAAAGTTTAGCTTGCCGAAGCTGGTTTCTTTTATTTTGGGTAATAAAGAGATTTGGCTTGCGGCCCCCATTCTCGTTGAAAAGAAATGTGTGGCAATAAAGAAGTTCACCTTGCTGAATAGACGAACAGCTTAAGTGGAAGCTGGACCCGTTTATCACAGTTCTAATTGTTTTCGGGGCGTGCCATGTTGATAAAGTACGTTAAGCTTGAGTCGCTCTTTATGTGTCCAACCTTAAAAATGTGTGGAAATTCCCAGATATTAAACTGGCCACACATTTCGGTGAATGTAATGAAATTTTTATGAGAAATGGCGACGCATCATGTGTGATTTTCACTCGGATGCTGCATGGGAAGTTGCTGATAGACTCGGCACCCCACATCCCCACCTCTATTTGGAATGTCTTTGTTTGCCTTTTGTCTGGCACATCTCCCACTGCCCCCACAGAAAAAACCCCACTCTGCTCGCCTGATTGCTTCTTTCACACGACCTTTGGAGGGGTATTGAATATTGGCAGAACCTTTGCAACTTCTTGAAGCTATCACAGTAATTTATTATATTGACTCGAGCAGCAGCCACCCCCTCTTTTCCTCATCCACTGCACTCCCGAAACCACTTGAAAGTTAGCCTGGCATATTGACTTTCCCTTTTAACCCCAAAGCCGAGTTTCTCGGGAGCTGTATTGGATGCGCTCCCTTATAGAGTTTGTAAAGCGTTGCGTGCGTTCTATTTATGCTAATACAAGTTGCTAGCCCCAGTTACCATCCCCCCAATTTATTGCCCCGGTTACAATGTTACAACAATGTTATAAATGGCCGTCATCGGCGCTGGCATCGTTTAATAACGCTTCTTTGGTTATAAATCTAGCGAAAGCCCGTGACGTGCCCATTGAGCCGGCAAGAAGAGTTCCCAGATCTCCGGTTAATTGTTGTGGCCCCAGAATCCTGGGGGAAAGGGAGAAGCACGGAAATTGGACACACCGCCTGCACTTGACACAACAATTTCGCAAGCGATTTATCCGCAAAATGTTTTTGGGGAACCCCAAGCCGAAGCCCACAAAAGTACGTAAAGTTCTTGTTTCCGCTCCAGTTTGTCTGAATACCTAAGCTGCTCAAGGATACTGTGTCAGTTTGCCGTGAATGCAAGGTCTACTGCTGCATCCTTCAGATTATGACTTCCTTTACATACACAGGCCTAATCAAACACGTGAGTAGGTCCTGCTTTATTTACAACACTGAAGGAAAACTAAAAGGTTTTCTGACTTCAAGACAAGATTGAAAAGATTGATGTTGAAAAGATGTCTTAATCCATGAAAAGTTTTCAACTTTAAGACTTAATTAAAAGTGAAAATATACATTCAGTATGAGTCATAATTAAAATACAAGTTTTGGAAATTCTGCATATTTTTAAGGAGCATTTAAAACCATGAGATAAAGCACTTTTTGTATGCCTCTTGTAAAAAAAAAAACTGTTCATATGATTCAAAGATGTTGGACCACCACTCCCATTTGGGGTGTCACTGAAAATGGCTTGTGTTTTCTGAAAAGTTTTGTTATATGATTCCAAAACGATTTGACATTAAAGTTTTCACAGAAATAACTTTTGTTAAAAGAATTTGGTTATAATTTATATTATTACTCAAAAACTTGAAACTTCGATCCAAGCCTGAGGAATTCTGCGATTTTTCTTCTCAGTGAAGCAATAACATTGCACTTCCAGTTTAATTTGCCACTTTCATTGTTTGCCTTCTGACATTGATGGGGGAGGGATGACAATTTCGGGGGAGCGGGAGAATTGGGGGATTGGCGTGAAGTTTGCTACACATTTTCCGAGCCGAACCCACTCCAAGTGCCGGCGGCCCTCGACTCTTGAGGCTGCCAGGCAATTAAATGCAATTTGTCTGCCATGCAAATGCAGCTGCAAGTCGAGCCGGATGAAGTGGAGGGCAGGGGAGTGCCGACACTTGCTATGCAGCAGTGCTGCTGCTGCTGCTGCCGATTAATTTGACAATCTACAAGACCCATAAACAACAATTTTTGGCGTGAGAGAAATACAAACGAAATCCGAGGAACGTGTGAAAATCAGTGGCCAAGTGGTTTGTATTTCACTGCTTCTTCAGCCGTCCAATCCATCAACGATCGTGGATGACCAACGATAAGGGATCTCTTATCGAATCCAATAAAACGCGAACATTAATCGCAATCTAATCGAGCTTTTTAGGAATGCCTGCGGCGAAGTCATTCCCACCCAGCTCAGTTACATTAAGAATGCAGACGGGAGAACTTATTGCTTTAATTTTGACCCTCACAATAGCTGTGGGTGAGTAAGTCAGACTAATAAATGCCCAACTCTTAAGTAACCTTTAATACAACTTTAGTGACTGGGGAACCTGGATTCCTGCTGCACACACGTCGCATCCAGGACAATCCGCAGCAGATCGAGCCGGAGGTGGAGGCTCTGGTGCGCAGCTCTTTCTACGCAGCAGATCCAGTAGTGTGAGTCATTAGTGAATCATATACTGTCTGCCTAGACCCTCAAATATGTGTACTTTGCCCCATTAGCTTATCCATTCCCCGCTGGCAAGGAAACAGTTCCTCTCCGGAGATTCCAGCCGTGGCTTCCGCGAGACTTCAGCAACAGGATAGCAATGTGATCAGCGTGGATCTTTCCGAAGCCAACAATGAAACTGAGATTGTTGATAGCGTGGCCAACCTGGTGATCCTTTTGAACAAGAACTTCGATGTGCCACTCGACCGGATAGTGATCGTTGGTTTCGCGGAGGGTGCTCACCTGGCAGGTGGAGTTGCTGCCCAGGTGCAGCGGGAATTGGGTCAACAAATCCCGCATCTTACAGTTCTTGATCCTTCTTCCGGAGAAGAACTCGAGCACAAGCTGTCCAAATCCGATGCTGAGTTCGTAGAGGTTGTGCACACAAATGCTGAAGGAGCGGGCACCTGGAAGCAACTGGGTCATGTGGACTACTACCCTAATGGCGGGCAAACTCAGCCGGGATGCTCCACGGACTCCTGTTCGCATGAGAGATCCTTCCAGCTGCTTGCGGAGATGTGGTCGCCGGAGAATGACTTTGTGAGCGCTCTTTGTGGCTCCGTGGAAACTCTAGGTGCCTCAAGCTGTCGCTGGTCCTCCCACAAAATGGGCCAGAAGGAGGAGGAACAGCCTGCATCCGGTATATATTTCCTGGAGACAACCCAATCCTCACCCTTTGCCAGGGGAGCCTACTACATCAGCTTCTTGTGAAGAGCAGATCCAATAAATGCCAAGCGAATAAGGAAAACAAAGGAGCAACTTTGTCATTAGTCATTGCAACGATGATGGGTGAAAAGGGGGCCAAAAGGAGATGAGCAAGTGCCAAAATTGATGTGCGTCAGGCGTTGGGCTCATTCATTATTTTAAAATCAATTTAAGAGGCCTCGCCCCCCAAAGTTTTGACGCACGTTCTCCAGCTGGCAAGGATGGGAAGCTATCCTTGTCCTCGCCCTTATCTCATTTCCCTTGACGGATGGAGCAGCAAGGATAGGCGAAGTTCCCAAGTTTCCCTTTTTCCATATGCCAGCTGTTGTCTGAAGTGACGATCCAGCGAACCAATGAAAAAAGAAAAGTTTATCGAGAATCGGCTCCTTTGAGTGTGCTTCAAGGATTTGCGTATATTTCTGGATTGAGGCAGATTTATGTCATAAGAGCATTCGATGCTGAGTGCGTGAGCTTCGTGATAGCTTCGGAAAATTTAATATTAAAGTACATACTGGTATGAAAATAACCATAGAGAAGCTGTGAGATTTTTCTTTTAAATATTTATCTGGCTACAAACTTGTATTGTAAGCAACTAGTTCATTCGTGGAATTTGTTATTAGCATGAGATTCTGGTCAAATATAAATATTCGATGCAAGTTAAAATTGCTATAAAGTAAAGAATTACTTGATACATTTACAATATACTTTATGGTTTTTTAAACTAGTAATTAACAAAAGCTCGGTATCTAAGCATAAAGAACCATTAATATTTTATTTTCAGGGTACTATTTTTTTTAATAAAAGGAAAGTTAATCAATTTGGCTGCTTAGCATTTTTGAACAAAGTTAGTGACCACCATTATAGCGTGTCGTGACCCGTGGCTCATCTCCAGGACTGTAGTTGTTGCGCATATTTCAGTGCAATATTATAGGAAAATTCCTTTGTGCCAGACATGCCTTAACTTTTTTCCCCCTGCTGCCACTGCCAACTGCACTGGCTACCCCTAACCCTACACCATACACCCTACACCCACCATTCACAATCCAGTAAAGTCGACCCTGCTGTGTGCGTGTCACTTGAAAGTCGCGCAAAAGGAAAACTGTCACAAATTGCATTTAAATGCGCCATACTTAAGTTTATCTTTCGGGGAATGTGTAAACGAATGTCAAGCTACCCCCGACCCGGATCCGGAACTCCTCCCTTGAACCGGAACCGAAGTTTGTGGCGAAACCAATTTGGAGCGTGCCCGGGACAAGTTACTCGGCCAATCCTCTCACGTATCCTCCGAACGGATTTCATTCCACTGAAACTCCGAAGAAAGATCCAACACGTGGTCACTTCATTACGAAACACTGCGCCCATCTTACCACCTCTTTTTTTATAGCCCATCACTTGTGGATATCAGACAATTAGCCAATTACGTTTGATGATGATCAATTGGCGGCTGATAAGGGGGCTTTATACTTTGCGATAGCGAGCGCCTAAAACCATGCAACCTCGTTCCCGGAAAAAGTTTTCGCAGCGCTAATTGAGGCTTCATTAGCGTCAGATTCTCGGACGGGGATGAGCAGTTGACTCCTCTGGCCCGTGATTTATACTCAAGCGTTTTGAGCAGAAGATTTAAAGTTGCACATTTGTCAGGCGAAGTGGGTTAAGCGGGCATTAAGCCCACGACACGACTTTGGCTCAGCTTCTTCATTTGCCTGCACTTGGCCTCAACGGCTGGCTTGAATCTCAGTTTCGGTTTCGGATTCGGTGGCTGAACATTAAATGTCAGGCCATAAAATAGAAGCACCCACCCTGCTCCACAGGACCCAATAATGGGCCTGGAGGTGGGCCATTCGAACAACCTCAGCACACCACAAACCGAGCAAATGTCCATTGTTTTTCACTTGGTGTTTATCGACAGCAGGGGTATATGGAATGTTCTAAATCGGTTTCAAATAATAGCCACTATTACCAATATCTACCACCAAATTGCCTAATCAAAATATGATTGTACAACAAAAAAAATATGGATTTTTCATGAATATAATAAACAATATTTTTGAGCTTTGCGACTTTAATAAACTAGACGTCTTTATAAAAATATATTATTTTGGCTCCACTCTCTGAAACTAATTTGAAACTATATATTCCAAACTTTGTTATTTGAAACTTGGTAAAATAATGAATTTACTTTAGTTTATTTTCTTACTAATATTCACACTGTTCACAGGGTATGCTTTAGTCGTCGCCCATCTATATCGCTTCATTTTCTGTTTTTGTGTTTTTACCACATCTCCCCCCTTAGAACATTGCAAGCATAAAATATAGCTATTACAGAACGTGTAAGAGAAATTAAGTCGCAACAATTTCATTTTCATTTCACTTTGTTTCGCTTTCAGTTGCCATGAAATTCTGTTTTTTCCTTGTTCGCTTTCCTTTCTAATGTTAATGTTAATGAGGCCAGGAATGCGTTTGAATTCGGAAGTTGGAATTGATAAGGAATCTTTCGTCTCCCCAGCTGCCCTCACTTTATCAATTAAAGTTCTTTTTTTTTGGGACCCACAGGCTTGGTTTTCACCTTCTTCCACCCCCACTGGTGAATTTGCTTTTATGGCTATGTTAATTTCTGTACAACGTTTTTATGGGATGCCATTTGAACGGCTCACCAACTGGGACCCAGTGAAACCCTCCACCTCTTATTTCGCCCCCTTACTTTTCCCACATGAGTTGGTAGCCCCCCGAAAAAGTGTGCCAACTTTGGGTGAGGCTCTTTGTCGCCAGCTCAACCATTGTTGTTGATAAGCGACAAGCTGAGTGTAACATATGTCGAGCGCCCACCTGCTGCCACGCCCCCAGGTGTTTTACATTTGGAGCTAGCTTGCCTTTAAATGATAAGCGGGCGTTTGTCCAACATTTTCCCCCGGGGGAAGTACACGGTGAAGTTGGTTCAACCGATTGAAAAGCCATCTGCATAAAGGTTTAATTAAATTTCCATGACACCGTCAAAGGTGCGAATGACATGCAGGTGAGGAGTGGCGGTACCACATAGTCCAAATATAAATGGAAGAGTATTTTGCGGGTAATTTGCGTTTTACCGAGGGACATCCTCAACGCGACGCATAATCTCTTGGCCCCGTTTCGCGGCTAATCAGCAGTATTAGTTTTATATATTGTGGGTACTTAACTATTTAAATTTAGGTGCGTGAGCGTCGGTGACGTGGCTGATAACGATGACCGGAGTGCGGGCCAAAAATTTAAAAATCCACCAACTCTGGGCGCCGCCTAAAGGCCGGCTAATGCCCGACTAATGCGTATTCTGGCCACGAGCATCAATCATTTATCATTTTGCGTTTGCCGAATGCAATTCCAAACAGCCACACGCAAAGAACTCAAGCCAGCATAGAGACAAGAAAACCATAGGGGGTGAAATAATAGAACCACTTAAATACTCGATTGATATTTAAAGACTTTGGTAGACTTTAACTTTAAGGTACATTTTTAATCACCTATCCTTTTATGTTTTATATGTGTAAAAATAGGTAAGCTTTTAATTACAAGATAACAAAGCTAAAATCACCTACAATCAAATAGGAAACTACCGTTCCTAAATTTACAGGTAATTAATTTTAACTTTTTTAAGCGCTTTTCCTATAAAAAGTGTCGGTTTTTAATTTTATTCGCATTATAATTGTATTTACAATTTGACAAATACATCTTTAATATAGTATTTTTAGCACACTGTGTAAATGATTGAATCATACTGTGTAAGATGTTTAGAATCATTTGAATCATCCTGTGAAATTGTTTGAACAATGTTCATTCAAGCAGGGATTTATTGGCTTTTTAAATTTAACATACTCGAAATGTTATTGTATTTACATTATTATCGTATTAAGTAAGAATCATATTGTGTAAGATGTTTCCAATCATTTGAAATGTTTCAAGATCGGATATGATTTGAGCACTAAGGTTTTTTAGGGGTCTGTATTTGCTATTGAATAGATAAGGTTTCATAGAATTCGACCAATTGAATGATGGGTCTCGAGTGCTATATTTGCGACCTCAGCTGTGGCCAGTTGCGGCTGTCGATATGGCGTTGAGTGTGGTCAGTGATGGAGGGGCAGCGACATGCAAGAAAAAAGCGCGCCTAGCAGCAGTGGGCCAATGACGGCCTCCACACCCCCTCCAACATCACCCCTCGTCCCACCCACTCGGGGCGATCGCAATTTGACAGTGTTTATGACAGCGCAGCCTCTGTCGCCACAGAAGTACGCGCTGGCATGCAGCGACTGCAACGGCGACTGCGACAGCGACTGCAACAGCGACTGCAGCTGACTCATTTTGGGGCTTGCACTGCGGCAGCAACAACTACGCGAAATTTAAATAAATTGTGGAAAAATTGCATTGCTCTGTGAGCATTGCATTGTTTGCAACTGACTTATTGCCTTTCGGTTTTTTTCGGTTCACACAGCAACTGTTGCTGCTGCTGTTTTTTTTGTTTTTTTTGACGCTTATCAAGTTTGCAGGCCGAATTTATGTAAATCTTACAGCGTGCGATGGTATTGTAATTGCGTAAGAACTGTCATACGCACTGTTGGCGTTTGTTGATTTGTATACTCTTGCAGAGAGTATTCTGATTTTAATTATAGTTTTGAAAAGGAATTCATGGGATATTTGCAATAGAGACGACTGACAAAAATGTATATATTTCGAACTTTCGTTCTTTCATTACGTTTTTAACTGATATACTTCGCCAAATTAGAAGCTGTTTGTCGTTTCTTTTATTACATTTTAGAAATTCAAAAATAAAATTAAAATAATAAAATTTTTCATCACAAACATAACAACGCCATAATTGTTTTTTTTTTAAAGACGTTTTATTTGTATTAAGACCAATTAGGGTTAGAGGTAATTACCTATAAATCGAGTTATGGACTTTTTAGAACGGGTTTCCGATCTGTAATTAAACAAAACTAATAAATTTGATAGTTTATGAAACCAGAATTCTAAATACCGGACCATTAAAAATATTTGAGTATAGATCGGCATATGGTCGTTTTTTGAAATTTAGGAACAGAAATGTAGGTCAAATAAAAAATGATAAAACTATTTTCGGAAGTTGTCATTTGAATGATATAGCAGATAAGAATGTGTTACTTCTTTATAGGGTATATAAACTTCGGCGGTTCAAAATTGTGAGAAAAAAGCGTCGTACTTACTCTTTCACTGGCGCTTTATTGGCGCTCCACTGCTAATTGGACTGCAATTGGATTTAGTTGTTTGGAAGACGGATATTTATAGGCCACGGAGTTGGCGTTCTTTTTGTTTGTGTGCTGCGCCGTGAAGCGTGGCTCCCTGTTGTTTACCGCGATATATAACTTACTATTCCGGCTGATCCACGCGGCACTTGGAAATTTGGTCACGTTCCTGGCAAAATTAAACAAACGCAGCCGCTGCAAAACTAGATATTCTCCTTCATTTGCGATTTCTGAATTAATGAAGCACTCGCGAGTGCTGCCCGCGAATGTGCGATAATTTATTAGTGCCACATTTGCGACACAGATTTCGATTTCGAATTTGATTTTGGATTCGGACCGGCGGTGGCCAAATTCAATTCAATTTCCTCACGCGCACAATTGTCTGACCCCTTTTTGGCCAAATAACAATAATGGGCCTATGTCAGTCTATCAACACAATTTCGCCAAATCCCGCCCATCGACACGATCCATTTGCCCCCGTCGCCACCTGTTGCCCAAATCGCACCAGTTCTTTTTCGCATCCGTGGTGCAGATGTCGGGCATGCAAAAGAGGTGACCCCGATCGTCCCTCTGGTCCACTGATGAAATCAAATGTAATTTGAAAAAACCACCGTTTGTTTTCGAAAACAACGTTTGTGTTATTAACACTCAACACGCGCCGCCTTATTTGCTTTTCCGTTCGCTCCACTTCCGATCCGACAGTCCGCAGCTTCGCGCGCGTCTTGAAACTCCCGCACTCGCATTCACACTCGCGTCGCACCAACCGTCAACTAGCGGCGGCCAAGTGCCGATACGCCCATCGATACCTTCTTGTCAACGTCAACGCATTCGCCTATCGTTATCGTTAATTCATTAAACAGTACTAGAAAAGGTACTACATTTTAAACCAAACAAAGATGAACTTTCCAACATAAAAAAATTGTCTCCCAAGAAAAATGTAACATTTAAATTTAACGATTTTGTTATTAAGTTAATAGCAAAGAAGAATGTTTAAAATAAACATTTTAATCAGGATGCTGCTACCTCAAACTTAATGTACATGTAGATAAAATAATATTTTGAATAAATTATCTTTAACATTAAAATATATCTAACATATATTAGTATAAGCAGTTGAGCATTGATTACCCAAATCATTATCTGACATCAGAGAATATTGATTGCATTTATAGAAATATATTGTAAACATAATCAGTTGGACTATATCTACAAAGAAGAAACATTTTTGATATTTTCAATTCTTTTACAATTTATATTTTTCTGTACACTTACTAGCTCTATTGAATTTATAAACTAGGAAAGAAATAATAATCTTATATGGTTAAATTAAATAATTTTATTTAAACAAATGTAATAAATAAAAAATATAACATTTTAGACGGCCACCTACAACTTCTTTAAATCAAACAATTCGTATAATTTTACTCAAAACCGGAACACCCATTTTCATACCTATGACAAGGTTCACCCTAATGAAAAACGCGTTAGGAACGCGCTGTAGTTGCCGGCATGACCCGAGTCGAGAAGGCGTTAAATGTACTGCTCCAGGAGGCGGAGGAGCTGTGTATCGGGAGCAGCGTGGTAGAGCTCGACAGGATTCCAACGGCCCTGGAGTTCTGCCGCGATTACTACTCCAAAAACCAGCCGGTGGTCATTCGCCAGGCGCTCTCGTGGCCTGCAATCGGGAAATGGACGCCGGAGTACCTGATCCAGGCTCTCGGGGACAAGATTGTGGACGTGGCCATCACGCCGAATGGCTATGCCGATGGCCTGGCCACGCAGAAGGGACAGGAGTACTTCGTCCTGCCGCTGGAGACGACAATGAAGCTGTCCGAACTGGTCCGCCGTCTGGATGATCCCACAGGAGCCGTCCATTACATCCAGAAGCAGAACTCCAATCTTAGCGTGGATCTGCCGGAACTGGCCACCGATCTGCGGATTGGTGATCTGAATTTTGCAGAGCAATCTTTCAATAAACCTCCCGATGCCGTCAACTTTTGGCTAGGCGACGAGCGCGCCGTGACCTCCATGCACAAGGATCCCTACGAGAACCTGTACTGCGTGATATCTGGTCACAAGGACTTCATCCTCATCCCGCCGCACCAGCTGAGTTGTGTGCCCCGGGGGCTTTATCCCACGGGCGTTTACAGGACCTCGGATAGTGGTCAGTTCCACATAGAACCCATACGGGATGAGGAGGGCACCGAGCAGCTGACAGAATGGGTAAGCATCGATCCCCTGGCCCCCGACCTAGCCGCATATCCGGAGTACGCCCGCGCCAAGCCGCTCAAGGTGCGCGTTCATCCCGGAGACATCCTGTACCTGCCCAACTACTGGTTCCATCACGTGTCCCAGAGCCACAAGTGCATCGCAGTGAACTTCTGGTACGACCTGGACTACGACAGTCGCTACTGCTACTACCGCATGCTGGAGCAGATGACAACTGGCAGGGGCAACTAGACCAGTAGCATCCTAGTTGCATGTTTCCTCAGGAATAGTTATCAAAATGAAAGTCTTGTTGTCTTCAGTGTATATATATATAATTGTTACATAATTTAATGTTAAATAAAAAACTATATGCCAAATGAAATGGGAACTAAGAAGGACGCGGACAAAACAGAATTAACGCTTGCAAAAGCTGTAAATGAGTTGTGAAATATCCGTACTGATGGTGTATTGTGAGATTAGGAATGTGTGCTTGTTTGGGTTCTATCCTATATAGCCTATTCGAGACTTATATCCTGCTTTTCTCCACCGGAAGACTCTGCTGCAGCCTGGCCGTCCGCCTCCTCGCCGGGATTCTCGTTGTTCTCGCATTCCAGGTCTCCATTTCCCGAAGAGGAGACATTCTTCTGGTCCGCCTCAGCCAAATCGGCGTCGTTATTGGAGTCCTGCGACTGTGATTGGGACTGCTCGCGCACCCGCTTGTTTGTCTGCTTGGCCGGACTTCCCGCATTGGGTGGCGTCTTCAACTTGGCCTTGCAGGTCTCCTGCGGCTGCTCCACCACAAACAGCTGCTCCAGGTAGGAGCGGTACCAAAGCAAAAACTCATCACGTTGCCGTGGCATATCCATTTTCTTGATCTTGGCGTAAATGCGTTTGGGCGAGATGAGCGGCGAACTGGCGGCCGAATTCTGGGCAGCGGTGGCCGTAAGCTTGGAAACCTCTGCCAATAAGGAATCATTGATTACCGTGTTGTTGTGCGTTTGGTTGCGAATGCGTTTGATAATGTATTCGATTAGTTCGTGGTCCGGGGTCAGTTCCACGCTGATCCCTGCTCCTGCTCCAGATCCTGCGACATGTTCTACTTTTCCCTCGAGCATTTGCTGGGTAAGAAGACGGAAAGGATGAGCAAATCATACCCCTGTGCTAGGATGCAAAGCCCTTTCTTACCTCCTCGTTTTCCGATCTTACAGCCGAGGGAATAGCTGAAGCGCTAGCCTCCATCTCTTCCAGGACATGGCCATTCTGGGGAATGACCACAGTCAGTTTCTTCACTGGCGATCCTATTTCATCCTCAGGCCGATCGTTGTCCAGCTGCAGTCGCATCACTTCCAGTGGCGTCTCACTGCGACTCTCGGTGGCCTCTGCGTCGACCGAAGAAGGCTCATTCTCCTCCTGGTTGAGAGCTTTTCGCAGACCATGCGGCTCCTGCGACTGCTGTAGTTGCTGGTTTTGTTGCTTGTTGCTGCTGCTGCTGCTGCTCAAAGAGCGTCTCCAGCCGGCGGTAGACATCCTCCTTGATGGATTCGTAGAACTTTGTGGTGAACTTGTCGTTCTTCAACGCATTGACCAGCAGATTGCGATTCAGCTCCTCGGAGGCCGTTTCCTCGGACTGCTCCATGGCATTGGATTCGTCCGCGGGGGAGGCCTCCTGACCAAGAAGGGGAGTGGTGTCCACTGGTGTTATCTGGGGCAGCTCGATGTAGTCCATATAGTGAGCTGGAAGCTCGAAGTCGAAGCGAAGGTGTCGCTGCTGAAGTGGAGTCAGCGAAACCGTGGAAGTGGTAGGCTTCGCTGGTACCTTGTTCCGCTGATACAGCGGACTATTGCCATAATTTACGTTCATATTGAGATTGGAGGAACTCGCCTGCTCCGGCTCCTCATCGCGCAGTGTGGAAAGTTGGGGACGGCGGCGATTGCGACGTCGCCCAGAGCCGAATATGATGTTATCATGGTTCTCCTCCACCTCGTCCACGTCCTCATCGTCGTGGTCGCGATTGTGCGCGGGATCGTCGCGCCAGTCGCGTTTTCTGCCCGCACTGCCGCTGTTGTTGAGGTTATTACTGCCATTGCTGCTGCCATGCAAAGCGGTTAGTGGCGACTCGAAGAAGTGGCGACGCTGCTGCTGCGGCTGCGTGGCTCAAACCGCCGCGGGTCGTGGGCGGTGCCAGCAGCTGTGGCGGCTGAAAGTAGCTGGGACGCGCCCGCTGACGACGATACTGCTGGAGGTCCACGTTCAGCTCCTCATTGCTTTTGTTCGACAGGAGATTCTGGCGCGAGTGGCTGGAAAAGCGCACGGATATTAATGGGTTAATGCAAGCGGGAAGCAAATATTTAATATTTATGTTAGTCAATGTTGCCAATTAGTTAAATTAGGCTTTGAAATCTAAACAACATACAATTTGGAGTCTCCATGGCTCTTTGGAATTTTTTAGTTCTATGCTATTTCAAAAATAGAATTAGAGAAGAATATACAAAGACAAAAGTTTGTTATTTGCCAATTAATTTAGTTCTGCCAGGGCTTTAGTCAGACTTTCTAATATGACAACACTGTTGTTAATACTTGTTATTGATCTGGGGTTAGTCACTTTCAACTCTGTTAATATAATTTTCTTGCAACGCGTGGTTGCACTTACCGAAGCACAGAATTGAAAATGAACTCTACACAAAGGTTTTATTTAATTTTTATTGCTTTTGACCCACTTCCAACAAAGACCCATTTCGAAAACCATCACCAAAGTTAAAGTTTTACCTGCGGAAGTTGTCCCAGTAGTTGTTGGCCCTATTTCCGGGTGGCACCTGGTTGTTCAGGGTGATACCGCCACTGGGTGCTCCGCCACCAGCTGCGCCTTCGGGCAACGAGTGCAAGTTGTTGGCGTGCTGGTTCTGTGTTCGCAGATTCGAGTTGTTCTGATGGATCGTGTTGTTATGGTGGTTCATAAAAATTGGACCCGGACTTGAGCGGTACGTGGGCGGCGACAGAGGCGTCTCATTGTTAAAATGGGTCGGTGGTGGCGGCGGAGCGGCGTTATTGAGGAACGGCTGCGGCTGATGTTGCTGCTGCTGATGATGATGCGAGTCGCTTCCAGTACGGTGGCAGCTACGCTGGTAGTTACTGAAGGCGCTCTGGTGGGCGCCGAAGTTGAATAGCTGCTCCGACTGAGCTCGGCTGTTGCCCAGACACAGATTGTTGGGCATTTGGGCCATGCCCGGGAGATTCGGAGGCGGCACTGATTCCGAGCGCAGACCGAAGCTATGATCCTGACAAGCAACCACATTAAAGCGATCCTGGAGCTATGTGATCAAAAGACTAGATTAGCCACAAGTGAATAAACTTTTAATCTCGAGGAATGACTTACCGTATGCAGTTGGTTGTTGAGGTTGTCGATCTCCCGCTGCTGGTGCCACAGTGTCTGGTTGCACTGGCACACCGAGTTGATGAGCATTTGTTGCGTCTGCATGAATTGCTGCAGCAGCACGGCGTCGGTCGAGGCATTCGATCCGGAGGCGTTCGAGGAGCCCACCTGCGGGGCTGCTGGCGGGGGCTTGAACTCGGTTCCGGTGCTGGAGCTGGCTTGGCCGTAGATCGGCTGCTGGCCGTGCCATGAATTACCAGCGTTGTGCGATGCTAATGGATTTGAAGAATATTCGTTTTATTAAAGACATTGGTATTTACCTTTAATACCCATTTTTAAGTAGGAACTTTATTTGCAATGGTAAAAATGGTTTAATCTACACTTGGTGTACGCCTAACTAATATAATTTTAGATGACAAAATAGGGGACATAAGTTAAAAATCAGCAATTCTAAAGGAACCTTAAAAAGGATAAATAAGAAGCTGTGAACTTTATTAATGATGAACATGATATAAAATCAAAAATTTATGTATACCATACTGTCAAAAAATTACAAGTTAAGTTTTATGACCAGTGGTGAAATAATATTTTAATAGCTAACATTTTTTAGTTGACACGAAACAATTCAAAACTTACCCCAAATTCCCGGCACTGGCGGCATGGGAGGCGGCATGTACTGCGACCTGTTGCTACTCGAGGGCAGACTGTCGTTGCCCAGGGACAGGGTGTCAAGGGTCACGTTCAGATCGTCTTCGTTGAGGGTGGACGGTGGAGCCGGCGGCAGAGGCGCTGTTTGTGGAGGCAGGTTGGGCTGCTGACTGCGCCGCTGCTCCACCACAGTGCTGGCCGACGCAGCCCGTTTGAGCGTTGCCGAGGAGGCGGTTCGCACGTTGGCGAAGTACTTGTCGCTGTCGGTGTCGTCGTTTCCCTCGTCATCCGCCTCCGATGTGGTGTTATTGCTGGCCACGTAGCGCTGCTCCAGTTCCCGCTGCTTCTGCTCGTATTCCTTGCGCAAGCGCTCACATTGAAGGCGCAACTCATCGCGCAGTTGTTCCTTAGTGGGCGTGGCCTGAAGCGAAGTATCCACCTCTGATGGATCCTCCTCCTCCGCCACCTGACGCTGTCTTATGGGCGTGGGTGTCGGAGTCAGGCTGTTTCTTTTAAGAGCTTCCTCGCCCATCTGAACGGCGGCGGCCGCCTGCTGCTTGCGGCGCTCGATCTCCGCCTTGAGGGCAAGGATACGATCGCGCTCCTTCTGCAGGCTGGCTGCCTCGGCACGCAGTTCCGAGGTGACGTCGTTGAGGGCGAACACCCGTTGAACAATTTCCGCAGGCAACTCTCGTTCTACACTGCTCATCTCCTCCAAAGAGGCACCCATGCTGGGCGTGCTCTCCTCGATCTGACTAACCGTGTTCAGCATGCCCTTCAGTCTGGCCATCTGAGCCTTGAGGGCCTCTATATCCGCCGTCTTCTGGTTTATCTTTGCCTGGGCATGGAGTGCTCGCTGAGCAGCATCGGCCGCCTCCTGGCGCATGATGGGCACATTTCTCTGGTATTCCACCGGCACCACACGCTCCGCCACTGGGGCAGGAGCTGGCTTCGGCGGCGGTGTGGGAGTCTCCTCCTTGATGGCTCTGGCTGACTCTCTGGCCGTGCGGTTAATGCTGTTTAGCTCATCCACCAGGCTGCGCATGTCCTCACGCTGGGTGCGCAGAGCTTCCAGTTTCTCCTGCAGTGCCTGCTGCTCGGCCAGGATCTCGGGACCATCATCACCGAGAACGGAGCTTAGTTCGTTCTGGTTGTGGATGAAGGCGGTGAGATTCTTCATGCGGCCCACCAAAGAGGCCATATCGTCCTGCACCTGCTGCACAGACTCGTATTGGGGAGCCTCTCCTCCATTGCTGTTGTGAGGCAAGCGATCAGCATGCTGGCGCAGCTGCTCCATCTCGGTAAGGTGGGACTTGGCCAGGTTCTGGATGTGTAACAGCTTGGCCTGCTCATCCTGCAGATGCTGCATGTTCCTATTGGAGGCCTCCAGTCGCTGTTGCAGCTCATCGAAGCTGGGTGCAGTATCGGGCGTGGGAGTCTCCAGGACGCTGTGCAGGGATTGAATGGACTGGGCGCGGTTGTCGCTCATCTGGATGGAAATATGAATTCGTTATTTGAAGTGACATTAGTTGGATTTTTATTTGCTTACCTCGCTTAATGCAACATCCTCCAAGCTGGTCGAATTGACGATGCCCTCGTCCTGCTCCGCATTTGGATTGATTTCGTGCACCATGTTGCTGATCTGCTGAATCGAAAAGTAAAGCAAAGTATTGATTCAGCAGGAGCAAAATAGTTGTTAGTATTAACAACTAAAATCTTCTAGAACATAGGTCGTCTTTGGACCATTTCCTTAATTTTATAATATCTATTTGTGTATAATATCTATAATTTGGACCTTTCAATGTAGTATGCGATTCATCATAAGCTATTTTTATAGTAACAAAACAAATATTATGAAAGCATAAGGAAGAGAATTTATCTAGAATAAAGGGGTTTATATAATTTTTTAATTTTATAATTTTTATAAGGTACTAAGAGACACATGATTTGCTATTTCAATGGTATCTAAAAAAATTTTAAAGAAAGCATAAAAAGTAACTGATATAAGGGTCATAAAATAACAAGAAACAATGGCTCAAGTACATTTCGGTACTCTTAGTAAATCCTATCCAATGACGAACTTACTTCCACTAGGTTTGCACTCGTCTGTTGTCCTCTGCTGTTCAGGTTCTCGTCCAATTCCAGCAGGGAGCGCAACACCTCGACCTGGGAGCGGCCTGCTTCGATTCTGGCGCCCAAAGGGTGTACACCAAAGAGCCTGTGGACAAGAGTCTGAAGTCCGGCGGCGGTCAGTGGGGTGGACTGCTCCTCGGTGCCACTTAAGTGGCCGTTTCCGTTGCTGGTAGTCGCGTTTGGAATAACAACGCCTACCGTGGCATTCGGGGGCGTCGATTGACGCAGACGCAGCAAAGCCGATGAAGATGAGGGGGCGGCTATGCCACCAGATGACGACGATGGCTGGTGCTGAACCCTCTGGACGGGACGCACGGGGAATCGGTAGCGCTGCTGCTGCTCCTGCAGTTGCTCTGTAATGGAAAATAATAGATCAGTTTAGGTCTAGTAGAGTGTGGGTTGCGGGCCACATCAACTCAGTGGGCGTTTATTTTCGTGCGCATCTTATTTATAGAACATGAACTGGCGCACCGATCGTTGTGCGGTGGCCAGCCGTTCACTTAACCAGGTGCGGATATTGGAAATATTGCTCAATGAGATGTGTATCCCTTAGACTTTCTGCATATTCACCTGCTGAATCGTAACTGCTGTGCTCGGCGGCCAATTGACGCAGTGTCTCCTGCTGCTTTTGCTGCTGGGCAGGTGACCTGGTTTCCTTGATGGACAGCTGCTGCTCCGCCGGTGATCGATTCTTTCCGTTGATGATGCGGGCGCGCTGTAGCAGATCCTTAAAACAACAGCAAGCAAAGGTTATCAGGAGAATGAGCAAGAGTAAAGCGGTAATTTTGCTAGTTTTCAATCTATATATATATATATCTGTCTGCTCAGATATATAGTATATATAAAAGGGCGATCGAAATTCGTTGTCCGCTTTGGCCGCGTTCGCTTTCGCTACTGAACCAGTGGAAAATGAATTTCGGCAGGCCGTGATGAGTGCAAAGTGTATTTATAAACATCGAAGAGAATGGTCTTGCGGAGTCTTCTCTTCTAGGGGATTTGCCATGGCAACCAGGCGGTAACTCACGTTCAGAGTTTTCAGCGTCTCCCGCTGCAGTGGCTCCACAAAGTCCAGGCCCGGTTCGCCCAGGTGCTCCTGCTGGCGGCGGGATCGGGCCGATCTACTAGCCACCGAGGTTGCAGTTGCAGTTCCAGATGCAGCTACTCCGGCGGCGGCTGCTCCGTTTAAAGGCGTTTGTTGTTTGGGCACGGCGCCGGTTGCCCCGCCCACCGCGTTGTTGTTGTTGTTGTTGGCGCTGCTGGTGCTGCGGGCACTGACGCTGCCCTGGTCCACAACTGCTTTGGGCGGCGGCGCCATTAGAAAATATATATTTGCGTACGCTAGAAAATTGTACAAATTTCCTCTTTTCTCCCACTTTGTTTTTTTTAGCTTTGCACACTCTGACAGCTGTTTTCAAACCAGGGCTGTAGAGGTAGAGTGGTATTGATGCTAACATCGATATCATCGATGACTTCAAATCGATATTTTCCCATCACTAAAAAACCAATCAAATGGTGGCTGTACTCGCTGACGGTTGAGCAAGTCCCCACTGCCTGAGGAGTATGTTTCGACTTTTGCGGAGCAAGTCCCCACTAACTATCGATAACGTTGGTATCTCCGCCTACCATGGTAATATCGATGTTTTTTCATCTCTAACGAGTAAATAACGCACTGCTTACTTAAAAGGTATTAACATTATTACTGCTTACTGCGAAGTCTCGAGCGGAACACTGCTTATAAGATTTGACCGTTCTATCAATATCGATATTACTGATTAATTTTTAAATTGGTTTCCGTGTTTTTTTTGACTGTCGCATGGAAAATATTTATGAATTGGAAAAATTTAAATATAACATTATTTCTAAAATCAATTATGTTATTATTATTCTAGCAATTCAGAAATTAAATAATAATAGCGTTGCAAAAAATGTTCCCTTCTAAATCTTTATTATACGTTTTAGAAATTATACATTATAAGGATTAATAAAATATATTTTTAGGGCCGCTGACTTGAATTTAAAATACCATAATAGGAGTTCCGATATTTTACGACTAGAACCAATGCGTTTTGTGAATTCCCAACTAAAACTATAGTTTCCATTACTTTCCCTGCTTGCGCTGGATTATGTCCTCTTTGAGGGTCCTGATCCGATCCCGCTCCGCCCGCAGGTTCTCCGCCTGTCCCCGCAGGTCACTGGTGAAGTCGGTGAACATGTTGAGCATGGAATTCAGGAGCTCAGCGTTGTCGGGATCAGAGGTCGTTGGGGGACTGGGATTCGGAGCAGTCTGCTCCCCAGCCCCACTCGCCACTCGAACTTCCGAGCTGGTGGTCTGGCGGCTGCTCTGAACGGAGGAACTGCTCTGCACCGTCTGCCTGGAGGACATGTGCTGCTCAATCAGGCTGGTGGTGTCCACCATGTGCTGCACCCGCTTAAATTGAGCCTTCAGGTTGGCGATCTCGTTCAGCTTTTGCTGCAGGTAACTGGCCGTCTCCTCCTTGTCCTCGTCGTCGTCCTCATTGGATCCCTCCTCCACGGCAGTTGGAGTAGCTTCCTCGGTGGCAGGACTAGCGGGAGGAGATGAGGTCACTGGTTCCGGCTCCGCTGGAGCTTCCACCTGGCTGGTCGCCGCCTCCTGGGACTGCTCCTCCTCGCCGGCGGACTGCCTCACCTGCTGACGCTGGGCATTCAGACGTGTTAGCTCGGCGGCCCGCAGGCGCAGGGTCTCCATCTCCTGGAGCAACTGGCGGTGCTCCTCCTGCATCTCCTGCAGCTGCCTATTGGATGCTGCCAGGCGCTTGGGAGATCGAAAGCCATTATTAGTCTTTGTTGTGGGTAATAAAGTGATGGGAAATGAATACAAAAACATCCAAGCAACCTCAGAATAAATACTCTAAATCTTCCACAAACATTTCGACCTAAAAAAAAAAAAAAAAACACTTCATTCCTTATATCATGGCCCTTACAACCAGCATTTTATGTATATAAAAAGTGTATTTATTACTGCTTAAATATTTCAAAAATAAAAACAGATTAAGGAGTTGACTGGTTTAGAAACTAAAATAATTTGTAATAGTTTTTGAGATGGTTACATACAATTATCCTACATATTTCTAAAAACAAACCCAGATATTTACACGAATTTGCTAGATTATTACATATTTGATTCTGACTAAATCGGATTTACTTAGAACCCTATCCCATAATGAGTGTAATATAATAATTTTCTGCAAATAGCTTGCTATACTAGGTTAATGTTCACAACAACAGACCAAAATACATTTTTTAAAAACAAGTGACTTAAACCTTTATCCATGAGTTCAACTTACCTCACTTAAGGCGGCATTGTCCCCATTTTGGGGTCTGTTCAACTCGTTGACCATTTTCCAAATGCTTTAAAAGAAGAGGGAATATTGGGTGTTATGTATATCGCGCACATTGATGATTTTCGAACACAAACACAAAGGCCCACCGCAAGGCACTGTCTATAAATAAATGCCTCTTTGTTGAATTATATTTTCAGTATGAATGGTGTCAATCATTTTGGCACTTCTCAAGACAACACTACTAAATGCAGTAATTATGCGAACTTACACAACGAATAGAGAATATGCTTTTAGGAATTGCTTTCAAAAAATATGTATAATTATATTTGATCCTCTTAGCAATGAGCTGTGCCCAGAGAGATGTTAAAGATTCAACTGAATCGGTGTGCCGAAAACGAAAATCTATTCAAACGATTTCGTGTGTTCGTAAAATTTCGTGGATCAGGCGGCAAGCGTTTCCAAATTGATGTGGGAGATCTTCTCAAAATACTGAGAGAAATAGTTTGTATGTATTTGAGTTGCATTCTGTTTGAATGGGGTATTACATTTATTTAAATTTGAAAATCTCCGGCTGATTTCCGTTCAGAGATCTGAATATACACTTGAGCTTAATTTATGAATTGAATATTTTACCCCCTCATAGTCGTTATTTTTAATAAACTCATAATTAAATACCTATTTATCATACAAAAATTATGGTTTACCTAACTATAACAAATAAATTAAATTTTGTTTGATGGGACAGAGATTAAGTTGAGACTGCTCTGAGAATTGTGATCTAATATTAGACCCCCAAGAGTCATCACTTTTCTTGGCAATTAATTTGTCAGTTGTTTGAATAGAAAACATCGATTTTGTGATAAGATAATCTGTTGTTTTTTGGTTCCCCATAAAGGACAAATTTCATTTTCGCCGAAAATCAGTTGGGCGAAAAGGCTGATCATGACTGGAGGTGTGCAACTCAGAAGCTAAATTGCAATAAAATTATAATTAATAGTTTTTTGCAGAAATTTGGTTTCTAATCAATCTGCTATGTGGCATATTGGAAGCAAGAGCTGAAGATTTCGGTGTCTCTACTACTGATGGCTATCCAGAAACGATCTACACTACATCCGATGAGGAATATGGCAGTGCCTTAATATTAGGCAACCTCAGTCTTTGTGGCAATGTGGCGGATAACGTATTTCTCCCCTTTGTGGGGGACTGCAATAAGTACTACCTTTGTCGCTGTAAGCTTAGATATTAAGATCGTTATAATTGATTTTATACATTTGATATTTTTATCCATTAGCTGGCCAAGCTATTGAGCTGCAGTGCGAGCTGCCGTACCAATTCAATGCCAATACCCAGAGCTGTGTAAAACCCGGCGAGGCTGATTGCCTGCCCACCTGCGAGGCCGTCAGTTTCAGCACCTTCAGTTACCAGCGCACCTGCACGAAGTACGTGCTCTGCTACTACGGACATCCGGTTTTGAGGCAATGTCAAGATGGCCTTCAGTACAACCCTCAAACGGACCGATGCGATTTCGCCCAGAATGTGGACTGTGTGGAGTCCGAGTGCTCCATCTACTATAACGCCTATCACCTGCGCTATGTGCCCAGCAAGGTGTCCTGCGAGAAGTACTTCCTCTGCGGCAACGGAGTCCCCAGGGAGCAGTCCTGTACGCCAGGCCTTCACTTCAGCACCAAGTGCGATTGCTGCGATATTCCATCGAAATCGGACTGTCAGGTGGGGTCAAAACCTTGGCATAACTCTATAGGAATCGATGGCTAATCCAAAAGTCTTACAGATCCCCGCTGTAGAAAGGAAACTTCCGCAATACTCACGTCTCTCGCCCAGAACTACTGTTGGCATCTGCCCTCCTTCGGGGGTCCACTTCTACGCCCACGATTCTCGCCAGGATGCCTATTACTATTGCGTGGAGGGACATGGACTGGTTCTGGAATGTTCGGCGGGTCTGTGGTACGATCCTAAAGTTCAGGAGTGCCGCGAACCCCAGAATGTGGGCCTATAGTCCGGTTGAAATCAATAAAATTGAATAGAGTGCACATTTCTAGTTCCTTATGAGAATAACCTTAGTCCGACTACTAATATATTTATAAAATTGCCACCTTTTTAGGCGGAAATTGGACTATTTAAAGACCAGAAAATTTCTTCATTGAGTTGACTTATCTAATCTTACCATATTATAGCTATTTATTAGAATTTTTGTACTACATGTATTAATACGGTTGAAATTTGTAACGATTCCAACCAAATATTATTGTACGTGATTTCTAGATAAAAATTTCAACTCCTACTACTACTATTGGCAAAACCTCCTGAGGTCTTGAAAAATATTTAAAATAAATTTTTAACTACATTGGATAACAGCAGTTGAAAGAGGAATTGTGTTTTTTTGACACGTGATTTGAGCTTATGTATAATAGGCTCAATATAAGAAACAAACCTTTAATGCCATTTCAATACCCCAAAATTAAGATACTTTTTCAGTTGCAAAAACACTAATTCATGTGTGGACAGCAGTGGATCTTTATTTCAACGGACTATGCGCCTACGAACTGGGGCTCCCGGCACTCCCCGCGCTTGGCATCGAAGACCAGACCGGGAGTGCAGTCCAGGATGACGCCGCGTCCATTCAGACAGTAGTAGTACGCATCGTGGCGCTTCTGGTGGGCCACAAAGTGAGCGCCCTCCGAGGGACACTCAATGTCGGCACTGCGCGGAGGGGATCGGGCGAAGGGTAGGATGTTCCTCTGAAGGCTCTCCACCTGAAAGAAAATAGTCCATATAGAATAATCCATATTTAGATCATAATTAGATCCACTCACCGTGCAGTTGACCCTGGAGGGGAAGTCGCAACTCTGGGTGGTTGGGTTGAACTGCAGACCTCTGGTGCAGTTTTGGACCGTGGGCAGACCATTCAGACACACGTAGTACTTGTCACACTTCGCCTTGCTGGCTATGTAGACGATGTTGTCCGGGTTATTCTCCCGGATGCACAGGTTGTCCACACAGTCCACGAACTGCGGATAGTCGCAGCGATCGGTCTGGGCATTGTACTGCAGTCCATCGGAGCACTGTTGGATCACGGGAGTGCCGTCGAAGCAGAGGACGTACTTGGTGCAGGTGCGATCGTAGCAGAAGGACTCGAGACCCCGGGCCTTACAAGAGGGCACACATCTGGCCTCCATTACGGGCACGCACTGCTGATCCCGGGCATCGAAGTAGTAGTTGGCAGGACACTCCCGGGGCACAGCCACTTCACCTAAACGATGAATACAGGACGGGATTAGTCACAGAACTCAACTAAACATTTCCAAATGACACTCACTCATACACAGATAGTACTTGCTGCAGTTGCTCACGTGCGGCAGGAAGAGATTGCTGACCACATTGGAGCAGATATTAACCTCCCCATTCGCAGCTCCAAAACATCCGATCAGGGCAGCCAGGGCCAAAAGGGTGAGGCGGTGCATCACTGTAGGACAATTGTTTACTTAGTTTTCTCCAGAGTTTTTACTCCGACTCCTACTCACTTTTTGGCTTCAGTTTCCTCCGCTTACTATCGCCCCACCTCAATGAGGCCCTCCATATATAGGTAAACTATTTCGGCATTCAATCTCCAGTATGTTTTGATTCCCGTCGAATTTTAAGTCTTATCAGATGGGGATGCATGTTCCTATGTGGTAATTAAAAGGCGCTTCATTAAAAGTCGCCAGGCAGAGATAATTTCGACGAACAAAAGTCAATCGAAAGGAGGCATTAATCAGGAACTTTTGTAAAAATACACGTGTAACGATGATAATTTGTGTCTACTGATGATTTTCTGATTTGGTAATTTTTACAAGTACTAAAATTAGATATATCACTTATTTATGGGTATATATCTATAGTTATATGGTAACTTAAAGCCCCCAAAATTACTATTTTTGGCTAAAAACTCAACATCATAGTTAATTTAGTTCTAACAAACCACACGTAACTGGTGAATTATTCAGATGTCAAACTTTGAGTAAACATTCACTCAAATGATATGAGAAAAAGCGTGATAGTAATGTTAGACTTGAAATTGCAAATAAGTTTTTATCACACCTTTTATAGATTACTGGATGAGATCCACGGGTTCTGAGAATCAGTCTATTCAAAGCATTTAATTATCGCGATGTTTGGTGGCGTCAAATTAAAAGTTGAAATGTTTGCAGAAATCAGAGTGTAGTTTTCCTATAGGAGTGTGCCAAAATTAGCAAATAGTGATAAGCGAGAGCTGGCAAGAACTCATTGGGCGACAACGAAGATTCGATATAAAGTGGATATTTTCCAGGCTAAGAGTAAACAGTTGCGTTGCACTTACCGAACTATCCAGGAGTAAGTAGCTCAGAGATTGCCTTCCTTCGATTCCATATCACTGGCATTGACTCCGCAGTGAAGTGGCTGACGAACAGTGGTATACTCGTGGTCCTTCTAACCATTCATCGGATTGAGGCCGTCGAAGATCTGGTGGTGGCCCCAGGTCCAGATGATGAACGCGAGGGCGGTGACCTTGAACAAGAGGCTGAGTACGATATATACAACAACACCCAGATCAACGTTTGCAACAACGTGGTGGATGGAGTATATCTGCCCTATGTGGGTGATTGCGATAAGTATATCGAGTGTAAAAGTAAGTCAAATTTTGAGGAAAGTAGATTTGACTGGGGGTAAAGGGTTTTAAGTTTAGTTTAAACCCCAAAATCTGATAAAAGCTGATAGAAACGGTGGTGTTAAAAATGTATGCCACAAAATATGTTTGGATTGAGATCCAGATCCCCCCACAAAACCTACATATGGTACACAGGTTTTTAGTTATATATTGTAGCTTCTAAACCTTCATATTTCAGTTTTCCAAGTACACGATTTTTAAGGCACAAATAGTTATTAAACAATAAGAATTGCAATCGGTTTCTTAATAATGAGGCACATATGGTGTTTAATGGTTTTCAGTGGTATGAAAGTAGGCCGTAGAGTTTTAAGTTGGCGAATATATTCATGATTACCGACTGTAAGCGAGTTAATAATTCCGTGATATGTATTGTAGATAACGCAATACTGGAAATAGGCAGCTGTTCCGAATTAGACAAGGCCTCTGACCCTCCGCAACTGTGCCCCAATGCGAGTGAGACGTGTAATGTGGGCTACGATCCGGTGCTCCAGATATGCACCTACCTAGATAAAGTGAAGTGCCTGCCCACCTGCGATTCGGAGCGATTGAGTAGCTTCTGCTACGACAACACCTGCACCAAGTACGTGCTCTGCTATTACGGAAAACCCGTGTTGCGGGAATGCCACGATGGGCTGCAGTACAACAATGTGACGGATCGCTGTGACTTTCCCGAGTACGTGGACTGTGTGGCCAACGACTGCTCGGCCACCTTCCAGCCGAAGGACATCATCTACCTGGCCAGCAAGGCGTCCTGCAGCAAGTACTTCGTCTGCTCCGATGGCCATCCGTGGGAACAGGAGTGCGCCCCCGGATTGGCCTACAATCCGGAGTGCAAGTGCTGCGATTTCGCCAAGAATGTCAACTGCACGGTGAGTTACGCAAGATGGCCTTGGATATTATAGAGTTAAATTAATACCCTTTACACGTAAAGTATTTTACATATATTATATATGTATGATGTATATTGTATTCGTTCAAAAGTATGTAACAGTAACCGATAGAACATAGATATTGATCAAGATCCGTCTATCAGTATGAATGTCGAGATCCCGAAAACTGACTAATTCTGCGTGACATGGTAGACAAATGTTTTTGGGCGCCATTTATTTAATTACTCAAAAAACATTTATCAATTTACAACAAATATTTTAAATCAAACAATTTTTTTAAAAGTTGTTTATAAAATTGAGTTCGAGTTAGTCAATGACGTCAGCTCTAGCTGATAAATAGATGGCGCCACATATTGTTGTGTGTGGTCCAATCTAATTGCAAGAAGCGCCATCTGTTGGGGTTTTGTTTACTCTTACAGAGTAAAGTGTATTTGATAGTCATGGTACTAGACTACTTGTTTCGATTCCGTACTTTACAATTTGAATTCCAGATTGATGCTGCGGCCAGGAATATTGTGCCCTATTCCCGTTCCCCACTGCGACGTGCTGACATCGAGTGCCCCCATGTGGGAATTCACTTCTATCCGCACAAATCCCGCAGGGATGCGTACTACTACTGCGTCGAGGGTCGTGGAGTCACTCTGGACTGCACTCCGGGTCTTCAGTACGATCAGAAGGTGGAGGAGTGCCGCAAGCCGCAATTCGTTGGAGTCTAACTGAGTTTTTCCAAATAAATGATTACACTGAGAAAAACAATCGAAAACAAAAAGCCAACTGACTCTTTCCTTCGATATATTAATCTTCATTTTTGACCTTGAAAAGATAAAGTATTTAATAATGAATTTAATTAAATACTTCTCATTTGAATTTCTCAATTTCTCACACATTGGCCTCAAATTATATAATATAGCACTAAATTGCAGAAAACACAATGACCACAATCAAAATTTGTATCCTTTGCATAAGTAAAAGACTTAAACACTAACAATTTTTCTATGTCTTTTTATACCCTTGCAGAGGGTATTATAACTTCAGTCAAAAGTTTGCAACGCAGTGAAGGAGGCATTTCCGATATATAACATATAATATATATATTTTTAATCAGCATCACCAGGAGAGTCGAACTAGCCATGTCCGTTTCTACGCAAACTAGTCCCTCAGTTCAAAAGCTATCTGATTGAAACTTTCCCAAAAGTTGTCTTTCTATTGCAGGTAGTATATAAGTCAGAACGAGCCGGATCGGGAGACTATATAAAATAGCTTCCATAGGAACAATAATTTAATTCTGCATTTTTTTCATTGGTTGAATTTTTATTTGGATTCTTGAAAAAAATGTGAGTTTTTGCTGATACAATTTTCGGCTTGATATGCTTATCTCATGAAATACCAAGGCCACAACAAATGCAAAATATTTCATCAACTGTGAATTCCGATTAGTTAATCCGGGAAACAGAGAATTCCTTATATTTTGTGGCAAAATAAAAGCACGGAAGTACAAGGCACAAAAGATATGAACAAGCTAAACCCCATTACTTACTGTTCCGAATAAAATAAAAAAATTAATGCCTTCCTTTTGCACCTATTTTAGCTTTATATTAAGATATTAAAATTGGCAATATCAAGTTACAGATTTGGTGATATATGGAACAAATTAGTGCCAACTATAAGGTTTTAAAGTTCATTTTTTAAATTGTTCTCTACTTATTTTCTTTTCAATGTCCAGATGGTTAGTTGAACACATACGTCCGTAAAATATACCCTTTTTTAACGAGAACAGGGTACAAAATATGTTTCAGAATATTTGGTAATTTCTTATCGTGAAGACCATAGGGCTCTTTTTCGATCGGCAAAGCTAGTGCAGAATTAGTACAATATAAGCTCTCAACTTGAAAGGTTGGAAATATTTTGACAATGCCAAAGCTTGCTGAGTTATTTTTGTTCTCCGCAGCAGTGGTTTGCAATGGTTTGGTCCTGGTGGGATCCCAAGGACATCCGTCTTCAGTTTGCGTCCTTACAGACGCTCCGACTCAGTGCGGGGCCTTTTGCCAAGCCGCGCTTAATCCTCTGATTGATGATCTAGCTGATCTGCGGAACCAGTTTACAACTATTCAGGAAGTATGTGACAGAAAGCAACAAGAAACCAAATCAGTGATGGACGAAATGCTGGAACAAACAAGAGCCATGTTAAACAGCATCAAAGAGAACACAAAAGCAATGTTTGACAGACAGCATGAAATGAACTCTAAGTTAACCAATATTGAAACAAAACTACTGCAAACACTTGGGGGCCATAGCCAACAACCATCTATGCAGGATGTTCAAATCGTGCCCCAAACAAATCCTACGGAAGATGTAAAGTCGGTCGGATCGAGTAGATGGAAATTAATTTTGGAATGGAAAACATGGTATGACGCTGAAACTCATTGTCAGCGTTTGGGCGGCCACTTGGCGGTCTTCCAAAACAATGAAGAAGTGGAACTAGTAACAAGGCTATTAGATTATGAAACATGGTATAATTACGCCTTCTGGCTGGGCATTCACAATTTGAATCAGGAGAACGAGTTTGTATCAGTGAACTCCGGCAGGAAAGCACAATTTTTGGATTGGGCTTATGGAGAACCTAACAATAGAAACGGAGATTGCGTTCAAATGTTTAGGGGGAATATGAAAAAAAGCAACTGCGCCATAAATGGCAAGTTTATTTGTCAGCTAATTGTCAATAACTAGTGTATTTTAATTGTGTAATAGCCCTATAATTAAAATATACTGAATTCAATATTTGTATTGCTTTATTCTTTTATTCGAAAAGTCAAAATAATTTTATTTAAGCGTATCCACATGCTGATATGGACTTTAGTATTCACAAATTTAATTTACACATGCGGCTTTTTAATTTTACAACTATATTAGGTTTTACTAGGGAGAAAGAACCTTTTAGGACAACATCGAAATACTTCATGATATATTATAGAAAACAAAAGTAAAGTAAAAACCAGGAAAATAAGATCAAAATGTTCAAAAATATTGTTAAATTAAGTTAACCTTCAAAAAATACGTATGCGAAGGCCCAGCAACTAGCACTACACCACCTATGTAAGTCTTAGTTTTGTAAACTTACTATCAAAATAAATAAAAACGATCAAAATTAATTCCATTACAATTAATTTCCTTATTTCCGTTATTGGCTGATTTATTATATAATATAAAATTAAGAAAAACATCATCTGTTAAAATTAACAACAAGGTCTTAAAAGGTAATGTATATTAGGTATCTCAAAGTCGGTTCTCTCCTCACTATTTTGTATTTTAACTACATGGATTCCGCCTTCAGTTTGTTCGAACTAGTAACTGAACTTAAGTCTTCACGACCAGCAAGTGCTAGATTCCATCTTCAATCCCCTCGAGCTCAGCAGTATCCACTCGCAAGACTCCGTGCCCGCTGAAGATTCTCTAAAGGATATGGAGCCGGATAGCGAAGGCACCAGAGCTTCCAGGGAGTTGGAGCTCAAAGCCATTGACTTATCTGAAAATGGGGGGATGACTTGAACAGAGCCGTGGAGTTGGCCAGTGATCAGCACACCAGGACCAAGTGCCAAGCCCACTGTCAGCGGGGAGTGCCATACCGCAAAGTGGATAATTTGGAGGCGGCGCGTGGGGACTTCGGGGCAGAAGCACAGTTGGGCAGCAAATTCGCCAGGGAACAGGTAGTTCAATTAATTATTAGCGAAAAGCCCAGTCTAATACAAACCCCTTTTCAGCTGGTAGAAATGAATCCCTTTGCGGCACTCTACAATCAAATGCTTCGCCAGGCTTTCGATCAGCTCATAAAGTTGGGTTTTAAATGTATACCAACAGCTTTTTAAAATAGGTAACAAATTATTCAGACTAAGTCCCTTTCGTGTGGTAAATAAAGTAAATAATTTTACTAACAAGAAAATCACTCTTTAATCTAATAGCAAAAGAGCGATTTTCTTGAATGTTTTTCCGTTTAGACCCAGTAGTTTGATAATTCTTGTTGTTTCTTAAAGTAAATGGCTTTCTATCTATTTACATGTTTGGAATATGTTTAAAAACAATGATGTTGATGTTAATACATTTTTAAATAAAAGCTTTATTACATAGTCTTCCTATTTTTTAGCCGTTATTTTGAATTTATAAAAAATCCCGTTGACTATAATAATACCTTCTGCAGAGGTAAAAAACTAAAAAATATCCTAACACTGTAATCTTAATCAAATACACGTAAATTATTATATTAATGCGATACATATTTTGAACTGATAAATAAAACGTTAAGGTTAGTTGCAAAAAAGAAAATTACTAAAATTAAAATAAAAATAAAAATATCCAAAATAATTAAAAAGGAAACATATTAGTTCCAAGATAAACTTAATTGATTTACATTTAGTAATCTTAGTTAGGTAATGTTTTTTTAAAATTGTAATTTTCATGAAAAAAACACATTGGCAACAGTCGCAATAATCACTTATAAACCGGTCACCTAAGCTTTCTTATCTGCCCACAAAAAGCTCAGGCTTGAAGCGCTCAAATTTATAGTGTTTAAAAAAACAATATACGTTACATTTGAGATTTAAGGCGGTATATTTAAAATTGTTATAGCCCATTCACAATGGCTTTTTTCAGAGGGCGCATGTGCGGTGCAGCCGCCGTGTTTCCAAAAAGAGGCAGAGAGCGCCTCAGAGAGCGCCCCATTCATGCTCCTCTGATTGCAGCACTCGCCACTGCCACACGCCACCCACCACCCACCGTCTGCCCACCCAATCGCACGGCCGCATATACAGAAAGCAAAAACAGAACGCTGTCTGCTGGCAAAAAAAAAATCAACAAAACAGCCAAGGGGGCGGGTGAAAGGGGGTGGTGAAAGAGTGGTCTGCGAAACTCATGAAAGTGAAAACGAGCACGGCGCTGAGGCCAGCTGCATTCACACATTCAGTTGGCTGCGAGTCCTTGCGCCGTTCGAATCGCAGCCGAATCGCAGCACCACCCACACGGCCATCGTCCATTCTCCACCACTCACCACTTACCACCCACCATCAACCGCCCACCTGCCTTTCGGGCCGCAAGGTTGGCAAAATACAGTTATTCGAGCGCGAATCCGCGGTGGCTGATTTCTTGAATTGAATATAAAGTTGCAAGTCGCGTGAGTCCTTCGTGTGACGAGGAGCTCTGTGCACAAAAAGGATATTTATTTGCCAGGCCAGTGTGTGTGCCTATTTGTCTTGGGTCGTGTCGTGTCGGGTCAGTTGAGCGTTCAAGGACTCTGCTGCAGCAACTACAAAATAGCAAGAAAAAAGACCAGTGCCAGAAACAACAATATGTGTGCAATAAAGGCGTGAAACGTGACAGCAACGTGCCAATAGGCGGAGGCATTGAAAAGCTGAAAGGAACACACATTTGAGAGCCAGAGAAACCGAACCGAGAAAATATTGCAGGTAAAAAAAAAGCGTGGTGCACTTGAGAAAACAACCCACACATACATGTGTGCATACAGCGCATTGCTCATACGCAGCGTACGCCATCAAGTGGGCAGAGATTTTTTTTCCGTTTTTGCGGCCTTTTGTTGGGACAGACAGACAGACATTCAGTCGGTCCTCACACTATTCACCCAGAGCAAAACCAAACCGCCCCGTCCTGTAAAGTCACTCGAATGAGACAAATTCACTTCCCGCCAACGAAAAGAGCGAACGGCAAAGGTTAATGGCAAAAACAAACCATCCGAGTGAGCGTAGAATGGCCAAAAAGGGGTGCCTAACCAGCGGGCGGGAATTGTTCCTGCTTTAAAGTTTACAAATTTCTGTTTTGGCATCTTTCCCCAATGACGCATAGATTTCATCCGCCGGAGGTGAGGAAAAATGGCTGGGAAAATAGCAGCAAATTTTGAATGTCTGGTATTTCATTTATGCAATGGTCATGCGGTTGGGATAGCACTGTTTCCGAAGAATTTCCCGACTGGCCCAGGAATTCCGCTTAATAAACATTTCTTTGGCCTTACCAGCATGTCATTTGCCCCAAATTCAATCAAATCTCTCAGTCAATAAACTGAAAGCGAATGGCCTGTACATTTTTTATTTTCCACAAATTAAATGTCGAATTATGGCCAAAAACAAGATTTATTGTGAAAAAATATTAAAAACATAACGTACTTACGGTCAAAACATAACGATATTTACTCAACCTAAAAATAATCTTTTGTATGATAATAGTTTTAATAAATTAATCAACATCAACCTATTTAAATGTCTTCTTCATTCCTAAAATTAGTTAAGATTAGTTAAGATTTTTCCTTTGATTTGCCCGTAAATAATCTATCCCTGTGTCACCAGGGCCTCTTTGGACGAGCTAAGTTCAACTGTTTCCGTGGTGTAGCGGTTATCACATCTGCCTAACACGCAGAAGGCCCCCGGTTCGATCCCGGGCGGAAACAGATAAAGATTATTTTTTTATTTTTTTACCTTAAATTTAAAATAATTTGTTGTACCATTAAAACATCAAACGGTTTTCCACTAAAAAACAATTTAACTTCCATATCTTGAATTACATTCACCACCAAGAGTGAGTTAAAGAATTAATTTTAGAATTAAAATTTATATATTTTTTTTTTTGCCTATACATATGTAATTATTGTTCACATTAGTAATAAATCTGAAGGCGAAGTAACAGTTAAGAAAGTTTCCATCTTGTTATTAAAATTAAATTAAGAATCTTTATAACTTATGTTAAACAAAAATTTGAAGTAGCTCATTATTTGCATTAAACCAAATTAATTAATTAATTAACTTAAAAATTTCTTAAGATATTATTCCGTATATTAAAAATATAGAAATTTACAAAGTCAGAACAAAGTTTTTAATTAATGTATGCAAACAAATAACTATTTTTGCTTAAAATATCAAATAACACTTTAAAAATAAGTTAAAAGATTTCTAATCTCACTGTGATTTATTAAAGAAAGATACGATAAAAAAAAACCAAAAAAATTGGTTCACATGTTTCCGCCCGGGATCGAACCGGGGGCCTTCTGCGTGTTAGGCAGATGTGATAACCGCTACACCACGGAAACAGTTGAAACTCGTGCGGCCCAGAGGTCAACTTCAGCGACACTCTTTTGGCGGCAGTCCAAAATTAAAACGGGTTTCGTAAATTAAATCTAAAAGTGTTATTGTATCTATTTAAGTTATTTTATGAGGAATGTTTCAAGGAGACGCAATGATCGGGCAGTTTGTATTAGGCTCAGCGTGGGGCTGATAATATAATTATTATAAGGTGGGTGCGTGAAAGTGATTTATAATGGTGATTGGAACCAATTGAGTGGGAATTCTTTGTTGAGAGACACTTTCTTTATTTTTGCGGGCGGTGCAGGAGCTCCATTTATGATTATCTATCAAGAGAAAACACTTTAGTGCCTTCAGCTTAGACAATGTCAATGCCCGACTTTCATCAAGTTCCGCACAAATCTTGACCAGCATCGAGGCAAATCAAGCTGAACTCTGCCCCGAATGGCAAAGAAACTAAATGGTTGTAATCTGAGTGGCAGAAGCACAAAGCATTGAACCCTCAAATGAAAAGGACAAGGGGGTGCCCAAATACAAGCCGAAATCCGAGTGGCGCCAGTCGAGAAATGGAAACGAAATGAACCTATCAAAAGGTTGTCAAAATGTCTCTTTTAAATATGTTTATTTTATTGCTCTTGCCCGTGCTTGAGTATTTATTTATACGCATTTAGCTTGGGCATTGTGTTGTGTAATTTTTGCTCCAAGATGTTGACAGGCATTGAACTTTGAACCTTACTGCCGAATAGAACAGGAAAGTTCCCGAAAACAAAAGTTATTTTATTTTGCGTTTGATTTTTGTTGCTTTTCTTAAGGCGCACGGTGCGTATGTGTACTCTACTGTTCATGCGACACGCGAAAATTGTCTGTGGAATAATTTAAAAAATTCATTATTCTTTCCGCTGTCATCGTTGATTGGCTAACACCGCCGAGACCACACACCAAAAGCCAGGAACAGTTCAACGAACAGCTAAGCGAGTTTAGAACCATAAATGCAAATATCAGGGGATCGGGGCTCCTACTGGTAAAGAAAAGAAACTTCTAAGAACAGTGGGAAGAAGCGTCATAATCCATCTTTGAATAGTTTGTGAACTCTCAAAGTTTCACCTCCTAAGTCTGAAAACAAAGGCATACCAAGGTAATTTTTTCAAAATAAGTGGGGGAATTTTAGAAAAATGTTCCTTAAGTTGGTTAAAATTTAATAATTAAAGTTGCTTAGAGCATTCAAAATTACAAAATAAATGTATTTTTAATGAAAATCTTGAATATTTGTAAGCCCCCTTAAGTAAGCCTCTGCATGGCCATGTCCTTTTTTAACACCATCTCATACCAAAATCTGTCTGTGCTTTGGCGCGCTGGGGTCCTTGTGGTCGTATTGGTGTTTTAGGATGTTTTGGATGTAGCTAGATGGCAATGACACGGGAAGTGAAAGCGTTCAATGAATGTTTTATTTTTCGGTTGGGTTCCTTGACCAGGCAACTACAGCCAACGAAACCTTTGTTCCTTGTTGCACCTTGGAACAGGGAAGCACAAAGAGGAAATTCCAAACCAGGATGCGGCTTGGGGGTGGAGGTTTTTCGCAGACAGAGAGACAGCCTCATGAAATGTGATGCGCACGTTTCCTGTTTTAGCTTTTTTGGAAGAGGAATAGGGGAAAAAGGAACCGGGGAGGACTCCCTTCCGTCTGGCAAACACAAAGCCAAATGAGTCAGATGCGCTTTGTCTAGTCAAGGATTTAGCCGCCCCACAACCTCTAAACGCAAAACTTGAACTTCAAATAAGTTTGCAGCACTTAATGCCGACTGTCTGTCTGCCTGCACTCACAAAATGTGTATTGTACATTTGATACAACAGTGACTTAACATTTTTTAAACCTAAATTGCTTTGAAATAATTAATTTAAATATATTTTAAAGATCATTAGTGATTTTATTGACGTGTATTCTTTGATGGTTTTTCTCAGCTTCAGCGAAACAGCGAATATCAAAAGTAAACATAACAACACTTTAGCTGTAGCTGATGCTAAAACTTAATTTTTTTTTCCTTTGGTGGAAATAAACGAACTATATCTTGGGAATTTGAAAGTTAAAACAAGGGGGAACGCAATAGACAAGTGTCTCTACTATAAGATTACCGTGCTTTGTGATTGAAAACATTTAAATAAATAACATTGCAAGGGACAATGCAAACAATGGATTAATGGATTGGACAATGCTTAAATAAAATGTTCACATTAGTTTGGATAACCCACAGTCTTATGACAGAAACTCTTGCAAAATGGATATATGTGGAAGAGTATCCTAAAATAATAACATGTATTTATATGCTCCTTTCCTTTCAGTTGACTCCGCTTGTACTTTTCGAGTCCGTGATGCATTTCTGGATTGACAAGCGATCGCAGCAGTGCGGATTTGGACGCTCCCGGGTGGCGGCTTCCCTATCGCATGCTGGGAGCGGACTCAGCTATGGCCATCCGCCACGAAGGACCAAGTCCACCAGCTGCAGCAGCAACAGTACTGGAAGCAGCGGCCAGACAATGCCCTCCGTGCACCGAACCCTGCCGCAGACGCCCTACGATCTCCACCAGCCGGGCACAAGTCGCCAATCGCAGTCGTCGTATGGCAACAACAATTCCCTGCACGGCCAGCAGCAGCAACATTCCAGCGGTGGTGGCACAAACAATAACAATAACCTGGCTGCCACCGGTACAACAACAACTGCCAGCAACAATAACAATGCCAGCTCCTCGGCAGCTGTCCTTACCGGAAGTGGAACCATCGTTCCCCTGGTGGCACGTGGCTCGCACTACAATCACCACGGCAGCACGCGCTATCAGCCGAGAGCACAGCAGCAGCAACTTTTGCACCACCAGCAGCAGCAACATCAGCAGCAGCAGCAACACTACAGCTATCACCATCCGCAATTCGGCAACATGGCTGTGCCCGTGAGACACTACGATGCACATCAGCAACAGCAGCAGCAATATTCGGGCAATGTCTATGCGTAAGTAGCTGAGGTTAAAATGTAACATCACAGCAGACCTATAGAAATTTCCGATCACTATTTCTTAACCAAATCATTAACTATTTTGCTTACCAAAAACAATAAGTTTAAGCCTTAAAGAGCTGTGTTGAAAATATATAATAAGATAGCCTTCCTGTTAAAATGTTGAAGATTATCGTTTACAATGTTCAAAAAAATAATACTTCGATTTACCCAGTATTTTGAATATTCAATAGTTTTTATACCCTTGCAGAGGGTATTATAATTTTGGTCAGAAGTTTGTAACGCAGTGAAGGAGACGTTTCCGACCCTACAAAGTATATATATTCTTGATCAGGATCAATAGGGGAGTCGATACAGCTATGTCCGTCTGTCCGTCTGTCCGTCCGTCCGTCTGTCCGTCTGTCCGTCTGTTTCAATACCTTTTGCGAGCTCAGTTTAAAAGCTAGCGATCTGAAACTTTCACAGTCGTCCTAAAACAAGTGTACGCAGATCAAGTTTGAAAACCGCCCCGATCGGATGTCTATATCCTATAGCTCCCATAGAAACAATCGGATATAACTTGCAAGAATGGAAGATATTTCGCGCAGTGTAAAAGCTATTGACATAAATCTTTCCAAATCTTATTTTTTTGCGTACCTTGATCAGAGTAAAAGTGCGTGACGATCGGACGTCTATATCCTATAGCTCCCATAGGAACAAAAGGGTATAATCGGTTAAAATTTAATGATTTTTAGGATATTTCACGCAGTATACAAGCTATTGACATGAATCTTCCAAATCCTATTTTTTATGCATACATTGATCAAGGTGAAAGCGCGTGCCGATCGGACCTCTATATCCTATAGCTCCCATAGGAACAATAGGGTGAAATCGGTCCAAATTTGATGATTATCAGAATATTTCGCGCAGTGTGTAAGCTACTAACATAAAATTTTCCAATTCTTATTTATTTACGCATAAATTGATTAGGTAAAAGCGCTTGCCGCTCGGAAGTCTATATCTTAAAGGAGATAGAAAAATTGTTAAAGGCGCAAAGTACCTTTTTATACCCGTTACTCGTAGAGTAAAAGGGTATATTGTATTCGCAAAAGTATGTAACAGCTAGAAGGAAGCGTTTCCGACCCTATAAAGTATATATATTCTTGATCAGGTCACAACGAGTCGATATAGCCATGTCCGTCTGTCCGTCTGTCTGTCCGTCCGTCTGTCCGTCTGTCCGTCTGTCTGTCCGTCCGTATGAACGCTGAGATCTCGGAAACTATAAAAGCTAGAGGATTGGCATTTTGCATGCAGATTCTAGGAGTTCCTACGCAGCGCAAGTTTGTTTCAAAAAGGTGCCACGCCCCCTTTAACGCCCACAATCGCTTATATACGATTTTAAAAATTTAACTATTTCGGAAAAGTAAAAATGCAGTTTTATTGTGTTTATCAATACCTATCGAAATGTAGAAGACATTTTTCAAATCGGACCATTCGTTAAAAAGTTATGCGTGATCAAAGTTTCTATCTCCATCTCCCTCGCACTCCCTTTACCTGAGTAACGGGTATCTGATAGTCGGGGCACCCGACTATAGAGTTCTCTCTTGTTTTCTATTTGTATATGACATTTTTGCAGTATAAAAGCAATTGACTTGAAACGATGCAAATCTAGTTTACTTATGTATACCTTATTCCTTTCGCTACTTTTTCACTTTGAGCAATTTCGTCAAAGTCTGCAAGGGTATTAAAACTTCTGCTTGCCGAAGTTAGCTTCCGTCCTCGTTTATTATAATATTTAATTGAGAAAATAATGATAATTGTTTCACTTTGTATAGAAATTTGTAAATAACTGTTATTTTTCATTGTTCAATAAACAAAAATGATGAAAAATAGCAGTTATTTTATCTTATGAAACCCACAACATGGATTATGGCTCCATATTTTTGTGATAGAAATTGTATTTATTCATAAGACAATGGTTATGTCTACTTTGGTGTTAACTTCTAATTCATTCGCCTGACTAACATTTGGAATTGTTTTCCAGCGATGATGCCTACAGCGCCTATCACCACACCGCCCATCACCAGCACAGCAGCAATCACTCGACCAGCGGCAGCAACAACCAGCGACAATCGACCGCCTACGCCACGCCCCGTCGCCACAACTCCAGCAGCAACATGCGGCACTCCACAGCAGCAGCAACATCAGGGGCAGCAGCTGCAACAGAAGCAGCAACTTTGGCCAGTCCAGCGGCAACAGTTGCTGCTGTACCAGCGACAACGCACAGCAACCAGTTGCAGCAGCAACACCACGCATTGCTGCAGCACGCGGACTCGCAACTGTTGCCCAGTCACCTGAAATGCGGCATGTGCGCCTCGCTGGTGCTGGCCTCCGTTTTTGTGGCCGGAACTAAGTTCTACTTCGACCATCAGGGCACTGGATTGGAGGTGCTGATCTTCTGCGCCTTCTCGGCAACCTTCTTCCTGGCCGCCTGCCTGGTCAGTCTGTGCAGGATTCCCAAGGGCCTGCTCTCGAATTCCAATCGCTCGGATGGTCGTGCAGCCGTTTGCCACACTCGTGGTGTGAACTCGTCCTTGGCGGGATCGGGATCGGGAACGGCCCAGTCCGCCGGCTGTCTGCTGGAGATGAGCGAGGTGCGGTACCTGGAGGAGCGACAGGTGACCCCCGTGGGCGGTACGGCGGCCACAGCCGGCCCGCCGCCCTACCACATTGCCATATTGCTGCCGGAACAGACGCCGGCGACAATGGGCAAACAACTCCCGATGGATGAGTCGCCGCCGCCGTCATATGACAAGATTCTCGTATAGGCTGTCGGGGTATTGAGCCTCGGTTAGAGTTCGCGAACCCCAGATCCTTGATACCCGTTCGATGTACTTTTGCTCAGTATTTTTCTAAAAAAAAAAAAAACAAAAGATATCACAGTTTATATATGAACATTTACACGGCAATGATATATATATATCAAGTAAACATATTTACATACACGAATATTTACTTTTAAGCTCCGAATAATATTTTTACACTTTCTATGCCCCGTACTAGAAAACCAAACTCTTCCACTCTAGACCCGAACATGTCATATTCTACTGTCATTTTTGTTCTGTGATATGCTCAAGAGATCAAGAAATCATAAGTTATAGTGACCGCGAGATCAAAGTATATTAAACCATTAGCTTCAAAACACGACAAGCCAATGCAACGAGGAAAAAATGTAGAAATAGCTGATACAGAAACTAATGAATTCAAGCAGCAGTATTAGTAGGCAGTTAAGAAACAAATAAATTACCAATCAAATGCCCCGTTCTCTTACAAAATATTAAAACAGAGCGCAATATATTAAGTAAATACGACATATACCAAATAAAATGATCTTAAATGTACTCAAGTATTTTATTATTCCACCGACTCATTCACATTGACAAAGTTAAAAATAATGGTTTTTAATAACATCAAATGCAAACCAACACATTTATCCTTACATATGGGTCTCAATTTGTACAGATTAAACTGCAATGATATATATTTCTTATATCATTTTTATACTGACTATTTACTATTTATCTAGCGCTTTTTAAGTTTTTTTTCTGCACTTTTTAATTGGTTAAACTTTTGTTTAAAAAAATATATATAAGTTTAGCTGATATAATTTTCGGCTTGTAATCCTTGAAATGCTTTTTTCCCTAGAAAAAAACATCATTTTATTAACTGTGAATTCCGATGAGTAAATCCGGGAAACAGATAATTTGTTATATTTTGTGGCAAAGTAAAAGAACGGAAGTACAAGTCACAAAAGGTTTGAGGGAGCTGAGCCCCATTCACAAAAGGTTTGAGGGAGCTGAGCCCCATTACTTACTGTCCCGACTAAAATGTATCTTGGCAATTAAAAAAATAATACCTTTCTTTTTGTTTAAGCTTATGTTTTGGTGGCATATGGAAAAAATTAGTGCCAAGTGTAAGGTTTTTAAGTAAGATCTTAGCCTTAAAAATTCTCTTCGGTCTACGGATCCGCTCTTAATATCAGAACCGAGGCACGAAGCAAAAATATTTTTTAATTCATCTCAATAGAATATGCAATCCCACTTTTTAAATTGTTTTGCTCCAATCTTAGTCAAGACGCCACTCGACCTAAGCCGCGCATACTGAGATATAGATGTCGCTATTTCCCCTTCTCATTTCGCCCTCTTGCGGAAAAACACGTAAAATAAAGGCGGGTGGGGGAGCGGGGCGCTAAAAAGCCTTTTGAAAAGGGTCTCGAACAGTTTTGGACCGAGTTCTGAACAAACTGAGAAATTGGGGAAAAACCGGTAAAGTTCAGTTTGACGGTCTGGCAGCACTGTATTTTGCACATGGGTAACACACGCGACGGGAAAACTGGTGTATTCGATCACTTTCCACGGAAAACTGATCGCGGCGACCTGCCCCCCACCCCCGGCTCCCGTCGATGTCACTTTTTTCTCGCGGAAAATGCAGCGGAACGGAGAATTTCGCGACACACAGATTTCAGGTCCAGGCAGTGTGACCACCTTTGGGTTCAACGCAAATATAGGCGCTTTCTGGCCACTTTCGCATGGCGTTACGGGACATTCTCCGTTTTCTCCAAGGTGGTCATACATTCATTTAATTCATCATTTTAGCGCCGTTGTTCAAACTTTTTAAGTGACAACACTTGCGTTTTTTATATAATGGACCTTTTCAGGCTTAAATTCCCCCCCCCCCCCCCCCCGGGGAAAAAAACCCCCCCCCGGTGGGTTTTTCCCCCCCCCCAGGGGGTTTCTTTAAAATTTTGAGGGGTTAAATTTTTTAAAAGATTTGTTTTTTTTTTTTTTTTTTTTTTTAAACTTTTTACCCTTGCTTGGGGGGGGTTCCAATTTTTTTTTTTTTTTTTAAACAATTTAATTAAAGAATTTACGCACCCAGCCGACGACGGGACATGCGCTAATAATGATGGGAACCTCAGATGACGGGTCCGTGAAACAGGTTGTTTACACCGAAGTGGTAAGTAGCCCCAAATATCTAAAACTCATGCATATGTACTTAAATATATTTATTTACCTATATAGAAGAAAAGTACATTTACGGCCATGCAGATCATGGTGGCGTTTGAGCAGGTGCGGGAGGCCATCGCATTATACTATACTATAGATGGATTAGCGAATTTTCATGACAAACTTTAATGTCAAGGACCATCTTCAAATAAACTTATTTATACGCTCCTTTACCTTCGTTGAAATGAAATCGCTTGCTGCTAGCATTTAATTGTTATAATAAAATTACAATGCAAGTATAATTTGTATCTATAAATATACCATATTTTTCCTATCTACTGTCTCTGGGGGGCGTTCGCCCCAAGCCAGGATGCCAGAAGCAATTTGAGCAATTGCAGCGCGGGCAGTGCCAGCAGTTTCCGCACTTCATGCACACATTCCCGGCTCCATGTTGGGCGGCCGAGGGATAGGGGGCGTGGCTGGTGGAGGGGCCACTACTGGCCCACAGGTCCTTGTTCCGGAGACAGGATCGGCTGCGCTTTGGGCTGACTGAACGGGCTCTGGGCGATCTGACGGGGGAGGAGGATGTTGCTTGTGGTGGTGGTGGTGGTGGCGGCGGTGGTGATGGAGGGGGCGGGGCACAAGGAGCTGCCAGTGGATCAGGACCCGCTGTCTTTGCAGGACCCGCCACTGGCGGGTCACAGAAGGTGACCGTGGGCGCATAGAGCTGGAAGGCCAGAGGCGGCGGGATCTGGAGTTCGCAGCAGGACCTCTCCCGCTCCCTTCGCAGTTCGGCCAGCAGGCGGGGGAAGGGCAGGTCATATCGCATCAGCTGCTGCGTCGGCAGCTGTGTGTCCTGGGCAGGACTCGTCATCAGTTGCTGCTGCGGCAGCTGCTGCGATTGGGCCATCGGGACCACCAGGTTCCAGGACTGGGGCACTGGAATCAGGCTGCAGAAGTAAACGGGCTGCTGATCCGGCTGATAGAAGACGCCATCTGAAGTCGGTGCTGTGAGGCAGAAGATCTGCGGCATTGCAGCAGGTCCTTGAGTCGGTCGAGTCATTGCCATTTCTTGGTCCTGACGATTGCTCCTTGCTGGCTTGGGCAATGGACACACTGGAGCCTTGGAAGCCGACTGCGAATCGTATCCAGGACAAGCTCCTCCCATGGGACAGCACTGGCACTGAAAACTGCAAGCAGGCGGTGCCTGGATGGGATTTGGATTGGGAATGGGGATGGAAATGGGAATGGGGCAGGCTGTCCCCGGCTGTGGCGGGCATCCGCCATTGAACTGTGAACAGCAGGAGCAGATCATCTGCTTGTTGTACTCATCCAAATTAAAGGAGTTGGGCAGGGGCACATTGCAGTCAATGCTACAAAGGATGCAGGACAAAATAAAGATACACATTTTTAATAATATTTAAATTCTTATGATTTATCTATGAATCAGAAAAAAAAAGAAATAGTAGTAACACAGAAAACAAAAAGACCTGCTTTGTAATAGGTTCAATTATTAAACTTAACAATCGTTCTAAATAGCATTATACAAAAAACTAACCGTAATTTCACTTTAAAATAAAAATGGGTTAAATAAAATTTTAAGCTCAAAATATATTGTTTTAAAATAATGTTAACCTATCTAGGAACAAACTTAATTCGCTTTGACTTTTAACCTACCTCAAACCCTCCGGGCATTCGGTGACCAGGCACATTCCCACCCGCGGTGGCTCCACCTCGGACTTGCAGCCCAATTCGTTGTGCGACTGCATCGACAGTGGGGCATAGCACATGTTGAACTGCTGCTGTGACTGTGATCCATTGCCAGTGGCGATCAGCTTGCCCGAGGAGGTGGCATTGCATCCATGCTCACAGCTCCCTGTGCAGAACATCCTCAAGCCACTCTGATTTTTCCACAATTTTCACCAACAAAAGCAATTTTTTACATGTTAAGCCACAAATAGTGTTTGAAATTTTGACAATAATGAATTGGGACATACCGCTTGCTGGGTTCTTAAGGCCTCTATTCAACACAGTTATTTATTCCCCTTCCATATTTCCTGTTATTTGGTCAACTTTAATTAGAAAAAACTTTTTGATCTATTAACTGTTTGATCTATTAACTTTTTGATCTATTAACTTTTTATTCTATTAATAATGTGAGATTGAAAACATTGTGTAAGAAAATAAATTGATCACAAACAACATCAGCAGTTTGGTAGGAATTCTGTCAAAATTAACAATATATTTTAATACCCAAAAAACATAGAATAATGCTGTAAACGCGTTTGCCTTAACAATTGCCCAGACCAGATATAACATCAAAATTTGTGGTGAATACCGGATAGCAAGTCAAAAATGGAGTCCCAGATCGACTGTGAATCTTCGGGGCAAGTGTGCAAGCCAACTGAAGAAAACTTGGCCAAGTGCTGTTTCGTTATCACCGTGGGCTCTGATGGTCTAATCGAAATTAGTTCTCATAACTCAGAAAACGTCAGCAAAGCGCCACAAGATGGAATAGACAGTAAAGTTTCCACACTGTCGGGCGAGATTATGAATCAGCGATTTCGCATAGCTGTGGTGAAAGAGGATTCATATGAACTACAATCAAAGTTAGTTGATGACCAAAAGCCTAAAGGTCTGAAGGCGAACCGAGTTCTGCCTCGGTTCGTTAAACTTTGCAACAAAGACCTGGCAAACAGGCCTTCCTTCGTGGTTCTCGAGGATGCACTGGCTCGAAATCGTATTAAACATGATATGGAGCATCCAAGACCAGATGAATCCGTATCTTCCCACACAAGACGAAAGATTTCGCAGTCACAGATTTGCTTTCAAACAAAAGAGTTATGTGCCAGCAAGAACATGGGATCTATCGATAATAACACTCAGAAAGGTAATCTCGACAGTCTATGTATTAACTATTTTTATCAGTACTATTACTTACTAATTGAATACATTGATTACATATCATCTTTAATATAATCATTCATTTATATTCATTAGACGTTAAACTATGTTCTTAAAATTTAGCTCGCATTTTTGTTGCTTGGGGTCGAATTTTCTCAATATAATCTCATAATTCGACGTCCAATAATTGTTTGATTTTAATGTATAATGTATAATGTGTGACACAATTTTAATCCAAAGGAGATTTTGATATTTTTGTTGGGATTTTTAATTCTAATTTGTTTTCTAGGCAATGCAATACCACCTGTACGAAAACTATCCTTGAGAACTATCCATCACAAAATGCCTACATTAAGTAATGAGCTAACGCAATTGGTTCCCGAAATAAAAAAAAAGCCTAGCAATAGGTTATTTTCTCGGGAACAGCAGCAACATCAAAAACATCCAGAGCAGACACCGCAGCAACATGAACAACTGCGGGAGCAGACGGAGCTGAAGCATCACCAACAGCTCAAGAAGATACAACAGCAACTGCTTAAGGAGAAACATCTGTCACAACAGCAACATCAGACACAGCAGCAACATGAGGCACAACAGCAACATCAGACACAGCAGCAACATGAGGCACAGCAGCAAAATCAGTCACAGCAGAAACATCAGGCACAGCAGCAACATGAGGCACAGCAGCAAAATCATTCACAGCAGCAACATGAGGCACAGCAGCAACAACAGCCACTACAGCAGCATCAGCAACAAATGCCTCAGCAGCAACTTCAACAACCTTTTGGCACCACCTTTCCGTATATGCCCTTCGGTTTCTTACCAATGTCCCAGACAGGAGCACCATCTGGCAGTCCCATGATGTATCCTTGCCAGCAATTCCTCAGTTCAGCACCGAGCAACATTTCAAGTTGTTCCTGCTGCAGCTGCAGCAATTGCTGCTCGCCAAGGACACCTCAGGTCTGCCAAATGCCCCTGAGCATTGGTTGCAGTCAGGTTCAAGATCTGGGACACGCGAGCAACTGCTGCATGTTGAAAACGGAAAACGGGGCAAATTGCCCCTGCAATGGATATGGTTCGTGTTGTCCTTTACCGAATCTGCGACCTCATCCTTCCATGGGATTTGGTAGTCATCCTAATTCCATCCATCAGTTCAGTCAGCACATGATCCCATCCGTCATGGCAACTTCTACTTCAACGCTGCATAACCAGCAAACAAATATTCCAATTGCCGGTGGGTTTTACCCCGGCTGCCTGTGCCAGCCATTGTGTAGTTGCAACCAGTGCACCCATTACAGGATGCAAGCCCATCATCATTCTTGCTGCCATTGCCCATGGTTATTTAACAACCAACAGATGTATCAATTGCAACAGCAACAGCAACTGTTGCAGCAGCAACAGCATCAACGTGCCTGTTGCCCCATAAATCTACACCAGCGACATCATAACTCATCCAAAGGAGTAAAGGCATTAAAAGACAGTAAAAAACCAACCAATCGTGAAGGAGTAAAGCAACTATTTACCAAGAAGCCAGCTGAGATTCCCAAACTGGAAACTAAGGAGCAATCTGAGGAAAAAGATAATCAACTAATCAGCAAGAAGTCACTAAAGGAAACAACTCGATCGATTGGAGGTGCTGCCAACGGAAAGAGCAATTTCAACTCAACCTATTTGTACTTAGCTCGATTTGGAAGAACTTGCTTAATTCTGAGACCCACCACTACCGCTCTAATGCCACGCCTCTTGACCAAGCGAATCACTCGCTATTCCTCGGTCATAGCCTGGCCAACAAGAGATGTTAAATCAAATATAGACACAAACTGAGTTAGTTCATAGTTAACATCATATTAATATCTGGAAGCATTGTACAAAATTTAAAACAAATAAAAAAATACGAATTCAACTGAAAAAGCAAGCGTATTTTAATTTAATTTATACAAGGGATTCACTCTTTAGATCAATATTAAATAGGAGAAGTGTAATTCGTTAGAAAAATAAGAATATTGTTTTTAATGTTTATAAATCCGTTTTCGTTTCACTACTGAAAATATATTTGGCTAATGTAAGATCATGATTTGAGTCAATTTCTAAGCCGTCTTTGACATCAATTTCCACAATGGAGCACCTAAAAATGCATAAGATTGTAAGTTTTAAATCGGATTTCAAAACAACAGTTCTTAACTAGTTATTACCTGTTATTCTGTAAAAGTCCACTGTTTATTAGCTGCCTTCTTGAAAAATAAAACATTCCTGTTTCCACAATATCACCTTTCCAGTCCTGTCGCCTTGGCCTAGCATTTAAATCGAATTCCGCTGGAACTAATATGTCATCAACCATTTTCCACCGTAAATAGTGTGATCTAAATAAAGAATAGCAATCCATAACATTCATTTTCTAGTTACTTGATGTCTTGAATAAAATTGCACACCTCTTAGCAGCAAAAACACAGTCATGTGTCTCAAATTTTCGAACAGCTTCTTGAATGTATTTCGTTTTTAGAAACACTGATGTGCATTGAAACAAGGCAAAGTCTTGAATACCCTTATGTACTCCCAGGAATTCCGTAATTGCATGGATTGAAGGGGTGTCGTCTCTGGCAAACTTCTCAGGGCGATGATGTACAATGGCACCATCTGCATATTTTAATTAAATAATTTAAAATCGAAATGGTCAGACTAAAACTCACACTTTTGCGCCTCGATGGCAATTCTCTTGTCATCTGTGGAAACCCAAATGTGTTTGAAGCAAGACGAATCTTTAATTGTTATAATTGTGCGGGCCAACAGTGACAAACCGCCAACTTCAGCTAAGTTTTTCAGCTTAATACCCTTGCTTCCTCCTCTGGCTAAAATTAATGCATGTATATCATTTTTCGAACTGAAAAAATATCACTGATTTACTGTTGATGACTGAAATAATTATTAATTTATTTATTTCTTACCAAAGCTCTGCACACCCAGTTTCAAAAACAAACACTAGTAAAATAAGGAAGGGGACGGGCTTAAGTTGTATCATTGCGTTTTGCTTTATATCTCGGTCTGAATAAAAAAAGGAAAATCTTGTAGCCCCCATGGAGAACTTTTGTTAGGGTGAACCAGAGAACTGAAAATGTAATGTAATGCGATGTAATATTCTATTAAAAACGCCATCCATATTAAAATAACTTACTATTTATTGGCTCCATTATTAATTTTGTATTTACATTTTTGCATTTGAAATTAAAAACCTTAGCAAAAAGTTACTGACTTGTCCACTCTAAATTCTATATAATTTAAACGCACACAATAGCTTAATTTACTCTACTGTGAATTATTAGGGTGAGTATGAACATAAGCTCTGGATTTGTACTTTATATATCCGGACTTTGGACCATTGTGATTTTTTATTACTCAATCATATAGAGTAGTTCTGAACAGACAGTCCACCGAAGTGGGTGTCTTTTCGTGTTTCTTTGCAGAGGCTCAATTTTGTAATCTCAATTTGTAAATGTAGTTCTAGTTTCCATTCCTTCTTTTGTACAGACAAATAAAACTACGATTTTTGTTTATTTTTATTTATTGCACAGTTTTTTATTTTAAGCTTTAAAATATAATTTATCTTTTTTAATTTATTTACTTTGCTAAAAATGAAGTAAATAATCTTAAAAATACCATGTATTGAGAGGTAAGTTGTGTTAATATATATAAATATATATAAAAATATATTAACAGAAATTACGCTCGTTAGAAAATATACAAAATATATTTTTTGGTTCTTGAAAAGTGTTACCGAGCGTTATTAACCTCATTATATAAGGCCAATACAGAGTGTGGAGATGCGCAGATATACAAACGCTTACTGACTGACTATAATGTATAGATCATGTTAAACTGTTTATCTTTTTTATAACTACGAGTATTCATCTTTTATAACGGTTCTATTACTCTATTTAAGTGCACTCACTAAAGGACACTAGCATACCTTTGGTTAATGTATGCCTTGGTATGGTAATTATAAGTTCTTATTGAGGCAGCCAGTGTTTGAATTAATTGTTTGTCCCTCTTTGCTGGTGCATAAGAATCAATGTCACTGCCACTAAAATGAATCAATATTAATATTTTATTTTTATTTGATTCCCCTTTCTTGTCATAAATAAATTACCTGATATTCCGTGTGCGCAGGACACGTTCCGCCCACGTCTGAGGTCTTGGTATTTCCCGTGCCACTCCAGTTTGTTTTTTGTCAATATAGTCAATTACATCATCGTAATAATTGGTTCTGTAGTTGTACATATATTTGTATTGGAGAAATTTCGGCCTGCAAAATGTGAGATTGCATAAGACTTGACCCCCATTTCGAAATCTTCGGATGCCACCAACCTGACCCAGTGCCGGTACAATTGTACGGGTTTCCTGTACCCATCATCTTCTGGCGGAGGTGGAGGCGCTTTGATTTCCTCGATTTCTTCAGCAGGAACCTCCTCGTTGGCCGGAGTCCCAGCCACCACGCTATCAGCCTTGTGATCGGACGCCACACTAGGTGCCTTGGAGGGCACGGCCGGAGTGCCCTGATTGGATGCCTGGGTGGATGAAGCCGCCTGCTCCGCCTCGCCGCCGTCGTCGAAACCCCATGGATCTTCTTCGTCTGCCATATTACTGGGATCGAAAGTGGGTAAATCAATAATATAACACCGATATGGGCCAAGTAACCTCTATTCTCTGAACCCAAAGTTCTTCAAATGAATGATTGTTTTTCGGAAATAAGAGCAGACTCTTTCTATTATAAGAGATTAGAACTGCAGTAATTTAAGAACCTATCAGCTACTGTGACCTTTCCAATAATTGCATAACATTAAAACTAACAGTTCACATTTGCTAAATTTTTAAAATTCAGGACGCCGAAATAAACTATTTCTTAAAATGTTTTGAATTCAGGACGATTTAAATAGTTCAATGCATATAAATCTATATATATATGGTTACATCACTTGACAATCTTAAAGCTATTTTTATTTCCCTGAATTCATTTGTTTTATCTTTTAAGAAAAGTAACATTAAACCACTTAAGTCACAGGTGTTTTTGCGAAGGACTTTTCGTCATACAAGTCCTTGTTATTGACTAATTAGCAAATATATATTTGTATGTTATGGGCAAGCTTATCACATTGGTTTTCTATTACCAAGTCCAGCCAACTAGGATACTGGGTTCACTAGAAAATCAAGCGATAATACCTTTACTATAGTGTTTATACTGATATAAAAGAAAAAAGACTAAATGATCGAACTGCTGCTCGAAGCAAATGCACTTAGAAAACCTAATCTAAATATATCGAGAAGCAGAAACTATATACATCGATTGACATACCTACACACATACTACATTTAATTGGTCAAATCACTATTAACACCTATGTACGCCAACGATTAGCTAAATAGACCCATTAGTTTAATCAATTTGAAAAAGATCATCATTATTTTTTAGATAGAAAAAGCTTACGACAATTTTCTTTTATTATATTTTATACATTCTATAAACATGTATTTAAACTTTATATGAAACCAAAAACGTGTTAATAATAGTTATATAAATTCGGAGACTATTTTTAAAATTCAGTTAATACTTATAAATTTTATATATATTTTTGTACATTTTCAATCCGTTGGGAAAAATTCCATACAATTTTTGGTAAGGAGTTTATACATCAGAAAACTCTTTTAACTTAAGTTAAATAACTAGTAATTTTATTTATCTTAACTACCTAACGGTAAATAGCTTAATGTAATAAGAATTTGGTACTTATCGAGTTATAATCTTAATTTTTAATAAACAACGTTCGGTTTAACAATAAATCCATTCAGTTTCCGATCGTTTCCATGTCAGCTACATTATATAGTCTTCTGGTTTTTGTAAAATTTAAAACGTATGTCTAAAGCATTAGTCCCATTTGTATACAAAAAACTGTATTATTGAAACATCTATCTATATTTAATCTTTAAAGTGACTACTACATTTTTAAAAAAATACAGAAAGACAACAAGGGAAACAATAATATGTAAAGAAATATCATATTTACCTGTTATCAACCACTGAATCATTTGACTGTTATTTATTTATATTTCAACTTATTCGATTGGGAAAGTTACTTACGGCTTTTAAATTAACTAATGTTAATAGGAAAATAAAGTTGTGCCCTTACCAAATATGAGAAGATTATGATTTTAATTATGAAATCAGTGTCTTTCCATATTATTTTTTTAAAATTGTATTTAAATGTGGAACACTTCTGTTCCACTAATTGGGGTGTGTTATCATCCTCCATACGGTCTCTCTAAGTTTGGACTTGTCTTCCGTGATTGATATCGATATATGAAGAACAACAACAATGTAAGCAACAACAATCTATCGATAAAATTCTAATTCAATATATATCGTTTTAATTTAAGCCACCCCTAAATTTGTTGTATTGATTGTTTATTGCATTTGCAAAAAGTGGTACTGTTTTAATTTAGCAGGTAGCAGAAATGTGCCTACAATCAATGTGTAATAGTTTTTCTTCAGGTAATAAACGCTCACGCCCAGGAAGCCATCAAAAATCCGAGTGATCTGAACTATATACACACTTTGTTAATCTTGCGTGGATATGTATATTTTGTGTACATATGTATATATGCATGCAAGTACATATATAAATATCAAAAATAACAATTTAGGACGAATTTATATTGGATATAAAAATGCGTATATAAATTGTGTTTTATGTGGATATGGGCATGTGGCCCATGTGACAAACAAATTCAATACATACGCACATACATATAGACAAACAACAAACTACTTTATTTAAATTGGAAGCCCCCCACCATCCGAGCCGGTTATATTAATGCATTTAAATTCTCGAGCGAAAATAGTGTCAATTTATGTAAGACGGTGAATCGAGTATCCCCATTGGGAGTTGAAACGTGTAGTTAATTGAACCACCCAGCCATCCAAAATAAACCCAGTTTAAGCTATACTCTACGGAAAATTTGGATCGGATGTGCTAGTTTCTTATCTAGAGCCTAACCCGATTTGGTGTGAAAATTTTGCACATATGTAAAAAAGCCATAACACCAAACTCTCGGATAGAAAAAATTATAGGCGCGGGCCGTGTTTTCCCCACGTGACACGCAGGCGTATGCGTGTGCCAAAAATTCGATTTCGTTCAGCGTATAAATCATGAAAGGGGATTTAAAATTGCATTGCCTTCGCATATTCCGGAATAAAGAGTGGTACCTAACTAAACTAAATCCTTAAGAAGTGACCTTAAAAGCCTTGTTCTGAATCTCACTTTCAAAATACGTGTTCAAAAGCGGATCGGATTCGTGACATAGGAAACAAAAGAAAATATCTAAAATCAACTCATTATTTTACGATTGACCATGACCTTAAAGATTTTAACATATTTCCGATTCTTAATCAATAAACCTTTTAAGTAATAATTTGGAAATGAGCACAAGTTTTTGGACCGATTTCGGATATACAAATATTAGAAATGTCATTCATTGGCTTAAAATCGATATTTAAACGCTTGTTTTGCATTCTATTTTGTCCTAACAAAATAATAATCACTCATTTTTTAAAAACTACACAATCAAAAAAAAATCTTAAGGAACTACATCAGATATTTGATTATAAAATTAGTTAAATTATTTTTTTGACTTTTGAAGAATTAAAATCTAGAAGTTTTCTTTTCTAGTTAAATATTTTCCTAAAAAACTCATAAATTCATGGAAAAAAACTTGTAAAAAGCGAGTGAGAATTATTGATGTTGTGTGTTATAAATTCTAAACATATTAGTTTTTTATTGTGCATAATGTATGGTATTTGATTAATAAGATTTTTTATTTTTATTTTCAGCTTACTAGCCTCATGAGGAAAATAATGCTGCTTGACTTGGTCGACGGAAAATAATATCACGTAAGTTTAAGATCTTACATGAAACAAATATTAAATCCCATCAATATTATTCGTGCCTAGCCTAATTATAGCCCAATATGCATGACTAACCTAATACTTAAGCAGCCAATTAAACAAATATTATTTGTATTAAATATTTTCCAAATGTGTGTGTAAACCTTTAAAATAATCAATCATGTTAACAAATCATGTTTAATGCCCACTCGGATTCAGTAAAACCATCAATAAAATTATAATTAAAAACACATAAAAATACCCTTGCAGATAATTTCAATATTGATAAAATCGCAGAATGCTTTTTGATAAAGCCATTCTTTACAAGAAAGGAGTTATATTAATGGAGAATATCCGTTTTTATATTTTAATCTGGTGTAAAATATGCAGCAAAATTTATAAAAAAAAATGAAACAAAGTCTCTAAATTAAAAGTAATTGTTTCGTGGTTGTTCATAGCTTGCACTATTAGATCATTGATCTTTGCTTTCTCCAGAATGGCATTTTGCTTTTTCTGACGGGATCGCAATTTGTGTGACGTTTTATTTTGAAAGTAAGGTAACCGTTCTACGTGGGAATTGACTGATACAACTTTTTAATTTGCAGCTCTGCATCGCTTTTTGTAAATTTTTTATAAATAATACTTAATACCAATAAAAAGTGATTTATAAATTTAAATATGCCTTAAATATATTGGTTTATTATCCTTAATAACCTAAAGAGCGGACAGCAATAAGCATATTATGCTATTATAATAAAAAGCTTCCATGCTGGGAATAACCTTACTAGAGGGGACTCTTTTTAAAACTATTAATTTATTTTTCTTATTCAAACTATTTTACTTTTTAGCATTTAACATTTTTTTAATTCAAAATAACGTCTTTGTAATAAACCAAGTGGAATATTTGATAAATGTTGTAGGTGAACGTGGCAACCCTGTTTCCTTTTTTAAAAAAGTCCTACCGTGTACAGAAAATATGGTTAACCAATAATCGTCATGTATAGAGACAATTTCCGCGCATGCGCCTCAACCATTTGATTAGTCCTTCGGTACACATCAGGTTTGAAATATACAAGTTAATAGTCAAGTACATTTTTGCTTATTATTATCAAGAAAAATTTATAAATGAGTCGCTCGTTCAATAATCATTTGTTCGTGCCACAATTCATACATATCGTTAACGTAATGCTATACAAGCACAATTATTGATTTGGAGTTTTTCTGTCCACAAATAAACATTAAGTCAAATGTACAGACCAGGCAAAGCAATTTAAACAAAGAAAAAAACTAAATAGAAACAAGCTAGCTCCTAAAAAGTTATAAACAGTGAAAACATGGGGTGCTTAAGTAGTAAAGACCGTTTAACCAAAGAAGACATGGAGTTTTTAAAAACGCATACGAGATATGACGAAGCCACAATTAAAGAGTGGTATAAAGGATTTAAGGTGAGTACAAATATTACCACACCAAAGAAAAGTCTCAAATTTTGTTCGTTCGTCTCTTTTTGTACAGCAAGATTGTCCAAACGGCCGATTGACGCCAGCAAAATTTGTCGATATGTATAAAATGTTTTTTCCATCCGGAAATGCGGAAGAGTTTTGCGACCATGTCTTTCGTACATTCGATATGGACAAAAATGGATATATTGACTTTAAGGTAATTTTTCCTCAATTACAATCTCGTTTCTGCCGATACAATATTCACATTAAAAGTTTTCTTTTGATATTATGTTAGTTTTAAAACAGAAGAAATGCGGTTAAAGATGAGTAAAAAAAGTAGAAAAAATTAAAATTAAATTTTAGTTTTTTGGTCATTTGAAAATTTGTATAACCATCTGAGGGCACTGTTTAAAGAATGTCTGGACAAGCTACGAATATGTTTTAGAGCCAATAGACCACTTGACTGTTGACTTTAAGAGTTTTTGATTTTTTAAAAGAAGATTGTACATATTTGGTTGCCCCTTTCCTGTGCATCGCGTTGATCGTATGTATATTGTATATGTGATGAGAATGCATATTGTGTTATTATTTATTGTATAGTTACATCAGCTTGTGGGCCCCTTTCGCGCATGATACTTTAAGTATTAAATCACCTAAATTCATAGATGTATCTTTAGTTTGACAACGATTTCTTTTGCAGCTTTAAATTCTTAAGAATTTGCTTAAGAATTTCCTAACTGTTAGCGTCTCAGACAGTAAATCCATTCAAAATTCTTTTTTCAGGAATTTTTACTCGCAATAGATGTAACTTCAAGCGGAACACCGGAAGAAAAGTTGAAGTGGGCCTTTCGAATGTACGATGTCGATGGCAACGGTGTCATAGACATACAAGAAATGACCAAAATTGTTCAGGTAGGAACTAAAATGTGTTACCACACGAGTTGTTCAATAAAGGATTAACAATATGCTGCGTATCACTATTGAAATGTTGTAATCTTATGTTTTTATTATTGTATTTTTTTAATTGGTGTATTTTTTGTCTTCTCAGGCAATTTATGACATGCTAGGAGCGTGCTCATCTAATCGTCCAGCTGATTCAGCAGAAGAAAGAGCAAAAAATATATTTGCAAAAATGGACGAAAATAATGATGGTCAATTAACCCAAGATGAGTTCTTGAAAGGATGTTTGCAAGATGAGGAGTTGTCAAAAATGTTGGCACCATAAACAATTATATCCTACAATATGTGTGTATTTGATGAAATCAGTAATGAAATGTATAAATATTTAATTTATATTTCTTATACTAAAATTAAACTACTATAAAACTATGAAATCATTAAACTATTTCAGTGTGTCATTAAAATTAATACATTAAAAATTTCATCAGATTTAAAAACATTAAGTCTGCGTCATTGTGTCGTTTGTAATTTTAATTTTTTAATTTCCCATTAATATTTTAGCTTGGTCAAAAATAATATTTTTTAACGAATAGCTGCATATTGATGAATGGACGCTCTTCTAACTACTCAAAATGGCAAAAATATGGATTTCTTTTTCTATATTACGAAAAGGATTGTAACTTATTTAAAGTTACTGTGTGGTTTTATATATTACTAGTATATTTATATAGTATTTATTCCAATACAAACAAAACATTTTTTTGGTCTTTTACTGTCGAGATATTACATTTCTTTCTAGACCTATGCCTAGATTTTCTTGTATTTATTTTATCTTCTTATTTCTCCAACTCAAGTAATACTTATTTAATTAGTTTTTCATTAGAAATATAACATTCAATTTTTTCTTGCTACTCTGAGCTGGATATGAATTGTCAATTTACATCTAAAATAAAATAAATATACATATAAATATTAAGTGGTATATAACGTCTTATTATACATGGGATTAGGCATTAATAACAACTTTGTTAAAAAGGTTTACACCACAGTGAAGTAAATTCAATTTGCTTAATTTGGCTATCCCATAATTAATCGGTCTGCAATGGTATTCAAACTTCGGTTCCCGATGAAAACTTTTCTATGTTTGTCCAATATACAGTTGTTAATTATAAATAATTATATTGCATTTTAAGATAACTGTATAATGAAATTGTTCTGCAACAATGGGAAAGCAAAATAGTAAACTAAAACCTGAAGTTTTGGAGGATCTTAAACAAAACACAGAGTTCACAGGTAAGTTGATAAACTATACTTACTTTATGTTAAATCAACTAAAAATAACTAAATGTTTTTAAAGATGCTGAAATCCAAGAATGGTATAAAGGCTTTCTTAAGGATTGCCCTAGTGGGCATTTGTCAGTAGAAGAGTTTAAGAAGATATATGGGAACTTCTTCCCATACGGTGATGCCAGCAAGGTAAAATTGAACTTTATCTTTCTGTTTTTTAATTTCTCAGAATGAACTCGTTTATCTTACTAACACCTCTTCCAGTTTGCAGAACATGTTTTTCGGACATTTGACGCAAACGGCGATGGCACTATAGACTTTAGAGAGTTTTTGTGTGCACTAAGTGTCACATCTCGCGGTAAACTCGAGCAAAAACTTAAATGGGCATTCTCAATGTATGATCTAGATGGAAACGGATACATATCGCGGCAGGAAATGCTTGAAATTGTTACAGTAAGTTTGGTTTATTTGTCTTACAGGGCGTTGAAGTAATTTATTTTGGAAAACCCCAATTTTCATTTCCTTAGGCAATATACAAAATGGTCGGGTCGGTGATGAAAATGCCAGAGGACGAAAGTACTCCTGAGAAACGAACCGATAAGATTTTTCGGCAAATGGATCGAAACAAAGATGGAAAATTAAGCTTGGAAGAGTTCATTGAAGGAGCCAAAAGTGATCCATCAATAGTACGATTATTACAGTGTGATCCACAGTCTCATTAACTTAATTACTATTGAAAAGCAAGCAATAATCATTTAAACGTGTATAGAGTAATTGCGAATTAAATTGTTTTGTTTCAGTATGGCCATTATGTATATTTCTTTCTTATAATAAACAATTCTTATAATATTAAATTATAATATTAAATAATATCTATTATGACCGTTCCAAAACACCCATGTTGAGGTTTTAAATTTTTCATAATAAAATGATCATAAAGGAAACGATTTTGTACAAAATATATATGGAAATGGTAAAAAAAAGTAAGTACGGAATTAATTTTATTACATCTTACAAAGGTTATAATTTCGGGTATAAGATTCTAATAGTTAAATATTATTCTGTAGGTGACTTTTTTGATAAATTTAAACCGAAATAGGATAAATTTAATTGTACTTTAATTTAAAATCTCAGAAAACTAATTTTGTTATATATAATATATAAAGCTAATCTTAGCTGACAATATTATCAACAAAATTAAATAAAACCATAAATTCCCATTGCTCTATATTTTCGGTTTGTATAAAGGGAAAACTCATAAAGATTAGATTACTTTATCTATTTTGGTGGTTTTGTCATCAGGAAGCTTCGGCTTTCACTAAATGAAACGAAAGCTTTATCTATAATCCAGGCAATAAAGAACAACCTTTAATAAATAAGGATAAAATAAAGTCATTTTATTATTCATTTTTGTAACATATATATACTGCATGCAGTGGCAATTTTCAGAGCACAATCATATTTTGTTTTTTTCATTTTTTTCTTAAATACTTTGAAGAACTTTGCGGAAGCGGTCAAGGACGATGTTTGCGTGATATTCCTGGAATATCAAAGCTGGGCGGAATCTAATGGAAATATCCCCACATCCTCCCGTCTGAATGCCGTGCAACTTCAGGGCGCCGATTATTTGATCTCGCACTTTGGTGTTGGTGCAATTAATGGCCAAGAATGTTCCACGACCGCGTGTTGAGTTCAAGATATGCGGGAATTCCTTCTCCAGGCTCAACAAACCATTCTTCAGAACCTTTCCGGCCACAGCGACATTGGCCAACAGCTTTTCCTCCTGAATTACCTTCACAATTTCCTCCAAGAGAAGCACTTTTCCCGGATCGCCCATCCAAGTGTTGAAGATTCTGTACGGCTCATTCGGTAAAAAGTCATCGTTATGGAAGTAGCCACCCAACTGCAACTTCTTACTGAACGTTACGACATCGGGGGGACCGTCCAGCTCGAAGTGCTCATGGGCCCAGAACTTGCCGGTGCTACCACCTCCGGTTTGCACTTCGTCAATCAAGAGGGCAATGCCGTTCTTCTTGCAGATCGCCTGCAGGCTCCTGAAGAATTCGGGCGATGCTTCGTTGTCGCCTCCTTCACTTTGAATGGGCTCCACCACAATTCCGGCCACAGGATTCTTGCTGGCATACTGCTGAATAAGATCCTGCACTTCGCTAAGGCACTTTTCATCCTCCTTCTTATTGTGCTGCACATTTTCCTCCAAGGGATATTTGTATTCAGGGAACGAGGCGATTGGCCAATCGAAGGAAGGAACATCCAGCTTATGAATATACTTTGAATGAGTTGTGGATAGAGCGCCTAAGGTGCGCCCATGAAAAGCTCCCTTGAATGAGAGAATACTTAGTTTTGGAGCTCCTGGAGGAATGTTTATCATGCAGGAGGTTTTCTCTTGCTCGGTAAGGGGCGTATTGCCGCGAAGTTTGTTTTGATACCTAAAGCGAAAAAAACAAATTGATTTAGAAATCTTAAATATTATATTTATTTTTACGTTTTCGGAATTCTCAAGGCTCTAAGTAAAATTTACGATGGGTTTCGAAACTTACCAGATAAAGATGCTCTTATATGCATTTTCATTTGAACACGAACCACACATCATCGTCGTGATTTTGTTGAGTCCTTTCGGTGCAATACTCGACAGAACGGAATGTAGTTTATCTGGCCATTCTTTGCCAGGGAAGACACCAAGTGCAGGTCTGTTAATCAAAGCTAAAAAAATTCAATGAATTCGTTTTGAAGCCTTAGTATTATAAGTATTATAATTTATTAATTAAAATTTGTATTCTTTTAATTTTAATACTGATCGGAATTTGTAATGCAGCAGATCTTATTTCCCATCCTACTTACTTTTCAGGTTTTGCTCATTGTTGAAGACCTTGAAAAGTCTCGGATGATTATAACCCAAGGGAACTGAGGAGATTTGAGTGTAGACATCTAGTAAAACATTTCCATCCACGTCGTAGATGTAATTTCCAATGGACTTTTCGTAATCAGCAAAAAATTGGATGGTTCCGGTGGCCTATAAAATAACAATTCGCTTTAATAAATAAATTCCCAATGGAAGAATGGGACACTTTAGGGGTCTATAAAGTTATCATCAAGTGAACATGGCCTGATGTCCAGATAAAAATAAAAATATACTTTTGCGGTTGTGAAGCATTTAATGCTTGTGCCCTTGATAACGAAAAATAAAACTCACCTGAACAGAATCCAGTTGTTTCTTAAGCTCAATCGATTTCGGGCCAGGTATTGATTTAGTTTTTACCACAGGTTCCTTGGGCTCATTGTTGGTGGAGTACCTTTTGGTGCTCAACCGATATAAGCCTAAAACGAACCCTTATCAGTTTTTATTCAAATTTAAAGTGTTCTTATTGCTTACTTTGCTTGGTCAACGTATTTAGCCACAAGCTCCGCATGGTTACTATCGAGTGAGTGCTCCGGGGTTAAGTGAAGGAATTGTTCAATAGGAAGGCTAACAACGAGCCACTAATACTTATTTATTAAAGAGAAATGTATATTTACAGAATACAAACATATAGGCTCTTATGTATGCGGGTATATACACGTATCCATATTCTGAGGCACAACCACACACTCGCAGTTTGGAACTTATCAATTTAGCTTTTGGAATTCATCATGGTTCTGCGTCAATTACATATTCTTGGGAGAAAGTAACGAACAACTTTTTCAAATTTGTAAAGGAATAAGGAGTTTAGATTTCTTCACATTCTTATCTTAACTTAAAGACTAATTAATCGTATTGTTTATTCATTGATAGTTTTTAACAGCTAATTCGAAATCTGCTTTTAAATTAAAGAAAATCATGGTGGGTGAATTAAAAACAAATAAGACAACATTTTAAAAACCAATTTTGATAATAGTTAAATTAATTATTTTCATAACAAAATAATCAGGTAGTTTTTACACTTTCGTTTTTAATTGACAATAAGGAAATTGGTTTTACCTTTAAAATAAAAATTAAAGTAAATTTTAATGGCAAATAAGATCATTTTAATAATGGATATGTTAATATAGTCCTCACAGAAATAAATAAATATTTTTAAAATTTATTAATTTGGTTCCCAGCTTCATTTTGTATATAATGTAAGGGAGTACTTGTATGCATAAAAGTAAAAAAAATAAAATAAATTATGAAAAAATGTAGTTGGGATAGAACAATTTTCTATTAAGAAGCATATTTGACTAGCTATTTAGATTTATAAATTAACTTATTACGAATTTAAAATTTGTTTTTAAAGAAAACAATAATTTAGACTCAGACTTGAGATATGGTTGACAAGTGTTTTGTCAGGTGTCATGTTCAAATGTTTGTAATTTCAAATTACAGGCATATTTGAAAAATTGTTTCAGATCAGATCGTTTTTACAACTAATTTGCATTTAAATTTTGAAAGTTTCTAAATATAATTTGTTATATTTTCTGCTGGTTTTTATCATTATTATTATATACATTTTTTATCTTATACGACAATTTTTTGGAAACCATTTAACTTTTTATTGTTGCTAAGATTTTTAACTTTTTACGACTGAAACTTACACAATATGCTATGAGGTAAAAATTATCAAAGTAAAAAGAAAAAATAAGCTTATATTAACATCTTATGCTTCAAATATTGTTAATCTATTTTATTTATGTTATAGCACCAAGGATAGATATTTCTCTTAAACTTACTTTTTCAAACTTAACTATTTTAAATTATTATATATTTTATCTAAACGGCGTTGCTAAGAATTAATTTTAATTAATTCTTAATTAATTATTTAATCGTGTTCCAATTCCACCGTCTCAATTTCGTCGAAATCAACTGCAGAACATGGAAAATATAGAATTTGATGATATCGATTTTTGTTTTATGTAAATCGATGGCACATGCGGAATGTAAAATAAGATACACTTGAAGTAAAGAGAGTTTTCGTAATATGATTGAAATGAACAAAACTGCAATTGGAATTGCAGCGGGAGTGGCCGGAACTCTGTTCATAGGATACTGCATTTACTTCGATAAGAAGCGCCGCAATGACCCCGAATACAAGAAGAAAGTCCGTGAGCGTAAGAATCTATTTGGGAGCAAAGTTAATTATGAAAGAAACTGAGCGATTCATCACATTTCAGGTCGTCGTCGCAACCGGAAAAGCGGCACTGCCAAGCCTGGAATTCCAAACCTGAACGACCATGAAGCCATCGAAAGGTAAGATTTTCATTCTCCAACGCGAAATCTATTATATAATGCGGCACGTGTAGTTGTACCGATTCATTACAACTCCATTCATACACGCAAGTCCATGTTTTTTCAGCCAAATCATTGTATGTACATATGTATGTATACATATACATATCTCCAGATTATCTAAGCCAATGGTTGTAAAAAACAGTAAACAAATTACAATCTATTAAGATTTCCGCATAGACTTGCAGATTTAAATTCCAGTCTGATTGTTAAATAAATCAGTTTTGACATTAACAATTCAGTGTAACTATTAAAAACGAGAACTTAATTCTATCATGCTACAAATAAAACATTTGCAGCACCTTGTATAACAAACGCTGTGTAATACATCCTTGTGTGTATTGTAATATGTATATTAAAACATCTCCAAAAACAAAATTTGATATGAGCTTAAGTAAACCATAATCTTCTTAGTCCACTGTGTCCCCTCTGCAAACAAACAGATGTATATCAAACTGCTTTGAACGCACGAGTTTTTCTTTCATGAGTCATATTTCATATTAACACCGCTGTGCGATAAAAAATTGATTTTTTTAATAAAAAATCTAAGTATCACAGATAATTACATTTTATTAGTTAAAATTCTGTGATCTGTTTCCAATAAAGCTGTACCTATTTGTTTTCATAAAAATATTAATAGATTGAGGGCCTTAACAATTATTAATTATCAACAAAAATTAAAGAATTAATGGCCTTACAGCTTTATTGAATACCTCCTGGTATTTTGTTCGATTTGCAGATATAAAAAAAATGTTTGATCCTAATGTACAACTTGTAAAAAACCATTTTATAGATCTGAATGGTTTTAGTGAAGAAATCCTTTTCTCTGATTGTAGTAACTTATTTCATTATTAACAATTCGCATGTAAGTTTTGTTGAGAAAACCACACGCCAAATAGATACTTACTTTTTATGCAATTTTAATATGAAAAAGCCTTTCGCTATTTGTTAAGTTAATGTGTTTTTTATAATTTAATATTAGATTGAAAAGTTTCGAACATGTCCAAAAATTGTTTATCTCATCACAAATTCATGTTTCTATTTATGCAGTTCCAGTCGTTCCTAACTAATTGTTCTCTCGGAATCTTTTCAGATATTTCCTACAAGAAATCCAGCTGGGTGAGACCCTGATCGCTCGCGGAGACTTTGAAAGTGGCGTTGAGCACTTGGCGAATGCCATCGTAGTGTGTGGCCAGCCGGCTCGTCTGCTCCAGGTGCTGCAATCCTCCCTTCCAGCTCAAGTATTCGCGATGCTGATCGTCAAAATGCAAGAGTTTGGGAATCGGGCCGCCGAGGGAAACGACGGGCCAATCACATTGGGTCAGAGTTCGGGGCAACAGCTTGACGGCGCCAAAATTATAGAGTGTTCATCTGGAAACGCAAGTATCGATGACCTGGAATAATACTTGGAGATGGCTACAGAAATTGAAATATAAATTTCAACAGTAGAAATTAAGGGCTTCATATATAAACATCATATTTTTTTTATATATTGATTTCTCTGGATGTTCCCAATACATTAAAATAAATATGCGTAAACTGTTAACACTTAAAGATTGTGCTCTGTTTTTTTTGTTTCTTGCGATAGTGACGTTAAAGGAATATTAAAGATAAAATCTAAAAAATATATTTTGTCAATCATTTTCATAAGATGGGTATATGAAAGTATATCAACAATAAAAAATTATGGAAATGTTGTAAATCTTGAAATTATTCTTGGGATACATGGTTTTTATAAGTTATAGAAAATAAGTGCAATAATATAAGAAAAATCTGAATTGGATGTAACGGCTAAGGAAAAGTTGGGTATACGAATTAAACCTTTAAACATAAAGCTGCCAGTAATGATTAATTTTTACCGTCAATATGTTGAATCGATTTGTATAAAATTAAATCGGTATATCTGTAATCGTGAGAATAATAGTTATTATTTTGCGAGTGTTTCGGTATATGGGTAAGACAACGATGCTGTAATTTGTTTCATTAATTTGTTTTTAAACTGCGAGACGTGTTGGCGTAGAAACTGACAGAAGGTTAAATCAAATAAACTAAACAAACTCCTGGTGATGCTTATCAAGGATATATATACATTTATATAATGTCTCGTTTACTTCGTTGTAAACTTTTGTCTAAAATTATAATATTGCAAAGGCCATAACAATCAGTTAATGCTGTCAATCCAAAGTTTTCGAATCATTTCGGACAAAATTCTTTTAAAACAACGGCAGGACTTCTCTTATTGAATTCTATGTCATTACAGCCAAGGGAGGAAAATTGGAGCTTTGATTTAATGGTTACAGATTTAGTTAATTTTTTTTTACATTTTAAGTTAAAGTGAAATTTGGAAATGTTTTGCTCTTATTTTTTCTTTGATTTTTATAGTTTTAATAAATTTTTTCAAATAAGTTTTAAAACTTAAATAATGTTTTTACTTTTTATATACTTAATTTTAGTTAAGTCTTACAAAAAAGGTTTTAATCGTTCGTAGCGTGCACAACTAAACATTTCTCGGGGCCATTTTTTTTGCAGCTGTAAGCGTATTTTTGATTTTGCTTGGCATATGAGTTTCTGTTTAATGTTGAGTGACTAAATAAAGAGGTAATTTTTTATTTGTTTTCAAAAGATATATTTTTAAAAAATAGTTGGCAACAGCTCAAAAAAATGCATTTTTTCAATTTTAGGAATACCCATATTTTAAAATATTCCATAGTGAAGAGCTGGTCACATCGAAAGATAAAGATTGCAATTGAACTCTGTATTTCCCAAAAATTAGTTGTTTTGAGTTCGTGCTTGTCTATTTATTATCAAAGCCTTCCGAATAAATACCAGACGTGAGCATTAACAATATTACTTGGTCTATTTCCAATACGAGTTGTGCATTGACAATTGAAAGCCATGAAACCCGATCATCTGAACAACTTATCGCAAGAGTCTCGGTCTTGTCAAGACTCTAACTCTGAGAACAATTCAGTAAGCAAACATAATCATAATTTAATATTATTATTTAACGCGGATTGATATTTCAGCACAACAGTGATTCAGAAAAGGAGTCTGGTGCTGTTCAGGAACTACGGAAGACTAGAAAAGGCAATGAAAAGAAAGTCATTGATCTGGAGCGCAAGTTGGCGGAGGTTGAAATCAATTTAAAAGCCCAAAAGGAAAAGAACAGTTTGCTTGAAATGAATATAAAGGATAAGGACGATTTTATTAAGACCCTGCAAATGTCAATCGATTTACTTAACCAAACAAAAGAGTTAAGCATACAAAAAATGCAAACTCAAATTGTAAATTTGCAAAATGCACTCGGTTTAAGCAAGAGTAAGAGCTTAATTAACGACACCGACTCAAACGATCAACATGGAAAAGAAGTTGACGATTTAAATGCAGAATTTAAAAAATTACATGAGGAGAACGATAAACTGGTCAAATTGGATGAGAAGGCCCAGAAATATGATAATAATCTTAGAGAGAAAGAAGATCAAATCGCCCGGCTAGAATTCCAAATAGACGAATCAAAACTCAAAATTGTGAAATTGGAATGTAAACTTAAGGAAAAGGACGATAAACTTGTTGAAATGGAAAAAAATTTGACTAAGTACACCCAAGATGCAGGAAACACAAGCGAATCACACGTATTTCTCAACTTTACCAAGGATCCTTCATTTAAATTGGTAACGCTTCCTGATTACGAACCCTTTGCAGCAGTTTTTGAGGATGTTCCTTCTGCCGGTCCCGATTGGTTAGTCATCCAACGTCGAATCGATGGAAGTTTTGACACGAGCATAAAAAATAATTTTAACAAAGGCTGTGGAGAGTTATCTGGCGAATTCTGGATCGGAGGTGAAAAATTGCACAAGTTAACAACAAGTCGAAGGCACGAACTGTATATTATCCTGGTCGATTTTGACGATGTTACTGCTTTTGCCAGATATGATCACTTTGTTGTTGGAAGCGAGAAAGAAGATTACAAGCTGTTGTCCCTTGGTGAATACTCGGGAAATGCTGGAGATGCTTTGCGGAGTCATATAAATCAAGCTCCTTTTAACGAAAAAGTATTTGGATTTGGAAATGGATTTTATGGATGGTGGGGTATAAATAATTGGTATGAACAATATTTTAAAAGGAGTCTCAAAAATAACTTCAGCGCGGAATATGTATTTGGATAACTTGTTTTTAAATCAAGCGTTACAGGCACTTATTTTAGATATCTCATGTTTTTGTTGACCTTTATACTTTCCTTTCTTTACCATGTAAACAAATTTTCGAAGATTTTTTTGAGACCCTTGCTTTAATTTATGTTATATAGTTTAATAATTCATACATTTTCAGTAATTTGAACGGAAAATACCTTGGATCTAAAATTGTGTTGGAAGACTGGAATGGAATTTGGTGGGGCCGTTGGAATATGGGAAAGAGATATTCTCTTAAATCGTGTAAAATGCTGATCAGGCCAAAACCGTAATCGGATCTACATAGGAAATTTTGATTAATTTCCAATATTTAAATTAAGATAAACAGTTTAATAAGTGACAAGAAAATAAATGTATATTAAATATTCTAGTCTTTATTAATTGATTTATTTCGGTAGGTAACTAGTTTTAAATAAAAATAACTAAGCAATTATTTTTTCTATTTCGATCATAATTAGATCTCCAACTTTATGTTTTGAAAAGTATTTGACTGTAATTGTTACAAAAATACAGACGAGCGTGCAAAACTTGAAGTCTTTACTCTCTGCAAGGGTATACAAATAGTTTAAGTGGGGAGGCTTTGCTAAAAGTAATTAAAAAATCAAAGTTAGAGATTCCTTTACATTTTTAGCAAAAGTAATAAGCAGCGTAAGGATTATTTCAGAAAAAAAGGAGTATAGATTTGGCGTAGACTTCAAATATTTGTTGTATTTTTACGGGAAATTAATAAGTGTCAGGAATGTCCCTATTCTTTAATAAGCCTAAACGGTTTAAAGAACGTACCCATTTAATCAAAATCTGGTCACACTGCAGCCTAAAGATTGGAACAGCGATTGTGTTCTTTTATTTTGTTTTTCTTAATTAATGACTTAAAGTTGTAGAAGCTATATTTATATAAAGATTCCATTATTTATGACGAATCTGACTTCTGTCAATATTATACTGGTTTTTAAACCAATAATTTTCACATTGTCAAATTGATCGCCATGAAACCTGAGAACTTAAACAATCTCTCGCAGAAACCTCGGGGATCATTCGATGACTCAACCACTGAAAACAATTCGGTGAGGTTTAATATATGTATCCTTACCCTTCAATAAATCCTAAAATATGCACAATTTTATTACAGCCTTCTAGCGATTCGGATATTGAAGGTATAAGTTGTGAAACAAGCGATCAAAAAAAGATCGTGCAAGGACTAAAAAAAAATGTTAGAAGAAATAAAACCAAAATAAATGATCTCGTTGCCAAGTTGTCAATCGCCGAAATGCATTTAGCAAGTGAGAAGGAAAAGTCTAATTATAAGGACGATGTTATCAAATCCTTGCACTTGTCGATCGATTTAGTTAATCAAACCAAAGAATTAAGCATACAGAAAATGGAAAGTCAAATCGCAGATTTGCAAAATGTTCTCGATTTGAGCAAGAGTAACATCCTAATTAAAGATATGGAAACATCCGGTCTACTGGAATCGCTCGATCACTATAAGAAAGAAATTGACGATTCAAACGCCGAAATTGTAAAATTGAAATGTGAAGTCCAAGAAAAGGACAATAAATGTGTCGAGTTAGATGAAAAGAACCATAAATACAAAAACTTACTGAAAGAGAAAGAGGATATAATCACAAAGCTGCAATTAGAACTTGTGAATTTGGAATGTAAATTTCAGGAGAAGGACGATAAACTTGAAGAAATGGAAAAGAAATGGGCTGAGTTACCTGTAGATGATGAAAACACAAGTGAATCTATTTTACTACTTAACTGCACTGAAATCCCTTCAATTAAATATGTAACTCCTCCTGGTTCCAAACCCTTTGCAGCAATCTTTGAAGATATCCCTTCTGCTGGTCCAGGTTGGATGGTCATACAACGTAGATTTGACGGAAGTGTCAACATTAACACAAACAGTAGTTTTTATTACGGCCATGGAGATTTATCTGGCGAATTCTGGATTGGGTGTGAAAAATTGCATTATTTGACAGCAAGTCGTAGACATGAGTTGTATATTGAACTTGTCGATTTTGACAATGTTACTGCCTTCGCTAGATATGATGACTTTGTTGTTGGAGGCGAATATGCGGAATTTAGGTTGACGTCCTTAGGTAAATACACAGGAAATGCTGGCGATGCCTTGCGGAGTCATATTTATGAAGGTTCCTATTGCTATGATCCTAAAAAATTCCATTCTGGATGGTGGGGTACAAATGATTGGTATGAATAATATTTTAAGGGATGTCTTAAAAATCACTTCAGCCAGTAAAAATCATTCTTAATTGGAAAAGGTATTTCTACTATACTGCTTTTGAGAAACTTTTCAGAAAAGGAAATATTTTGCACTTCGGATTCTCTTTTATCAGTATACATACGATTTTTAAGGGATTTGAACTGCCTGGACATTTTTTTGACACCCTGTTACTGTTGTGATATAGTCTAAATTATATATTTTTTCAGTAATTTAAACGGAAAATACCACGGATCTAAAATTGAATTGGACACCAGCAATGGCATTTGGTGGGGTAGTTGGAATATGGGGAAAAGATATTCTCTTAAATCGTGTAAAATGCTTATCAGGCCAAAACCAATAATAAAATACAGACCAGGTTGTCTTCAATCATAAAACTTTATTTTCTCACAGATGACAGCTTCGCACTTGTTAAGGCGAAAGAGCTGTGTTTAGATGTCATTATATGTAAACATTAACATAGTGGAACTATTTGTAATCACCACTACGACACAGTAACTAATTTACTAATCAACACACATTAAGATTTTTTATTGTTTTATGTTGGTTAGTATTTAAACTCTTTTAAGAAAAGCTGTACAGTTATTAATATAGTTGTAAGCATATATAATATTAATTTTAAATTTTCACAAAAAAGGTGAAAAAACAAACCAAATATAAGTACCTTTAACGTATTCGTTAAACAAAAAATTATATTTTCGGTAAATTTTAAAAATTTGATCTAAAAATTAACTTTGTTGACTGCAAAATGACAGCAGTTTTTCCACGTCCACAAATCTCAAAACTCATTAGAGACCTGGTTTATTTCAAAATCAGCACACCAAAAATTTTCCAAGTCGCACTAATCCTTTACAAGTTATAGGACATATTAAGTGTTAAATAAGACGTCACTGCATATTTAAAAAACGAACTTAGGACAAGTCAAGAATTAAAGAAGACTATTAAAAGGAATAAAATAAAAATAAACGACCTCGTTGCCAAGTTGATACTCGATGAAATTAGCAAGTGAGTACGAAAAGTCCATTAAGTCAAAATGTCCATTAATCATAAAGCAAATGCGGAGTAAAATTGTTGAGTTTGAAAATGTGCTCGATTTAAGCAAGAGTCAGTTTTTATTTGAAGATGAATTCAAAGAAATATCCGGTCTAATAAAATTCATTAATCAGTATAAGAAAAAAAGTCGAAAAAATAAATGCAGAAATTGTAAAATTGTAAAAAAAGAAGGACGACAAATGTGTCCAATTGGATGAGAAGGCCCAGAATTATAGAAACAATCAGAGAGCGAACAATCGCCCAGCTAGAAGACGAAGCTATAACATATGGATTTAAATTAAAAGAAAAGGACAACAAACTGGCGGAGCTCAATAAAAGTGTTGAGAGTTGACACAAAAAAATGTAATTACTCATAATTTCAGAATGGATTAAGGTAACGCTTCCTGATTGCGAACCGTTCTTAGCAGTTTTTGAAGATATCCCTTCATCTGGTCCTGGTTGGATGGTCATACAACGTAGAATTGATGTAAATTCCCACTTGGGCAAGGATAAGAAATTTTTCAAGGATTTTATGACTTAAGTGGAGAATACTGGATTGCCATATAAAGTATTATTTCCGTATAGACATTTCGCCTATTTTTAAATTAATTAGGTAAAAAAAACTTACACTCTGTAAGGCATGTTAGAATATGTTTCCTTTTGTTGCAGATGGTACAACTGCCTATAATCTCACCGTAATATACTTATAATAAACAAAGGGATGGTTCCAAGTCGGAGTTCGAAGTGGAATCCTTTAAAGATAATAATGGATGATATAAGCTAGCAGGTCATGTCAATTTAGAACGACTCATCCCAGGAGGAATATATTAAACAGAAAAGCGAGTGCCGGAAAACCACAGAAATGGATCCTTTTATCGATATATTAGATAGTTCTTTCGCTTTGGCCGCCGAAATAAGAACTCTTCGAGACGAGAGTCTCCAGATTGAGTAAAAACATTGAGAAGTCCGGCCACTCGAAAACGGAGTTCACCAATTCATCAATCGATGATCTAAACAACCTAAATCTTGAAAGCATTGCTAGTTCCAGGTCGAATCGCATTGAATCTAAGGCGAATAATTGCCGAGAACCTACCTTTCAATATGAACTATTGTGGCAAACGCAATAAAACCGGCATTTATAAGTAAACTAACCATGGACTGATTTGGCTAAAACGAAAAACAAAATATTTAAGGATAACTATAAATCCAGGAAAAAAAGCTGATTTAAAAGAATCTAGAAAAACATGTAAAAGTGTATACATTTATTTAATAACTTTAGTAACTTAAATATTTATAGTCTATCTACACATTTTGACTGTATGTACAAAAAGCTCTTAAGAAAAGTTAATAAGCTACGTTGCATAAAATAGAAAAATTAAAGTTTGAAATATATGTTTTCAATTTCAATCTTCTTCGCAATATCCTTTTTTCAATTTCTGATATTTTATGGCATTTTATAAACATGGGTTTTTTTCATATAACATCAATAAAAAATGTCCATAAAATTTGTTCCCCGAGGAAAATTAGCAGAAAATTCTCACCGGGTGGTGTTGTTGTATAATGACGGATTGCTGGGCTCTACGACACCTAATATTATAACTAGCCAAGGATTTGTTTTATAAAAAAATTTGTAGTTTTGGTTTTTTTTACAAGAAAAACTGCTGCTCCTTTATTTTAGAAGAGAAACCGTTATTTATTTACTTTCAATTCTTTAAAAATATTAGAGGACACACGCAAAAACAAGACTTACAATTTTGTATACGATATTTAACCATAATAAATATTTATAACGTTATTGCTTCAACATACGATAATATTTTTATGGTTAAAATGTAAGGACAATACTTCTCTGTTGAGTAAAATATTTTACAAATGACGGGTAAAATAAAAACTTCTACAAGCCTGGGGAAATTGGGAAATGTTAGCTTAACATTTATTTTGGAAAAATTTTCTGTATAAAAGTTGGGAAATTTTCCAAAATAACATAAGGGTGTGACTGCAAGAGGAAATAGGGGGTGTGCGATTCAACCCCCAGGTGGGGATGGATATTTTGTGTGGGCTCGAAGTTCCAGCTCGAGGTTGCAACCGGATATCGCCCAACATGAAAGGTCCTGCGACGGCCAGAATAGTTGCGATTGCGAGAACTCGAATCAGTTGAATTTCTGTTCTCATTGACTGCGGTTTATGTTGGTTTGAATCGCGGAGTTCTGCGTCGGTAGCTGGCAATTGAATGAAGAAAAAGTATGTTTCAATCAAAAGTGGCGTTGTTATTTTAACATGACTACGAGTATAATCGACGATATGCGATTCAATAAATATATCCAGGCCAATCCGCATCTTCAGTGCTAGTGATGTTTATCTGTATAATGAAAAAATATGTACGTACGTATTGTGTGCCATCAATACGTTTAAGTAAAAGGCTTACCATAATAATAATGCTTAATAAATACGTGTAACAGTGATTAAGAGTTGCATAACCCCATGTGGTGAAGTCGATTTCAAGAAAAGGAATTTACCAACAAATATCAGTGGAATAAGCTAAAAAATACACTCTAGAAAAGGCAACTTCCCCAATCGAACGGGTTTCATTTCTGAAATTGCGAAGCCTTTGCAATACGGATTATGGGGAATGGAGGGCTTAGCTTTGTGCTGGTTTTTGGGACCTTCCTTAAGGTTTTACGTATTGAACGAAATATGGGAATATTATTATCAAAAGAGAAAAGTATCCCCTTTTCTTAAGCTTTTTTTCTGAAATACCTTTTTCTTATTCATAAAAAAATGGCCATTGCCTTCTTTTATTTTTTGGACATACTAAAATAAGTATTAAGTTAAAAAGTGACGGCCTATTACTAAAAAAGATTTTATTCTCTTTCAATACTATTTACTATTTCTCCAACCCATTTTCAAAAAAATGGTTCTTTTTAATTTGTTAAGAGAGGCAGACCTTAAATTTATAAAAACTCCTTTCAGGGAAAGAAGATTTAGTTAGGGTGTTGTGTAAATTGTAATAGGAATAATGAGATCTAAAATTAAAAAAAAAATAATAATAATAAAATTAGAAAATAAAACAACATAAAATAGTACCTCTATTGGCTGCGTCATTATAAAAGTAAGAGTAATAAGCAATATTAATTTTCGTGTAATAGTTTAATGGATTTGTGTAGCATTTGCCGGAAACAATTTGAAGGAGGAAAATTGTAGGGAGAAAATTTGAGTCTACCGTTTCTAAAAAAATTAAATTATACAATTTTGAATTATTAATCATTAAATCCTTTTCTTTTGCCACCGACAGCAAAGCGTTTGTTACCACATTCACAATATTTAATTTTTATGTTAGTGTCACTTTAAGGAATATAAAATAAGCAATAACTTTGAAAATAATCAGGGTGAAACTATAATTAAATAAATTAAAAACACAAAATAATATAGGCGAAGTTTTAAATAGTCGAAGTGCGATCGTTTGTTAACTTACAAGAATGTTAAGTTTATGCTTTTGAACGTAAATACGTAAACGTGATACCGGTGAGAACTGAAAATCTTACGAAATTCTGTTTTTCGAATAGATTATAATTCCCGCCCAACCACTGTTCCGTATATCGATCCAATCGCGAGATCAGACTTAGGCTATCGATGTTTGGCGTCCAGGTGTGACCGTAATCGGGACCTGACCAGTGTTGCGAAGCAGCGAAAGGTTAATTTGTTTGATTCCATTGTGGAGAGAGGGCGGGGAGATCGTAGTTAGTTAATCGTGCATACATGCAGCTGCCAATTAATGTGTAATCCGAGTTAGTGCTGCAGAAATGGGTGATGAATGAAAATACAATCCTATGAAAGTGTGCTCCGCTAAATCAACGAACAACCAACGAAAACATCGGGTATTAGTCATTTCCAGCGAAGTTGTTTGCGCAGTGGGATCAACTTTAAATTATAAAGGTATACACACATACCTACGTTCATTTGTATGCTGGCCAAACATTTTCAAAAAGATTTGTGCATTTCTATTTATTTGATACCACTAAAGTGCTGCCTACACGGATTTTATCGCGGTGGTTGAGTGTGTGTTTATTTACCTTATCGGAAAATTAGGCCCACGAAAAAAGACAACACACATGTTATCTGGGTTCACCGATGTATAACATATATATGTATGCATTACATACCTATGTAAATGCTGCACTTCTATATAAAAAGTGGAGTTTGTGGTGGTAATTGTGACTTTGTGGATTCATTTTCGAAGTGAGAAAAGAGTTTAAAAGGGTTTGGATTATTGCGACATCTATGAAAAATCGGACTTAGTTGTAAGTAAACATTAAACTTTAGATCAGTTCACCGACTAAGTCACAATTTCTTTGCTGGATAACTTGTTTCGAGTTCTTTTTTATATATGTATGTATATTACGGGCTTTATTACTCATAATTACCTACATACATGCCGCACCAATTTCGCAACCTTCACGTTTTCATGAATCGTTTCGAAATGTCTTCTGCCAACAAGTGGTTCTCATTCAAGAGATAATGGTGACTTAAATTATGTTGATTGAATCTTCCGAATCGCGATCAATTTTAATTTGTTTCTTTCATAGTTCGTTAAATTTGTTACCAACAACAAAACATCTACACAATGATATATGTCTTAGACTTAAGGAAAATATTCTTAGATTTTCTTCCATAGAAATTATAGCAATAGAAAAGTGAAGCCCTAAATTTCACACTTTTGGTTTATTAGTTTTTCTTAATTGTTGAAAAAGTGTCAACGAAATGCATTGTTATTGGCTTCAACGTTTGAAATTCGTGTTATAGAAATATTTTGCTTTTGGGGGACGAATTTGGTATGTTAACTTAAAAAATATTTAAACA